TGTTAATCTGTTCTGTTGTTGGAGGACTTCACAGAACTGCTTAGTGCTTTGATGTGTGTAGGCCATGTATCGAGGTTCACTCGCGAAAGGTTCTTGTTTCGGTTGTCCTAATGGCTCTGTATCTTGCTTCGTTTCCGCGACGTGAAACTCAGGTGCTAAAGGATTCAGACTTGGATGCTGCATTGGCTTAGGAGGAGTTTGTATCATAGGAGCGTCATATAAATCAGCGGTAAAGCTCACTTTAGTCATAGTGTTAGACGTAACGTTTGGAGACGGGTAAGCGCTTGAGGAAGTCGGAAGAAACGGCCCAGATGAAGTAGATGCCTATACAGAAGAATCTTTCGGAGACAATTCTTGACGACCAGTCGAATCTGCATCGCCGACACCCCTTTCAATTTCAGCGAACACGCCCTCTCGAACGCGAGCAACTGCCAACTGCTCTTCGAGGCGTAACTTCTCGACTCTCAACTCCAACTCTTTCCTTTTTTCCAACATAGCAACTCTGGCCATTAACTCGGCGGCTTTGGCTTTCTCTTTCGCTCTGCTTGAGGTAATCGAACGGCTAGAATGTCTAGATGATGCCTTTGAACGATGCGATGTGGAATATATCGAGCCAACTTGAGATCTTGTTTCCAAGCTATGTTCGATTGTCTCTTTCGCGGTTGAAATCCAGAGTACAGTTTTGTCTAAAAAGTCGTTAATCTTTCCACTCTGATTAATATACCAGTCGTTCGCAAAGTCCAAATCCTCCTCGGACTCAAGATCATTTAAAAGAGCAGCGAAACCTGACTTGAGCTCTTCCACGGAAAAACGAAATGAGGTTAAATTCCTCTCGACGACGTCCACATTCTCTTCATCAGTCGCCAAACTATCGATTTCCTTCATGTGACCTTGGATTCTTCTAAATAAAGTCTGGCAATCCGTCCATCGAACATGAGCGATAAATGCTTTTCCCTTTTCTGTGCGCTGCCTTCGCCTTGTTACACCGGTTGCTAAGGCAGCATTAGCGAAATCCAAATTGTCGCTTTCCGTTCCAACTTGTTCCTCGATTGGATCCATAACGTTTCAACGAAATATTAGAGCAAATAATTCAAGGATGGTCCACGGTTCCAACTCGTCTTTATTACATTTATAAAGAATTACGATTACGGTTGCTAAAAGCGAAACAAAAAAATACAAATTACTAAGGAATACAAATGACAGCTATGAAACGACGAAAATACAGAAAACGGAAAGAAACTAAGCGAAAATACTTACAAACGTTGTGTGACTAGAAAGTTGAACGGAAAAAAGGTACGATGGCTAGCAAGACTGGACGAAAAAACTGCAATAATGTTGCCGTGAACGCTAAAGCGAAATGAATGAGAATAAACGATGAAACTTACAAAATGATCTAAGAACAAAGAAAGTTATGCAGAGAAATCTAACAGAATATGAATAGCGATAACTGAAAAGAATGTGTAAGGAATGTGCAACTATACAAAGAACTAAACGCTAAACATATTGACGTGGAATGCGGCCGTAACAATGGCTATTTGTTAAGATGACTGAACTTAGTAATTTTGTAGATATACCTTCCATCTTTGAATCTCTTATACCTAAACAATTTGATCTTTACTGTAAAATCATTATAACACATGTTTTATTGATAGACTTAACTTTATTATGTTTTTATTTTTGGGGCGATCGAATAAATATCACGTAACAATGAGGTCACAATAGTTTTGACTCTAAATCGAATTTCTGCCCTTATTGGCATTTTCTTTGCAAATGCTTTACTCTACATATACTTTGGGTGTTTGTCTCCTGTTGTGCGAAGTATCACAAAAATCAAAGAGGAATTTCGAGATATCTTTGAATTTCTACAAAAAGGGTATCAATTATGCTTGAACTGAACGCTGGACTTAATGCATACAAATTTGCTACCATTTGAAGATTTCCGAAAAGTTTTTATCGCTCATTAATTCGTTTTGCAAATGACCTTTATACACTCTACAACCGGCTGAACACAAGTAGACTTGCGCGATTACGAAAAAAAAAAACATGACTAACATGTGAATCAGTCAAACGATCAATGCTGACCTCTTTTCGTAATTTTTAAGACTCATTTCACGAAAACAGCGATTGAACCAAAATTCGTCGATAGTTTTTCGTTAAAAAAAATTTCAGTGCCACAATTGATCAGTGTTCTATAATGTCTAGAATGTCGTTCCGTTGAAAACTTTTAAAGTTGTCTAACGTTGTCATACGTCAAGCTAAGTTTTCGCTCTGTGATTTCCTATTGTCTCGAGTTTAGCAGAAAATCAAATTCCCATGCAGCACGCGAGAATTTACCGCGCCTGGGGGGACAAAAAGATAATTATGATATTTTCTAAAGTGGCGAATTGCCATGTTTTTGCAATCACCTGGAAGTCCTTTGTTTTGGTGGACCATTTTCTCGACACCCTTCTCATTTTTGATTTTGGATAATGCCATCGTCTGCTTTTTCTTGCCCCTATTTCTTCTGCAGCATCAACTTCATCGTAGTCTTGTTCGTCTTTGTCAACGTCGCTATCTGCGTCACTTTCCTCTTCAATGGCTTTGTGAATTTGTATTTTATCCTTGCCTCTTGGTGGAGTATATTTTACTTCAAGGGTGACTGTAGCGTCCTTTAAAGAAACAAAAATCTTCTCGTGAAGAACGAAATATGGACATAGACGTGTACGTAACCGTGAATTACAACTTCCCTCTTCGATGTCATTTATTGAAGTCAGGCAAGAAAGAGACTATCTCGCGCGAAGGAGAGCACGGTGCATTTAATTGTCATCCCAAAATATCTTGATAACGTACGCTCTTATAGATTTCTCTTAAACTCCACGGACATTGAACGGGCTATTGGAGGATAGATCTCCCCTGAACGATTTGGGAAAAAAAAGTTTCCAGTGCCAACAAGTAAGGCTGCCACTAAAAAATAGGTAATGGCCTCATTTCGTTACTGTGAAAACTCAGATGTCATTGTCACCCTGATCAAAACAAATTTTCATCTTCATTTAATACAGCGGTGGTGGTAATTTTTTCGAAGTCTTTGTTAATGGCAACATAGTTTGTTCTCAAACTTGGGAGGCATTGACCCTTAAAAACCCCCTTCGAGCTACCTTAAAACAAGGATTTAACGATACTTACAATAATTGGATGATGTTTATCATCCTGCAAATTATAACATTTTTCCACAGCTATCCCTCCTCTTCTGCGTGCCTCAAGAAGAGAAATCTCTACTTGACCAAGAAGCCTCAAAAGAGAAAAAAAATCTTTCAACTGGGTACGAACTCTTGTCTGCGAGGTTTGCAAGGTTAGAGTTAAATCATTCGGGCCCGAAAACTTAGTTAAGTTTCTAGACTAGTAGTTTCAATTTGAAAGCAGGTGCTAGCGTCAGGGCTGGAAGAAAATACCGTGAATACAGTTTGGAAATAAATAAAGTGAAACTGAGTTATTCCTGGGAATTAGTTAGGACAGGAGCCCATAACCCGAGGCGACCAACTTCCATGTGCTCGTGTCACAGCGTTTTCATGGACCAGTTTATTTTTAGAACGGTTTTGGCGCGAATTTTGAACGTCTTTTAAATTCCATAAACCAGTCAGCACAACCTGCAGACCTATAATCATATTTTTGGCATTTTAATAACGTTTAGGTTTCCCTTTTGATACGTCATACCTCGAATGCTCTCATAGACATGATGGAGATTCTATTTTCGCTGGAAAAATGCCCTAAAATGTGTCTAAAAACAAATTGGTCCGTAAAAACGCCGTGACATAGGCCTAGCATAAGAGTTGCTCGCTCCGGTCCGGCTTATGGGCTTCTAGTAGGACAAGACTCCTTTAAAAAGAAAAGCGTGGGTAAGCCTTTTTAAAAGAAAGTATGGTATTTTTGTGTATTTGTGATGTATAAAAAGGGAGAGCCCTTTGAGTAAATTTCCAGAGTGTAAGCAGATGATAAACAAGGCCTGCTTTTTTAGTAACGTCTTTTTTTGTGGCATTTTCCAGACTGCTTTATTTGCCTGTGCAAGTATTCATCAAGGTTAAAACTGGTTAAGTGATGAATCCCGAGGAAGACAAGAGATTTTTTGTTATTATTTTTTTGCGGCTGCTCTAATGTGCCATTTTAGCTGATTCGCGAACGGAGGTGCGAAGAGGAAGACGCATGGTTAACAGGTATAAATCGCTTTGATGAGACCTTGTTGGCTCTATGCTCTATTTAAATGTCACAATCAAACATTTGTTCGTCAAAACTTGCCAAGTTTGTGTTTCGGTAATACTAATGCATTCTCATGAATATTCAAGCAATTTGGTGTTCGAGAGGATAAAAAAAAAAAAATAATAACAATAATAGTAATAACAATAATAATAAAATTGGACCTGATGGTAGCTTGCGTAGGAGGCGCTTGCCAACGAGACAGTCAGATAGTTTTAGAGATGAATGGTTAGCCAGGGGTTAGCGTATTGGAGCGATACACACGTTAAATCCATGGTTGCAAGCTTTTCTTTCGTCTGAAAAGGCAAATATGACTCTATGGTCAAATTACATCAACGTGCAGAGATTTTGACACAACGATAAACTTAAACGAAACAACGGACGAAGAATACAATCAAACACCGCTTTAGGGAAACCTGCCCTCATTATTAAGGACTGTGTTCGCTTTGTCCCTGGGGAAAGGAGGCCCGTGCATATGGTACGGAAGCCGCTTTAGACGCAAAGCTGGTTTGCTTCACAACTTCCTCGTTTTTCTCCCGAGACGAGCAAGCTAGAGTCGGTAGTTAACTCAGAATACGAGTATTTTTGCCTGGTACTCCATTCACTACTGCTGAATTCACAGAGAAGGAGGATTTGATTGAAATCTTCGCAACTTAATTTATTCGCGAATTGGCAGCAGCCAAACACATATAAGACTCTCGTCTTCTTCAAGATTTATCACTAAAACGCTCTGCGGATCGAGATCTCGATGAATACTTCCGTAAGCAGAATTAATGAAGAAATCTAGAGAAAACAATAACGGTAATGATAATGGTAACGACAACGATAACAGTAACGAGAACGAGAACGATAACAGTAAGGATAACGATAACAGTAACGATAACGAGGAGAACGATAACGATAACGATAATGATAAGGATGATGATGATGATGATGATGATGATGATGGTTATGATGATAAAAAAACTACCACTAAACACTCATCTCGTTTTTAATCCGTTTGCACCCTGGAAATCATGTCACTCAAAATTTTTCGGTCGAAAACTAATCGATTGCATATGCTTCTGATCGTACATCCGACAAGTTTTGGCTTTTTCCCGCTATTTTGGAGAACAGTGTGCTGACTCGCAAAAGGCTAGCCAGCAATTATTAGCCAGAAGCTCTTTTCACCGTTATGCTATTAATTTCAAAAGAAAAACAGTATTTTAATCGGCAATGGTGTAGACATAAAAATCCCTTTTTGGAGTCCTACAAGACATTCAGAAATTTGAGAAATTCATTTTGCCTAAAATAATTATAAAGAGATGAAGCCTGAATAAGTCTTTTCGAGACCTTTGCCATCCAAAAAGGCGAGGTTCTTCATGATAATAAACTGAAGGTGACGAGTTTACCCTTAATCGACTTAGTTGACGAAGTAAAATAATACTTGTTTTCCTACTAACACTGTTCAAAGAGATGGTTACTTTTTCTTGAACAATACTTACGAGCACGGAAATGTGCGGAATGTAATTTGTTGCATTTCTTTTATTAATGTGTCTTTTATGGCATTTCACATCAAACTAATTTCTATATCAAAATGTGAAATATAACTTCAAGATACTATTCAGTGGTGCACAGTTAGTGGTGCACATGGTGTTTAAATGTACGCCAAAATCATAGTTATTCAAAATACATGCTTCAATCACTAGTTCGCAGCAACCTCGCATATTGCTCGCAGGCGTGGGCTCCTCTAGCTATTAATCTTATCTTTGACATCGAAAGAATTCAGCGGTGCGCAACAAAATTCATTCTGTCTATGCTGTAGGTCTGAAGTTAGTTATAAACAGAGGATTTTTAAAAATTGGGCTACTACCATTATGTTACGGGCACGAATTTTTAGATTTGGTGTACGTATTCAAATGCTTAGTTAGTCTATCCGACCCTTTTATTTCAGGCATGAATTCCACTAGACCCAGGCGTATTGTCTCCTCCAAGGGTACGCTTTTGAATACGAAATACGATTAGGGCCAACACCTTCATCTTTGAGAACAGTTTTTACTGAAGAGCCCCAAGAATCTGAAATACTTTACCACTACTACTTGTATCTTACTAAGTCTGTTTATGATGTCGACACTCCCCCCCAGACCTTTAAGATTCTGTGTATTAAGTGCTACACTAGTCGGCCATTACACAGCTTGCTCGATCGTATGTGTTGTTGATTTTTTATCGATGTCCTCCCCAATTCTGTTTTTGCATTTTCACTTCTTTTTTTGCCGTTTCTAAAGTACTGTCATTCTTGTTAGTTTTATTACTAATTTTCTGGAAGTCGTAGTGGAGCTTGCTCTGTGAGTAATCCAGGCCTCTTGGCGAAGTATGCATGCATGGCGACGTATGCATGTTTCAATGCAAATAATACCTACCTGTTGATCCAAAAGTCTTCTTTGTCTTTTATTTCAACCGACAGTTTCTCCTCCGTAGTCAGGGGTGCATCTTCAAGAAGCCATTTGAATGTAGCCTGTAGAGGGTAACAAAAGAAAGAAAGAAAGAAAGAAAGAAAAGAAAGAAAAAGGGAGAAAGAAAGAGAGAAAGAAAGAAAGAAAAAGGAAAGAATGAAAGGAAGCAAGGAACGAAGGAAGAAGGAAAAGAAAGAAAGAAAACCGTTATAAGCGCTAGGGCTCTCTATATAAGACGCTTGTAACTGTCACGGGTTAAGTATAAGTTTTCAGATGGCAAAAAACTTAGCTTCTCGTTGTTTTGTTGTAAAGGAGGTCACACGAGGGTTAATCGTCGAGTAGCAATTAAATCAATTTTCAACGCTCTCTGTGAATTACCCAGTGAAGGTTAATGGTAATGTTAATGATAATCGTCAAGATTATAATGATTGTGATTGTGTTTATGGTATTGATATTGACATTAATATTATAATAATAATGATGATGATAAAAAATAATAATGATAAGGATGAAGATAGTGATAATGATAATGATAATAATACTGCTAATGAGAATGAAATAGTAATGATAATAGATTCATAATGACGTCACAAATTTTTGGCTGATCACTTTTTTTTGAGGTCTGCTTGGATTGTAGTCTTATGTACCCATATTCGGATTGTTAAGGAACAATAACACCTTTGAATTTGTCTAAGCAGGGATATAATGTTAACCGTGACGTCTTATTACCTCTCCTGATGTCCAAGTTGGGTTCAGATTGTCTTGTTTATATGGTGTCTTTTTTTTTCGACCTGCATGTGAAACAATCGTCAGCGTCAAATCTCTGATCTTGCCACGCTTTTCATGAATTAAAGCAAAGATTAATTAGGTATATATCGCATGCAGATCAGAACCTTGGGAAGCTTTCAATTATAGCATTATAATTATGTCACACCAACCTGCCAAAGATTAGTGGAGCTCCAAATTTTGATAACTTTTCATTAAAAGAAAAGGGGGGGGGGACTACAAAAGACAATGTTTGAAAATAGAAAGGCAAAGTTCGGTTGGACAGAGTAGTCAGAAAAGACCCACCCTCGAGTTTGAAGTGACTTTTTTCGGAAAAATTCCACCTACACCAGATTGTTCCTGGAATGTTTCCGCATTAGAAAGGACCCTTGATCTTCACAGCTTATAAAAATTTAAGAGGTCACTCTACCTTCGATGGATGTTACTAAGCAGGAATCGGAAACGAGAAACAAGAAACGGAGAACAAGAACTGAGCGCAATGAACGGGAAAATGAAAAAATTAGAAAAAGACAGCCTAACCCTAGCCATTCCAGTTACGCCCTAACTCACCATATCCTATATCGAACATTAAGAATGAATGGGCGCAGACGATACGATAAATTTTTATATTTTACTAAGTTTACTTTTAAAGGTTAAGAAAGGTGTTTCTAAACATTATTGGGAGACCATACGGACCTTTGTCAATCGCCTTAAAAGTGATCTTATCCTCGTCTAATCACGCCGTAAAATTTTTACAACTAACTGATCTTGGATTGAAGTTTGTCAAAACATAGTTTCCAGGAAAATCGATATTACCATCGACAACGATAAGCAAAAATCTTTGAAATCAGTTAACAGGGAATTTTGCGACATCTAGACCTTCCATTGAAAACACGGCATCAGGAACTTAAAGTGTAGTGTTTGGCATGTAATCTCCGTGAGAATGAAAAAAAATTATGCACGTTTCAATTAAAATAAAACGCAAATGAATTTCAAGCCTTATATTTATAATAGTCGTGATATGCTACAACCAGTTGCAAAAGTACTTGAGACACTGTACCGTATTTTGGCATAAATGGCCTGTCCATGATCTTGTGCTTGTGATCCCCCTCCACCCCTTATCAAAGTTGCTAGCAATACAAGACCATACTCAAAACTTGGAGGAACAACTTTGAATGGGAGGGAGGAGAGAGGTCAGTGTTATATTTTAGAGACCTGTGACCAGGAGCGATTTGAAGCAAGAAAGGTCGTTTTTCCGTGTGTGTCTCATCATATTTGCAACTGGTTGTAGCTCCACTTCGGTGAATAATAATTATTGTTATAATATATTCCTTCAAAGAAAGTCTGCTTTTATAATCTCCGCAAAAAAAAACAATGTACCCGTCCTAAAATTAATACTGAGCATTTCATGTCTGCCTAATATTTAAACACAACCTTAGTGCAGGATAGTTAGGATTCTGTGATTAGTTTATTTATTTTATTATGCATTACGGTATTCAAGACAGTTGTAACATCTTTATCTTGTGGAAATAAGACCATTATTACTATTCTTCTTCTTCTTCTTCTTCTTCTTCTTCTTATTATTATTATTATTATTATTCCGCAAAAAAAAAAAACAATTATCCTAAAATTAATACTGAGCATTTCATGTCTGCCTTATTTATTATTATTATTATTATTTATTTATTTTATTATGCATTATTATTCAATGCTGACCATTAATATTCCATTTTTTATTATTATTATTATTATTATTATTATTGCTATTATTATTATCATATTATTATATTACAATGGAATATTGGTGTATTCCCTTAAAAACTAACTTTCTAACCATTCCAAGTTCAACTTTAACGCTTTTCAATTCATATATCTCAGTAACGGCCTGATAGAATTCTTTAAAAAACTCAAAACTTAGTTTTCACGATGCGCGTAACGTGGTAATGTGTCAAACTTTCTTAATAACATTGGTTCACTGCAACAACCTCAATTCCAAGCCGAACCTTTCTTCTTCTTCTTGTTTTTTTGTTCAAATATTTTTGAAAAACGAACAAGCCGATAAATTTAGGCAGCTGAAAGCAAGAAATGGAATCAAGAAGTATAATGAGATATTTTACTTCTTACACCACAGCTAAGAGGACATGTTTTTAGAAACATAAACTTGCATCAAACAGATTCGGGGACACTTATGATGCTAAACTAGATGCTTGCCAAAATGCCCCTGAATTATACTGTCTCTTAAGGAAGATACGTAGCACTTACCTCGAAAGGTTAATACCACAAAGGGAACACTTTCCCCTTTGTCTTTGGAGTCAACATCAGGTAAATTTGATGCGCTAAGAAAGGTAACCTCTAGAGACATTTTTCACTTTCCAGTCAAACTTACACTCAGATTGTGATATTCAAACCCACATATTACCCTTGTTGATCTCAAAAGAAAAAGACATGCATTTTGAGTATAGAAAATCACTTTGACGAGATTAAACCAAAAACTATCTTAAGCGTGGTTGTTTTATTAAGCTATTAATGTTGTATCACCTGACGTGTTAGAAACTAATTTTAATATTGACTTCTGATATCTTTGCCTTTTGAATGAGCCATTGATTTTCTATGTATTTTGTACAATTTTTTTGTATGAGAATACCGTGGCTGATCCGAAACCGCAAATATATTATGTTTTTTCTTTTACGTTTGGAGTAAATTTAGTAAACAAGTGTGATCGCCTAACAAAAAGAGGATAACAATACGCGCGTCATCTAAAAATCACTAATTAAAGCTATTTTTACACATATCTGCTGGGACATTAAGACCAAACATTGAAATTAGTTGTTCGTTAGAAAGTCATGTTGTCACGATATGTTTACAGCTCGTTGCAAGAACGAACGAGGGAGTAAAAATAGAAAATGCTGTTAGCTCTTGGTTTTAGCCTGGATGTGTACGTTTTTACTTTTATTCACGTTGATTTTTTGTTGAGTTTTTTAATCGTGTCCGTTGGGTCTTAAAGGACGGTTTTCTCGTGGTGATAACCCTATCTATTAATTCAACTGAGATCATTCTAAGCACGTCGCGACTGCATGCATGCAATTGTTTGAAAACTTTCGTCGTGTTTAAATGATCAAACCAATTATTATGCTCCGTAAATGTACATTACAAATTTTCAAACTGCAGATTAGCCTGCCTTACAGCTGAATAAGCATTTGACCCCTGGTTAATATTACATTCAGTTTCAAAAGTGAAGTCATAAAAGTCATCGAGGCTGATTTAAATTTTAACCGTTTATAATATAACAAGAAAAAAATATAGATATCTTTTCCTTTTGAAGTAACAGATAATTAATAATGTCTCCTCTCCTTTCTCTGAGTTGTTGTTATTATTATTATTATTATTATTATTATTATTATTATTATTATTATCTCTTTTATCACAGTCTTTGCTGGTGTTCTTTTTGTGCATCAGCCGGGCGCAAACCATGCACCTAGAGCGTCAGTCACTCAAGTCAATCATTCTGTTCATACACTGAGCACCTTTCTGAGGATTCGAGCAGATCCCAGCATGCAGATCTTTTGAATCTCTGTCATAGCAGCTCTCTCTGATACTTTCTTGATGTTTTCTACCATAACCTTCTTCACTGTACCAAGCGCACCAACAACCACAGGGATCACTACGGTTTTCATATGCCACATTCTCTGTATTTCTAGTTCTAGGTCTTTGTACTTGCTTCTTCTTCTTCTTCTTCTTCTTCTTATTATTATTATTATTATTATTATTATATTACAGTGCTGCTTAATATCGTTTTTCTATGCCAAGGAATTTTGGTGTATTCCCTTTTTTGCGATCTTAAAAATTAATTTTTTAACCATTCCAAGTGCAACTTTAAGCAAAATCTTTATTTTTAACGCTTTTCAATTCATATGTCTCAGTAACGGCTTGATTGAATTTTTTAAAATCTCAAAACTTAGTTTTCATGATGCTTGTAATGTGGTAATGTGTCAAACGTTCATTAACATTGGTTCACTGCAGCAACCTCAATTCCAAGCCGAACCTAACCTAAGAAAACAAGCAAAAAAAACCTGCTTTGCGATCAGCACTGTTTTGACGTTATGCTATTTTTTTTTGTAATTAATACGCACTACATCCATGTACCCCCATGGCCAGTTAGTGGGGAAAAATGTTATGGCGATCAGACAAGGATAAGGTCCCTTTAAAGGCGATTGAAAAATATCAGTATGGTCTCCGAAAAACTGTATCGAAACACCTTAAATTACCGACTTCACAAACAGTACAATACATAAGCCCAACCATTATTATTATTATTAAACCATTATCATCATTATTATTATTGTTGTTCGGTATACTAATTAGCAACAGTAGTGGGCTGATTTAACATTAATTGCGGCATACAATAAGATTAAACAACAAGAAGAAAAATAATAGGTGGAAAAGAAAGAACGAGAAGGTTGAAAGCTTTTCGTTTAACGTAATTCCTTTAACAGACGATTGAAAAAATGAAAAAAAAATCGGTAGACAGCATAAAAGGAAGTTCAATTTCACATCCTTTCGTGAGCGCAGCCAGGTTTTTGAACGCCTCATTTGTTTGCTTTGCAAATTTGTACACATTTTTTTCACCGAAGGACACGCTCCCAAGTAGCCCCTCAGGGCAAACCTTTTTCTCACTAACACACATTTTACTGCTTGATTTCTCGTAAATGCGTGAATGAGAGTATAAAAGGAAGTTCAATTTCACATCCTTTCGTGAGCGCAGCCAGGTTTTTGAACGCCTCATTTGTTTGCTTTGCAAATTTGTACACATTTTTTACACCGAAGGACACGTTCCCAAGAAACCCCTCAGGGCAAACCTTTTTCTCACTAACACACATTTTACTGCTTGATTTCTCGTAAATGCGTGAATGAGAGCTGTTGGAATTAAACATTTTAATGCATTGCAAGTTTGGTAATTTCAATGATACAGAGTCAGTTTTTTTTCCCTTTCAAGCCATTTTGAGGAAAACGTTGCATGGATAAAATGTACTAATGTACGACGCGGAATGAAACCCCTTCAATCAAAGAATCGAATATGAATTGATACAGCGGAACTCTTTTTTGTTTGTGTTTTTCTTCTTTTTTCTTCTGTAAATATTTTGGAAAAACGAACAGGCCGATAAATTTAGGCATCTGGATGCAAGAAATGGTATCAAAAAGCATAATGAGATATTTTACTTCTTACACCACAGCTAAGAGGACATGTTTTTAGAAACATAAACTTGCATCAAACAGATTCAGGGGACGCTTATGGTGCTAAACTAGATGCTTGCCAAAATGCCCCTGAATTATACTGTCTCTTAAGGAAGATATGTAGCACTTACCTCGAAAGGTTAATTCCACAAAGGGATCACTTACCCCTTTGTCTTTGGAGTCAACATCAGGTAAATTTGATGCGCTAAGAACGGTAATCTCTAGAGACATTTTTCACTTTCCAGTCAAACTTACACTCAGATTGTGATATTCAAACCCACATCTTACCCTTGTTGATGTCCATCTCAAAAGAAAAAGACATGCATTTTGAGTATAGAAAATCACCTTGACGAGATTAAACCAAAAACTATCTTAAGCATGGTTGTTTTATTAAGCAATTAATGTTGTATCACCTGACGTGTTAGCAACTAATTTTAATATTGACTTCTGATATTTATGCCTTTTAAATGAGCCATTGATTTTCTATGAATTTTGTAAACTTTTTTCTATGAGAATACCGTCGCTTATCCGAAACCGCAAACGTATTATGTTTTTCCTTTTTCGTTTGGAGTAAATCTAGTAAACCAGTGTGATCGCCTAACAAAAAGAGGATAACAATATGCGCGTCATCTAAAAATCACTAATTAAAGCTATTTTCACACATATCTGCTGGGACATTAAGACCAAACATTGAAATTAGTTGTTCGTTAGAAAGTCATGTTGTCACGACCTGTTTACAGCTCGTTGCGAGGGAGTAAAAATAGAAAATGCTGTTAGCGCTTGGTTTTAGCCTGGATGTGCACGTTTTTGCTTTTGTTCACGTTGATTTTTTATTGAGTTTTTTTAATTGTGTCCGTTGGGTCTTAAAGGACGGTTTTCTCGTGGTGATAACCCTATCTATTAATTCAACTGAGATCATTCTAAGCACGTCGCGACTGCACGCATGCAATTGTTTGAAAACTTTCGTCGTGTTTAAATGATCAAACCAATTATTATGGTCCGTAAATGTACACTACAAATTTTCAAACTGCAGATTAGCCTGCCTTACAGCTGAATAAGCATTTGACCCCTGGTTAATATTACATTCAGTTTCAAAAGTGAAGTCATAAAAGTCATCGAGGCTGATTTAAATTTTAACCGTTTATAATATAACAAGAAAAAATATAGATATCTTTTCCTTTTGAAGTGACAGATAATTAATAATGTCTCCTGTCCTTTCTCTGAGTAATGGGCTATCTACCATCACATGGGTAATGAAATTAATACTAGGGACTTTAAGAACCAAAGACGCGGACGGCAACGAGAACGTCAAAAAACAATTAGTTTTATAAGCAAAACAATAACTTTGAAAGTGCAACACGCTTTTTTGTACATTTCTTTGCCCGTTTTTGCACGACTACGATGTGAAAATGCCTAATTTCGCGTTTTAAAGGAGACGAAAACAAGCATCGACGAAATTTTATTATGAATTTATGAACTTGGCTATTGCGCCTAGGAATTAAAATTCATGAGGGTTCGCCCATATTTGACAAAGGAAGTTTTTAGGAATAATTGCGATAAAGACTGAAATCAAGCAAATTCACTTTTTTAACGACGTTCTCGTTGCCATACGCGCGTCGTTGAATCTTAAAGTCCCTTCTCTCCGGAGATTGTGGGAATAAAACAAAAGAATCGAAATGAAGGTTAAGGGTTGAATGAATAACCCCTTTTTCTGTTTGACTATTTTATTCCACTCGCTTTAAAGCCAAATATAATATTTAAAACAACGAAATCGCCTATTCTCCATCAAATTTCCAAGCCTTGGACCAGGCTCCGCAGTCGGCGCCCTTTCCCCCTCCCCAGGTCACTACTCGGCTCGCTTCGCTTCGCTTCCTATTTGTCCCCGTTTTTTCCTATTTCCCCCACTGCGGAGCCTGGTCCGCTCAGGCTACACATTTTCGGGTTATTTAGCCTAAGAGGTGGGGTGAGCCGAAAGGGAATGGGAGGGGTCGCAAACTGCACGAAGAGCTTTCTGGGGCTGCCTGTTCGGGTACGGTATACGTAGAGTAACAGCATCAAACGGGTCAATTCCCCATTGGCTTGGATGATGCTTATTGCACTTTTCATGACTACGTATTGTGTGCAACTGGAGAAATCAGAAATCAAGAAATCCACCCCAAATTCCAAATGGCAGTTTTATGGTGTCAAATAAATTAAAAAGAATTCTTGTGTAGCCATCGTCTACGCTTTCAAAATGTACTTATCAAGTAAAACATTAAAGAACACACCATTTCATACAGCCAACAAACATTTGCTCTCAAGAATAATGAATTCATTTGAGATCTTAACACAGACGTGGAAGTGAAATGCGCCAGGAAAACGGGTAAATGTTCACAAAAATGAATCCTGCCAAGAGTACTAAAAGGTTAAAAAATATAGACAATAAAATATGAAAGGAATTCACTCATTTTATTTTATTGTCACTTTCCCCTAAACCGTTAACTTGTTGCACCATGAAAGGTATCTTGGCACTTAATTTACAATTACATGAGGACGAATGTTACTTCATAGCATCACAAATATTCGAGACTGCAATCACATTTATATGTGCAGTCTCGAGCAGTTTACAGAAAAGAAGATTTGGATTTGGTGTCTTTAAAGGCAAAATAAGTGGGAGTTAAGCTATTTGTAACGAACTGTCAAGTATCTGTGAAACAAACACGGTAAATTTAATCGACCAATGAACGCTCACGGCTTGATTGTATACATTCATATTTTCTTATCAACCTTACCTCTTTGGAGAGAATTACTGTAACTACTAACCTAAGGAAATTATTATTATTTGGTTCAAATTTATTTGTTGATATTTCAGAGAATTAATTTAATTCTAGCTTCAATTACTGCAACACTCGAAGCATTCAAATTTATTTAAAGAAGATGTTGCCTAGTGCGGTACACGGAAATAAAAGATGTGCCATTCATCAGGTACCGGACATTTAGCTTCATCAGGCTTATACTCCAAACATCTTCTTCACAGTGTAGCCCTGTAATGAAGAAAAAATGTAGTATAATTTCCATAAAGTGGATATCGGTAAAACGTTTGGCACCTTTCAGCATGTGTCGTTGCGAGTCTATGCTACAATGTGAGCCTTCCAAATACACATTTACCTTCTTTCTACTCCACTCCGCCATTTGATCAGACTACTGTTTATTTATTCATGTATTTATGTATTATTTATTTACCAAGCATTACAAAACCCTAAAGTGTATGTATATCCACAAATTCACCTCGATATAACGGCCAACACAAGCGAAACACGAAACGTTTATTTAGTGAAAGAAAGAAAGGTGACAAACGAAAACGGATAAGCTGTGAAAGAGTCAGCAATGTAGTAGCACCGTCTTCAAAAAAACTCTTACGAGATTACGGCCCGTTAGTAGTATACCGTAGATCCTCAATGAAACCCCCTCCTCTTAAATGGGGCCCCCCCTCTGATACATGTAGCCCCCCCTGCCCTTTTAGAGGAAGAAAGTTATCAAGCCTCTCCCTCTCTTTTGAGCCCCCTGCCTCTTATTCTTCACAGCGAAATCAATAGATGTTACAGTTTGTTAACTAGAGCTCTACTTCTCTACTTCTTTATGGTGAATTGATACCATCCTTTACTTATTATTCAAAAGGACTGTATAGTACCCGGCCTGTTTTGCCTCCTCTCTTTTAAGCCCAGACCCCTCCCCAACGGAGCTAGAAATAAAATTTCCCCGGGGCTTAGTAGAGGATTTACGAAATTGGGGGGGTGAGAATCTGAAAAAGCGAGATGTCCGCAAGGTAACAAGGTTGACTCCGATATGTTATTCTGAGGATAAGGTTTTGGGTTTTGCTACTTACGGGCATACTGTAGATGAAAATGCCAATCAGCAGAGCGACGATAATAAGGATGAGAAGAAGGAGGATGATCCATTTGTATCGCCTCCAGATGATGTATTTAAGAGTCTTGAAAGGAGACGTGAACCATAAGAAAGAGGTCGCGGGACGGCTGAAAAAAAATATAAAACAAAATAAATGAATACATAAAATCCAGTTGGGACTTTTATGATCTTGGATTTTCTTTTGGTTTTGGCTCGCAAACTTTGGCTGAATTATTTGATATGAAACAATCCTACCAAACGTGGTGGGCGCTCCAGTTCACAAAAGTTAGTAAAAAAAACAAACAAACAAACAGAACAAAACAAAAACAAAAACAAAATCAAACAATTATTTTACCATATTGATTTATTGTATTCCGCAAAAAGAAAAACAATAAAAGGTACTGAATCGCTATAAATCACTTGTCTTGGCATTCATTGAATCTTCAAATGCTACAAAAATGACTTGAAGAAAATATGGAGATGCACGTGGCCCAAAAATCACAGGAAATATACTGACAAAGCTCTTGCGTATTCTTATTCAGACATACGATCATACGAACGCGAGCAAAAATGTCTGACGTTCTCCATAACCATTACACTTTACTTACTTTGGTTCCTCCAGGACGGGGTGTTGGTTTGGATCTTCCCGTCCCTGTCCGGCGGGTTTCGCCTCTGCTTCCCATCCAGCAAGCACCTCAACAGTCATCTCCACTTTTCCCTGAGGTTAAAATAAACGAATTACAGCTAAAAGACAAAAAGTTGCAATCTTCTCTTTGAAGAACGTAGGATTAAAAAAGCGCCCCCTTAACTTCATGTTTGCATTGTTTAACGAAACGTTAGCGTTATGGTGGATTTTAGCAACATCTCTCAGAAGATTTCATAAAAATATCAGTATCATAAAGAGAACCAAAACACCTGAAAAACATGCAATAAAAATAAAATAAAAAAATCCTTGTTGTAAATTACTTGAACGAATTTTCTCGAGAGAGCTTATTTAAGTATCACATTTATATTTGCATACGTGATGTTTCTGAGTACTTCATACTCAGACCCATCCTCGGAGACCCAGGGGCAGTCAGTCGGGCCGGGAGAAAAGGCGCAACAAAAGTTTTCAAGTACAGGCGGAAAAGCCCCTGGGTACCGACTCTCACCGGACCATTTCCAAACGGTCAAGAGAATGCTGGTTCCTGATTGGGCACAAAAAATGCTTTGTATTACTGTGCCCAATCGGCGAACAGCATCTCCTCAGTTCTTTTCGTGAGTTCGTACACGACGACTATTATCTCGCCACAGTTGCCAGGTTCGTTGCTTCGTTCACCAAGCTTTCCTAACCAGAAACGAAGGAACTACCGATGAGTCGAAAAACGTTTCGGATGCTATCAGCAGGAGCCGATTTGGACTGAGAAAATTCTGTTTCTGACGGATCACAATGTATCGTAAATAATAGGAAGTTTAAGATGAAGCGGCGACGAAAAAGTAAAAAAAGCAATAGCTTGACAAGGCAAAACAACAACTTTGCACGTGCATCACGCTTTTTTGCATATATTTCTTTGCCGTCACTGCACGACTACCACGTGAAAATGCCTAATTTCACGTTTTGTGAAGGACGTAAACAAGCAATGACAAAATTTTCTTTCTCTTTATGAACTTGGAGATGGTTGAGAGAAATTCAATTCCAGAGGAGTTCGCTTGCATTTGACAAAGTAAGTGAGTTGGAATAATCACGATAGAGACTGAACAAATGTGAGTTCACTCTTCATGCGACGTTTTCGTGGTTGTCAGCTGTCGCGCCATATTAAACTCCCTATATTTACGAAGGCGTGATCGATGCAAGCGTGAATAGCTGTTGTAAGCTAAAGCTTGTATTTTTGGAAAAGCGTCTTTAGTTTTCATGTAGTTAGTGGTTGTCTTTACACTAGGCTGCTAAGTTTTACTTAACCAAAAATGCGCGTGTGAAGGCATAAGCAAAATCTCAAGTAACTTTACTTTGCATCTCATTAAAACTGGCTTAGCGAACTTGCGGTTTCCAAGCTTTGAGAAAGGCGAAGCATGTCAATCAATCTTAATTACGTTGCGTGGGAAAACCTGAAGTAAAAAAGATAGGTTGTGTGTGAAGGTCGGTACACACTAGGCGACAAGTTGCTGCAACACGTCGCGGCGACAGATCACTCCATGTGTACAGGTCGGGCGACTAGTTGCAGCAACAAGGTGAGGCGACACGTCGCAGCGTCAAATTGCTTCGTGTGTACTGAAGAATTTTTGTTAAAATCTTTGTCTCCGCAACAGAATTTTGTCGCTGCAACAAGTCGCAAAAAATCAAATCGGACTGAATTTGTGCGACTTGTTGCGGCGACAAATTCTGTTGCAGCGACAAAGATTTTCACAAAAATTCTCCAGTACACACAAAGCGATTTGTCGCTGCAACGTTGTTAGCTTATTTAGGCTCTAGTGTTAAGACTACCAGTATTTTGAAATGTAGCGTTTATTTCAAGGTGAAAGATTCCTGACTGCGTGCATTTCTTTGGTGCATGGGCCAGACAAGCAGTGATCGAGTCAATAGCCGTCGTATACGAACTCACGAAAAGAACTCAGGAGATGCTGTTCGCCGATTGGGCACAATAATACAAAGCATTTTTTGTGCCCAATCAGGAGCCAGCATTCGCTTGACCGTTTGGAAATGGTCCGGTGAGAGTCGGTACCCAGGGGCTCTTCCGCCCATAATTGAAAACTTTTGTCGCGCCTTTTAACCCTGCCCGACTGACTGCCCCTGGGTCTCCGAGGATGACTCAGACCAAGGGCTTCCTACAAGTTACTCGGCAACTTTTTGGCAACTTTTCGTATTTCAAGCAAATTTTTTGTGCTAACATCACCCTGTGAAGAATATCGTTGCGAGAGATCCTTACCTGCGGTTCGGGTACACCTGGTTTGTAGCATGCCCACCATCCCTTTGTACTCTTCTGTGTAAACAAGTCCATTGTCTTGCCGTTAAGTCCAGGGTCCTTCCTGGGATTACCACAGTGATCAGGATCAGCGCAAGGCTTTGCCAGCTCATTCAAGTTCAGTTCCAGTTGGCCTGTGATTTCAAAACATAATTTTGATTTACTTACATTGAATGTGACGTCTGCCTCTGGAGAAGTTTGACATGGTTGAGTTTGAGCCTTTTTTCATCGACCTACGCGATCGGCGTCAAACTCTAAGCTTTCAAGAAAATAATGCCTGGTCCATCAAAAGAGCCATATGTATACCAAATTGCAACAAAATTGCCTTAGAAAAATGCTAAGTGAAAAAAAAAAAAAAAAAAGAAAAACACAAAGCAACAAAAAAAAAGAAAAAAAAAAAGAAAAGAAAGAAAAAGAAAAAGCCAAATGGGAAGTGAGTCTGATTAATTCCTATTTAGCATTTTGCATTTTCCTTTCCTTCCTTTTGGCGTTTTTCTATCACATCGTTCTTGAAATTAGGTAAATGTATACAAAAGAAACTACTGAACAGAGGACGGTCATATTCTTTTAAGGCATATCAATCTTACCGATAAAGTCATCACTGGAAAAGGTATCATTCTCCCAAATCTGTATCTTAAGCTTCGCTGTCGCTTTTTCTTCCGTCTCATCAAGACTCCAGAAGTGCTCCTACAGAAATAAAAAAAGCAAAGCGAGTAAATATATGCCACGCGAGTGCATTGTTTCTCTTTTTTTTTCGGAGGCAAAGGCTTTGATTTAGGTTCAAATAGGTGATTAGATGCGTTTGATGGTTGAATTGCAAGAAGGGAAGAATATAAACGTCTTGAATCAATTACGTACCACAACAGCTAGCTAATGGTTGCAAACGTAACTGGGGAATCATTTGCGTATGCGTGTACGTATTTTTGTTCAAATTAGCACCAAACCTTTCGAAAATAAAATCGTTCTCATTTCTTCGAAAGAAATCTGTAGACTTGGTCGGAAGTAGCGCATTGTTGGTTTAGAAGTAATACGAATTAATAAGAAGGAATAAGACTTTCGTTTATATCATGGGTCAGCCATATACTTTAATGTAACGAGGACACGTACTGTTGTCTTCCATACGACACATTACATTTCATCAAAGCGACCAAATTTTATAGTCGTTAGGGGTAAATATTCAAAACTTTTAATGTTCTGTATTTCAATTTCAATTTTAATGCTTGGAAGTTGACTTTCAATGGTACTAGCATTTTACCTTCTTTTTCACGACCACTTTCTTTTCAATTGGCAAGTAGTCGAAAGGAAACACCATTCGCCAATTGAAATTGCCATCACCATCCAAAGATCTGTAAAAATCGTATGTGAAACATGAGGTCAGGCTTAGCTTTGCAAGGCAAACCAGAGGGTATATCTGTCAGCCCATAGCCAGCTGTCAATCGATTTTCCCCTCTTTCCCTCACTTACAAGAGCAAGTCAAGAGTGGTAGCCGTTACACTATTTTCCTGGAGAAATAACTTCTTTAGTAAGAAACAGGCGTGGAAATTCCATACTGATGACGTGTCACTGCCCAGATCTGGGTAGAGCTTCTGATTGGTTGAACAAAAGCTTTCACGAGGCACGACCAATCAGAAACACCACCCAGATCTGGGTAGTGAAAAGTTATCAGTCTGGAAAGACTTCGGGTTGCCTTCTCAAATGTTGGCTGTGTGGAAGGCTAGTCCCTTAGTAGCTAGTGTGTTATTTGTTCAAGGTTTGACACTGTACTTCTCCCTCGCTACGGCTTCATTCTGTTTCATGAAAAGAAATCCAACGGGCATTTTCTCCTCACGACGTGATTTAACCACCTCGTGTCCATAAATTTCAAACAGAGTGACTCGAATAAATTAAAAGTCACTGAAACTTTGAAATGTTTCTTCGATTTCCATTTTTCTTTTTCGATTCCCTAGCCAGTAAAGACTGAGCCTGCGTCACTGACGAAACTTAACTCTGGTTAAGTCTGTCAGCGAAACAGCGCCGAAATCCTTGTTCTAGGTCCCCACCCCACCATGACTGGCCTGTTGAAGAAGCCATTGTCCATTTGCCAATCAAGATGACAGGAAATTCGAAACGCACTTCCGGTAATTCGTTGAGTTCGTTGGGGGCCTAGAACAAGAATGTCGGGGCTGCTTCGCAAACGTTACATGGGTTAAATTACGCCTACGACGCAGGCTAAAAAAAATGTGATAACTTGGAGATTAGTCGCGTTATTAACATTCGACTTGAACGAAAGAGCTTTTCAGTCGGTAACTTAATAAGCGAGGACCAGCAATTAATGTTATGTCCCTGAACAAAGTACTGATTAAAAGGGGTTAAAGATCCCGGCTAGAAACAAATAACCTCTCACTCAATCATTAAGCATAATTTCCCTGAAAATGTCCCCGTTTTAGTGGACAGCCTTACCTGTAATGAGTGTCAGTCCTCTCTTTGTCATTGATAACGTCAATCCACCTAAAGGAGAGACATAGAGGGTAAGTCACCAAATGGACACCTCGCAATCGCGTTTGTTAAAAAGGTTTAATAATACTGGAATACTTTAATATTCGTGACCAGTGAAATCAACAACATCAGCATCATCCTAATCCTCATCGTCGTCCTCGTCGCCGTCGTAGTCGTCCTCATCATCATCATCATCAGCATCAGCATCAGCATCATCATCATCATCATCATCATCATCATCAACATCAACATCATCAACATCCAATCAACCAGTATCATAGTCTACCGGACCATGCGGCAACGCATTGCACTTTTCAGATCTATTACTACAACTCCTATCCAGGAGCGTACGTATAGGTCACGGTTCCACAGAAGAAGTGATGATATCACTTCTCTGCTCGCATGCAGTCCAGCGAGCTAATAGCGCCTACACCTGAGCGTGTCCGATATTGGTTAAAGGTTACCATACGTAATTCTTTCTGTGTTGCGTGCTTAGACCAACAAAATTATTACCTTATCATTATACTTTTGTTAATTTCTTTTATTTGACATTTTTATATTAAAGACTTTGCACTTGCTCTCCTATTCCATTGGTGTTGATTTTAGCGCGTAAATATTGATAAACTGGACTCACCCCTTGACATAAATGTCACTCATCTTCTCGCCCGTAATGGACTCCTCTTCAAGCACAACATCTGTAGTGTTCCAGATTATGACTCGCAACTCTTGCCTAAAATAACAAGCATATCGCAACGCAGTTACTAAGCGTTTATTATTGAGCTTCCGTCGCTGATTGATTGTATTGAATAAATAAACAAATATCTTTCGCAAAATTTATCATTCCTTATAAAAAGTCTTGTCGTTGTACTCACTTAACAGGCTTTCTTTCATCAATGACAACCGGTGGTTTCGGGCTACCAGCTTCTTTTGAGAAAATGTCCACCCACAACTGAATTTTACCCTAAAAAAGAAAGAAAGAGAAACATTATAACCATTGAATTCAATAACTTTATAAATAATTGATCAGGGCTAGTAGAGATATAGTAGAGCAACTGAAATCGCCACACAGCGGGTGGTAACTCGCATTTTCCCTCTTCTCTTCTGGTTTCACCTTCGTTGTCGATAAGGCTATCCCAAATTAAATAAATGAAATAAAATAAAAATAAAACAGAAACAAAAAATAATAATATATGGTCAAAATTTCTCAAAACGTTGCTCAAAAGTTGCTCTCAAAATGCCAAGATCTCCACGTTGCTTTCCGTATTTTCTGCAAGAGAATTGTTTAATTAACCTACCAAAGAACCCATTTTTACTGTTTCTTGACTCCTGAGTGTTTAAAACCCTGCTAAAATGAGTTGCCACACGCTTGTAACCCTTTGAGGTCACTCGAGCGTGAGCCGTACCACCATTTTGAATTTTTCAACCCATCGCTGACCACTTCAATCACCTTTAGAAAACTCTACCTTATACAGAAAAGTCACCCGAAACCGGAAAACTAGCCCAGACGTTTCCGAGCATCTCAGAGACAGTCTTACAGTGAAAATTGAGTGTTACCATTTGCTTTGCCTTACCTGCTCAATATCTGGTTGAACTGGACTGTACAGAGATCTGGTCTCTATGTGTTCAGGGACTAAGTTGAACGTGTGCAGAATATGAAGAGCCAAACGTTCATGAGCAGGTCCTACCTCACCAGCTGGGGGAGTTCCTTCCTCTGTTATTGAAAACATTAAGCAAAAATAGCTGTCAACACGGCCATCACGAGGAAGCAAATAATTAGCACAGGATAGAACATCGAAAAGACAAACAACAAACAAGACAAAAGTGTTTCGACCAATGCCCAGAAATCGAGTTGTAGGTTAAACAAACAAACAAAAAAACAAATCAAAACACAAAAGACAAAGATAATAATAATAAAATAAAACAAGGAGGAGACGAGTTACACGAAGGTGTATGAATATCCAGGAAGCAGTCTTTCGGGCGTTGCTAAACATGAATTTTTCTTCAACTGATCAATAATACTTGAATAGGTTCAAAGCTAAAGTTTAAAAAATTCTTCGGCAAAGCTCGTTCACGGTAATGCTTTCCCATGTCTTCTCTGTCTTCTCTTCACAAATGATTTGGGAGGATATTATGATAAAAAGTCATCAAACTAAGGTGACTAGTGGGAACAAAAAACACTTCGCAGAATGCAAACACGTCACACAGAAACTAAAATCACTTCCCAGGATCCGCTCATATACTTTTTTTCCTTCGTTAGCTTGCTTTTTTTTTATCGTTATTGTTGTAATGACTACCCTATTCAACTGAAATTTCAAGGTCCTCTTACTATGCTACGCTTAATAAAAGTAAATAAATACACAAATAAATAGAAATATATTAAGATGAATACAAAGCGAGACTGACCAAACTGAGCCAGAGTGTATTCTCTGTCAGCAATGACAATCCTGTCAGGGTTTTCCTTTTTGCCTTCAAAGAGTGTAAAAGGCTTCAAAGTGGATTCGCAGTACTTCTGCAGGATGCTGAAAGGCTTCTCGCAGTTACGCCAGGCATTGGGCCCGGATCTAATACAAAACAATAATGTGCTTAAATGGATGTTTTGATGCATGGCAGACGTAGTCTAACCTCGGCTAGTAACGTCTGACTAACTAAGAATCTTGGGATCAATTTCTGTTTCTGGGAAACTGCCCATTTACCCCTCCCATAAGCCATCATTTTGCCCTAAGTAAGAAGTAAGTGTTAACGTTAGCTTAGGGGAGGGGTAGGTGGGCAGTTTCCCAGAAACCTAAATTGACTGAATCTTCTTCTGGGCTCCCAACGGATGCAACGAATTACCAAGGGGTCTGTTTCGAATTTCCTTTTAACCTGGTTGGCAAATCGACAAGGACATTTTCAAAAGGCTAATCATGGCTAATCAGTACACCCTAGAACAAGGATTTCGGTGCTGGCACACAGACGGTCTTTAATAAGCATAGGTTTAGTTTCGACTTTGGCGCAGCCTTAGTTGCAGTGGTGAAGACCTTTGTTGGTGTTCCAGTGAAAGTCCACATAAATAGCAAGAGACACAAATCAAGCAATCTCCCCCCACTAGTACACTAGCGAAGTTAATGGTTAACTGTTTAGTAGCACTAACGTAAAGTAGGTCCTCTGCAAGCCACAATGGGCATGGAAGCGAGACAGCAGCCTTTGTTCCAAGTCGATCACTGTCTCCCCAATAAGATCGTCTCTGCTTAAGTAATCGTAGTCCATGACTTGGATCTTTAAATCTTTGACTTTAGGAATTTCTGCTTTGAACTCAAACATCCTGTGTAAGCACAATCAATCGATCAATCAGTCATTTAGTTAGTTAACTGAATCAGTCAATCTAAGAAACTTGGATTATGGTTAGAATGGAACTGCTACAGAAAGCTACGCCATTAGAGATAGCCAGGACTCTGAGGAGGGTGCCTGACTTGTAAGTACCGGGAGAGTGTCCCCAAGACAGCCTTAGTCACTTGATATGACTCGCTTCCTTGGGATGTATGTCGGTATGATTATAATGATGATGACAATCATGATGATGATGATGATGATGATGATGATAACAGTGATAATCAATGATAGAGATAGTAATACTGATAATAATCATTATGAAGAGAGGAAGAATGATGTTGATAATAATAAGGTAGCAACAAAAATTCAGACTCCTCACTTGGTTCATCTCGAAATTCCAGCAAACAGATTAGGTTGTAAAGTATTTGACTTACTTGCCAAACACCGGGTTGAGTGTGTTAGGCTTGAAGTTATCTTGCTCGTCATATTTCTTTTTTCCAAGAGACACGATCAGGTATGGATCAGCCTTGAATAAAAAAAAAAGACAAGTTTTTGCGTCTGATACCGAGCGACAATTGTATGACGGTCCGACGGGAAAACCTCATTGGTCTCGTTTATGTATTTATTTATTTATTTATTTATTTATTTATTTATTCATTCATTCATTCATTCATTCAAGTTATTTTGCAACTGGAATTTCGGAAACGAAACTGAAAAGTAAGCTATAACAAATAACATGAAGAGGCGAAATTTCAAATCTTCGCGAAATTTTGCTCTTTTTTCCTCTGAAACGAAAGTTTGAATTCATTTCTTTTACACAGTACTGTAATAAAGGTGAGAGGCAGGTCATTATCTTTATTGCCAGGCGAGAAGGTCTTGACAAAAATATCGAGCAGATTTTCAAAATGACGTCCATAAAACGTAGGAAAATAAACTCTGCAAATTTGCTTTTGTACCGATAACGGAAAATTCGTTCGGCAAAAAAGATCACCGCTGGGTAACACAGAAACCCCAAAATTAGGTTACGTTCTCCTGGTGTCGAACGCAAAAAGAAAGGTTCGAAGAAATACTCTGCAGTCTACTTGAGGTACCAATTGTGTAAGAACCAAGTAAATAATCTTATGATATAGCTTACCAATCCGCTCGGATCTTGCGGCTGTAGCTCGGTTGCCTGAAGAGAAAATGATGGTTATGACGATAAGTATAAACAATGCAGTAATTTCTCGGGTTCATGTCATTTTATACATATCATGATTGCAACCCACCAAGACAACGTAGACACGGATGGTACATTCGATGGGGTCTGTGCTTGGAAGGTTCGTGAACATGGTTTCAGGCAGCTCTGAGACATCTGTGACCTCATCAGGTATTGGATAAATGCGAAAGGCTCCCTTTGAAAAAATCAATTAGATTTTAGACTTCCGGAATACGTTTCAATGGGTGATAAAAAGCAACAAATAAAAGGTAAAGAAACATTGGTAGCTAAGTTATGAGCTGTTGAAAAGGAATCTCCTTATGGCCTGGAAATTAAAGTAGCAGAATTTTGAGTAAGATATGTTTCGATCGATCTACTATCATCTTCTGTTGCAAGTGATACAGTTATGGCTTGGAATTACAAATTTCCTTATGCTCTGTTGTGCTAATTGCCTGATGAATCAGAGGGTTTCTACGCATTGTATTTACCGCTAAGAGGCCACTGAAACTGATAGACTACGGTCTCGGCCGTAACATGATGGATCCGTTTGAATCGCGAGCTGTTCAAAGTGACTTTTACTTCCGAGTAGGTGATTGTAAATAGTAGGGAACTTAAGCACCAGACGTTCTTGATTCACGAACGGCATGGCTGGCCGCGCAGAACTGAATCGGGGACGCAGTTTGCGCGCGAAATGCAAATCTTTAAGCAAAACAGCGTCAAACCATCACGAACGTCGACAGAAAAATTCTGTTGAAAACGTCTTTCAAAGATTTGCGTCAGGTTTTGTTTCTTTCTTCCGAAAAAAACATGATTTCAGACGAAGAATTTCTACCTTTGTATGACGAATACTCTTCGAAGAACCCAGAATTTGAACCTCTGGTTTCAACCTGACAACACGCGTTTTGAAGTCCGTGACCGCAGCTCAAGAACGTCTTGACATGCGCAGTGGCTGTCATTCTGCAAAAATACCTCCGGTTGGCGTCCGTGGTACCAAGAACGTCGGAGGGTATGAATGACTAAGATCAAATTGTCGTGGTAAAAGTGAATCGCAGTTTTTACCTTAAATTCTCCGACGTTGGTGTCATCTTCCTCGTCGTCCTTTGGAGACTTTGTTTTTCCGCGGCGAAGAGGAAAGGTTGCGATGAAATCATTGAAGCCCTTAAACTCGGGGACCATCTCCAGCTCCTTGTGATAAACCTAATAAAGAAATAGATCACATCGCCTTAATTTTTTTTCCCAGACGTTAACAAAGAAACAAAGGGCGGTGGCTGACGAGAAACATAAACTACTGGTAAGCCATTAAATTAACCTTGAGAGTGTCATAGCCTTTTGACAAATACTTCCTACTGTGGTCATTGAAGTCCGCCTGGTTCTCTGCCTTGTCGCTCGTAAACAATCCAACAAGCTGCAAAAATCAGAAGTTTAAAACATCAGTGTTTTTATTTAAGCAATTGAGGAGGATAGTTGTCTTCAAAGGCATATCACCATTTGTTTTGTAGTACCTGTTAATCAGCAAGAAATAATACTAGTTTTTCCTACTGATTTTAAGCAATAGCTCGAACTAGTTGTTGCTTATTTCGATAGAAATACGACGAAAAAATATTCTTTCTAAGACAGCGTTTGTTCCTGATTGGCTTGGAAATGAACTGTATTACAAGTCTCAACAACATTCCAATCATGGAAGTTTGTACTCAACAAAGGACCCGATTTATGCAATGCGCGCTTTATACCTGTACCTTAAACGTACACAGTCAACTCATGTTGCTGCTGACTATCGAACAAGTCAGTGTTATTCTGTTTGTTGTGGGCTTATATCGCTTCAAATAAAAAAAATAAATAAATAAATAAATAGATAATGACAGCAACAACGGAGACATACAAATGGGACAATACAGACCTTTTCTCCTTTCGAACTCTTCGCCGCACCACCAGCTCCAGCCAAAGAGGCAAAGTACTTGGACCACCAATCAAACCTGTTACCTTCCTGTTAAGATAATCATTATCATTATCATTATCATTATCATCATTTATTAATAACTATTATTAGTCTCGTTATCATCACAATTTTTTGTATCCATGATAATTGAGATAGTCATGTATTTAAACGCTTCCATGGCTATCTGTTTATTATTTAGTATGCTGAGTTCGTAAATGTTTTGGACTTGGTGATGACTGACTTTTAGTTTCTTCACTTTTAATTCATCTCTTACGCTTGATATGGTAAGAGCACTATTCAGCCCCTCTCAAATTGTGCCCGATAAAAGAGATTTATCCCCATTAAGGTCGGACATTCTACTTGGAGAGTTTGAGGTAGACCTAAAATAAATTCGGTTTTAAAGACCTTCTTCAAACCAGGATCATGTGCACTAAGGTTTTGTCACTTAACTAATATGGCTTCCGTAACTAAAATTAAATAAATTTTAAGGATATGCAACGTCTTTCTTACAACAGTGGGGAGCTGAAGCAAAGACGACGAAAACGGCAACGCGAACGGCAAAAAAGCAATAGGTTTCGATAAGCAAAACAAGAACTATGCACCTGTATCACTCCTTTTATACATTTCTCTGCCGTCGTTGCACGACGTACCACAACGTCAAACTTCCTATCTTATTTTACGTTTGAATGAAGAAGCGAACACAAGGCGAGGATTATATTTCTTTCCTTCGTTCTTTCTTTCCTTCTTTCTCTCTCTCTCTCTCTTTTCTTCTTTAACTCAGACACAGTCCTTGAGAATTCTACGCCAGAAAATTCACCAACATTTGACAAATTGAACGACATGAAAGATGTCTTGTAATGAAGGGCTAAGGCCTGAGCTCCCTCGATTCTTCTACGGCTCAGTTGCACTAAGGAGAGGGACTAGTAACCAGTATATCATAGATTCGATTTCTTTATTAGAGAACTCCGATCTTTCCGAATCGCCAGTGTCACTAACAGAAAAAAAAATACCGTTCTTACAGGTATTTACAAAGCCGAACAAGTTGATCATTTTTGGCTGCTTACGTCAATTTTCTTCTTTGCTCCTTCTTTTTCTTTTCCTTTTGCTTTCTTTTCATCAGCGGGTGGAGCGGCACCGGCATCCGTTATCTCTGGCCAAATTTTCTTCTGAGGAGTTGAATCAGTCAGATCAACAAGTACTTCTACAAGGAGGATGTAAAGAAACACAAACTTTAGATTTGTTGTACTTAGAAGGGCCGCTACAAGAATACCAAAGGTTTTTGGAGTAGTCAGCAAAACTACTGTACATGTACGTACAAAAAACTTATATTAGTTATTCACTGAAGATATGATGTTGTTGAACTATACACCAACTTCCTGGGCAATACTCATGTACCTGAATAAAGAGCTTTCTCTAAAAACAGATCTCAATGGATCTGTTTGAATCATTTAAGCAGTCCTGAAATACTAAAACGTTAAGCGGTTTGAAGCCGGAATACGACGTTTTCTCCATTTTTCTAAGTGACCAAAAAAAAACACGGATGCAGCGATGCCGGGAACTAACTTAGTTACACCCTGTTCCGCAGGGACCAATAACTCACTGATGTTGTCATCTTCAAAAGAACAATACCCACCGCCATTCAATTCGTAACGAAAGAAAAAAGGGAAGAAGGGAAGAATAGCTAATTTACCGTCAACTTCAGACTCGTCTGGGCGCTGTGATGAAGGTAATTTGCATTTGAAGTGTGACAGAGACCTGACAGAATGGATTCCAACCAAAGGCTTGCGACCGAATGCACGATTGTCACGGACCCGGATGTTGATTGGTGGCGAGTACAGATCATCTACTGGTAAATTCTAGAGAAATAAGACAGTAAAGACTTGTAAATCGCTACAAGGGATATCGTAATTTAGCACTTCATTTTTGTGTATATTACAATCCAAAACTAGTAAGTGTTAAAAATTTCATGGCGATCAGACAAAGGAAATATCGTTTCTAAAGCAAATGAAAGATAAAGGTACCGACTGTATCGATCATCACCTACCAGTATCTTCCTCTCCAAGATTGGTTCAGCAAAATTCGGTGTCTTCTTTGTGTTCTCTATCGTTTGTGAAGGGATGATAGCTCCCATACATTCGAACTCGATTACAGGAGACGTCACTTTGACCATCTGAAATTTTTTCATGTTCCGCACGCCCCAACAGAGAACCTGAAATTATTGTACATATATGTGAGGTGGATATAGTGTTTTCAGTCGTTGAACGAGCCTGTCAGCAGCACTGGTTCACGTTACGTTAACGGTAACTAATCGGAAGGAGAACTGTGATGCCTCGTTGCCATCGTGCAAAATTTCTGAATCACAACAATCCTTCTGGACAGAGACAAAAAGTATGGAGTACCGTTTTGTTTCAGAGTGCGATCATATATAGGAAAAACATACATGTCATGTTGTTTTCTGTCATATTTGCAGTACCACGGTTTGTGTCAACGTGTGACGTAACGACTTCTCCTCTATATCAAAAAGGCTTAGGATAATCACGTGCAACGTCGACCCATTTATATTATAAAGCGTAAAGCAGACGCCTTCGTTTATCATGTTTTTCCTACCTCTACCGCTGTCCGCTGCACAACCGGTCTCACTATACTACGCACAGGGTACACATCACCACGCTTGGAGGGAGGAAGAGGAAGCTTGGCACCTTCATCCTGGAAATTACAATTATACCATCAAAAAAGGTGTACGGGAGTAACTGTTAATAACTTTGAACTTGTCCGTTAGATAAGGTCTCACCCTCAGGGCTTTCTACTAGCTAATAAAAAAAGGCATACAATTTTACAAGAGGAAAGTCTTACAAACTAGGTTGATTTAATTTCATAGCAGTAATCATAAATGGAACTCTGCAAGTTACTAATATACTTAACCAAGCGAAAAAGACAGTTATGCCCAAAGGGTGTGAAATAACGTTTGGTGTCGACAAGTGTTTTTCCGTCGACGGAGTTACCATAAAATCCGCTGACGGAAGCACAATACGTGCACGGAAGCGATGAATAAATCAGGAGGTACAATGCACAGCAAAAGTAAAACATATAACTCAACGTTCAAATTACTCACTAAAAACAGCTCGGCGTCGACAAGAACTTCCCCGCCATCTTGATCTCCGCGTTTGACTTTCTGCCACAATAACCGGGCTTCCGGAGATTCCACACCCTTTAGGCGAACTTTTGGGTAGAATACACAGCGGCCAAGATAATCATCTTTACCCTGCAACGATGAAGTATAAAAAAGACGTAAGTACTACACATGTACTGAGAGGTTTTATTTATTTATTTATTTATTTATTTATTATTTTATATTAATTATCATTATTTTATATTACCAATGAATTTTTGTCCCGGTCAAAGAGTTCCACGACAACGCTGGGAGGATTTCGCTTCACATTCGCTGGGTCTTCACTGATTTCAACAGGTGAATAAATCAAGGTCTGGTCCCACGTAGGACAAGGAGTCTGGTTAATAATGTTTGTGATCTGACTCTGGTTTGCAAAGGCAACTCTAGCGTAAGGATCTGAAAAAAATGTTAAGATCATTTAAAGCGTTAGTTTATTCAGCGTCACCGAAAAAGCGAACTGAACGGATGGTACTTAGTAAATCTGACGACTTTTATTCTGAAGTTTTTTTGAGATTTGAAAAACTGCTAAACACGGTCTGCAATAGCCTGCGCCGCAGACGAGACTAAATTTAAGTCCGTCATTAAGGCGGTCTGCGACACAGCGCTGAAATACTTGTTCTGGGCCCCCGCCTAGGTACCAGGATCAGAGTTGGCGCCACGATTGGCCTTCTAAAAATGCTATCATCGATTAGCCAATCAAGATGAAAGGAATTTCAAAACGTATTTAATTACCGGTAATTCGTTGAGTCCGTTGGGGACCCAGAACAAGTATATCGGGGCTGGGGCCCGTTTCTCGAAAGTCCCGGTAACTTTACGGGCCCGAAATCAAATATTCAAATCGAAATATAAAGAATAAGAGCGCGGGTCCTGGCCAGGGCTGTTTCATTTTTGATCATGACGATTAACCGGGCCCGTTAATTATCGGAACTTTCGAGAAACGGGCCCCTGCTTCGCAGACGTTAATAACCGAGGTTAATTTACGTCTGCGAAATGTCTCTTTCTGAATATACCTTGACGTCCCTTTAATACGCTGTGAACTAAAATGAAAATAACCAGAAGTCAAAGCATTTAGTGAACACCTACCGTTCATGCCGCTTTCATCTTTGGCGATGAGATCACGTGCCTGATAAATGTACACCCATAACTGGTACTTGTGAGGTTCTACAAAAAATACAGGTTGATAATCTTTTCTCCGAGGAAACACACATTAGGTGAGCACACGACATTAAGAACGTCTGTTTGCATTGAAAATCACACATGAGCTGTATAAATGTGCCCCTACTCGCTGGACAAAATAAAGATACAGAAAGAGGATACTTACGCTTAAAAGACACGAACATCCTGGGTGACAAGCATAGTGCACTTTCACTGTCCTAAAAATTAAGAAAAATTTGGAAAATGCCGTCATTTCTATCACGACCTATAGCACAAATATGTTGAAGTAGTAAAAGTCAGAAACAAAAAGATAAGACCTAATTACAAACCGTTGGTTAAGACAGAATCACTTTAGGTTAGCCTCTCTTCGTAATCGTTATGTACATGTGTTTTATGTTAGTTTAAATTCTATTTACTGTATTGTAGTGTCTTCACTGTTATTTAGTCCATCTATATATAAATCTTGTTTTGTAATATGTCTTCAGCTCCCCCCGCCTCGATTAGTTCATAAGCTATTTGCGGGTGGGAAAGTAATGTAACTAGTTATTTTCCAATTTTCAATAAAATTTGTTGTTGTAATTTGTTGTTGTAAACAAGCCCGGATCGTTTCAAATGGATAAATAAATAAATAGTGGGTTCATTTATTATATTTCTTTCCTCCCAAAAAGCTACGGCAATAGGAGATTTTCATCACACTGCGTATTATTTCCAGATTTATTACCAAACGAATGCACAGTGAACTCGGGATCTCTGTGCAACTGTCGAGAACTGACTTGAGAAAAGAATACCTTGCTCTTAAGCTGCACTCTTAGAATCGGAGGCAGTTTACATGAAAACCCGTCAATCTCGCCAGAGATCGGAACCATCTTCATCAGCCATCGTCTTCTACGACAGAAATCCATTTTCTTCTCTTTGGCGTGAAACTTCATGTTAAACAACGGTGCGTAGCCCCAGCCTTCAGCTAAAAGCTTTTGCAACTGATCTTGCTTCTTCGTCGCCTTAGGATCAACTAGCCGTCTCATCCGCACAAGTCGCCTTCTTCTAAACATATGATAAGCCTTCACAACGGCCCCATACACTCCATATGTCGGGTTAACAGTGTATTCCCAACCTATAAGACATAATTAGGAGATAAGATGAAAAGTTACGCAACCCATTACTTTTTATCCAAAGTTCTTGATGGTGGGGCATAAAGTGAGCAAAATACCCAAAAAAGTGTTCGTTTTTGTTTTTGTTTTAAGGATAGAATTGGTCTGGTAAAAACAATATTGTTTTTTGAAAAGATGCAATATAATTATAGTTTTGCTTTGTCAGATAGCATAATCTGTATCCGGCTAAACATGGAATCCTTGAACAATCCAGGGCCATTTTACTCCATGATAATACCAAATACCATGCGAAGTAACTGTCAAAGAGGTTTCACTTGGATAAAAACTCCGCAGAAGTTTGTTAAAACTGCATTTTATAATTATAATCCATGACTCCGTACAGAAGGAGAAAAAGAGGCAGCCTTAAATGGCTACATGCCTCCACCAAAGGAGAAGTCTTAAACGCTGGCACTCAAATTAGATAGAACAATGTCTCTTACCGTCAGCATCACATGCTCTGTTCTTGTCTGTCTCCCACTCTGGCGTCTTCCACGCCCATCCAGGGGGCGGTTGCTGAGTGGCTGGTGGCGGAACATCCTCCCCATTCTGTAAACGCAACAACAAAGAAGAACAGGCAAGATAAGAAAATATAAGATTGCTTTCGGTGTCATCACGCGGGGCGCGAAACAAAATTTTCCCTAACTACATCTACTCCCAGATTGGATTGACTATTATTTTATCATTATCATAATAATTTTATTTTTGATTTATTTTTATTTTTATTTTTTTTTCAGTAGCAGCGGGACTTTTTTAACTAGAAGGCGGGACTACTGAGTAGGAGCATTGCACAGACTGAACACGAGTAAATAATAATAATAATAATAATAATAATAATAATAATACTTATATAGCGCCTGTACTTTCGCTTTACAATGCTTTAAAGTAACTAAGTAATTAAGTAACTACCAAGTTCAATCAAATTTACCACTATCCAGGAACTCTAGGGGAGATTAGGTATAAGCTTCGGCGCAACAAGCAGACAATGATTCGTTGGGGTGGACATGCGTATTTATTGTTGTCCCGCGAATACCATCAACAAATCATAAATAACGCTTGTCCGCGAAAACGAGCCCCGAAAACCTGTATCCAAACCCCTTACAGTTTCAAGTGTCTTTGGTGGGGAATTAATGAGTTTCCACTTTAAACAATGAACAAATCGAACAAAATAAAGGTATGCAAGTTACCGCATCACTCCAGTTTTGATCGGCTGGTTTGAAGTCTCCACCAGGAAAGCTCCTGGATTGATTTTCAAACACTTCAACTACAAATTCCTTGTGACCTTCATCGGGGTCGTGGAACAAACTAAGCGAAAAAGGACACAAATGTAAGTAAAAAAAAAATAGACAACAAGTACAACAGACAAACAATAGAAAAACGAAACAAAAGAAAAACAAACAAACCATAAATTAAAACGAATATTATGTAACCAACGATGGACCTGTATGGCAAGTATTTCGTCACTTGCACATCTCCCCAATTTTGCACAACCTTTGTTTTTTCATTTCTCCCAGGTATTACACAATTTGCACAGTTTGGGTTCGGGAGGTGGGAGGGGGGGGGGGGTCGGGGGGAGGAGGCGCAAATGAGGTGCAGTATGGGAGATTTGCAAGTGGCGAAAAAAAGGACAAGAATCCTAAAATTTACTAATCAACATCAAACGCACCGAAAATGAGTCTGTTTTCATTAGACACAGAAACGACAAAGTTGGGAGATAAGGGAACAAATAGATTACTTTATCCCATTAAAAAAACAAAACAAAACAAAACAAACGAAAACAAACCGTTCTAAAATTTGGAAAAAGTCCAGAAACGACAGAGTAGGGAGATAATGGAACGAATAGATTACTTCAGCCCAAAAAAAAAAAAAAAAAAAGAAAACAAAGCAAAACAAAAACAGAAACAACAACAACAACAACAACAAAACAAAACAAACGACAACAAACCGTTCCAAAATTTGGACAACGTACAGTCGGCTCGCAATAACTCGAACCCTCACTAACTCGAACCTCGCACTAACTCGAACCAAAATCTATTTCCCCTGGATTTCCCTCATACATTCACTGTAATTTTACCATCGGTAACTCGAACCCTCGATAACTCGGACTCCCACTAACTTGAAGTAATTTTTGTTTCCCCTCAGATCATTTCTACATTATTTACCCTCGATAACTCGAACTATGTTTTGAGGTCTTGAAAAGTACGGAAAAAACAGTGTACTGGCGTCCAAAATATTGAACCTTGACGTGTTGATATAGTTTACTAGTGGAAGCTGATGTTGTTTGTCACAAATCTAACATGAAACAGCTTCACTTCTCAAAACAGTAAAATGTATGCTCTATATAGGCTATGTTTTCGACACGTTTTGTTGCGAACGTTCTGATTTATAATCTAGAAGTATCGTTCAATTTTAATGTTACTTTTTTACAATTAATTGTTATTAAAATGTTCTCTGTAAAGAAAAAAAAAGTTTTTTCCTTCTTTCCGGCTATTTTCTTTGAGCTCCCGATAACTCGAACTTGTTTCGAGTTCCCTTAAAGGTTCGAGTTATCGGGAGTCGACTGTAATACCTTAGCTCTGGTTTCTTCTGCCAACCGCCTTCAAATTTCCATCCTTCGGGTGGAATAAATTTGTCCTGGGGAAGCTCCAGCTGTTGGTAGGGAAAAATGCTTTTAAATTTGGTTTGTTCCTGCTAACAAGCAATTGAAAAAGACAGCCCGAAAAAAAGGGTTGAAACTAGAGGACCTTACCTCTCCTGCAGCATCAGAAAAACGAGGGCGAGTCAGTTTGTTGTTGGTCCATTTACTTATTATTTTGACTTCGTTCTCGTACTGAAAGTAACAGAACAAAAATAAATTAATAAATTAATAAACAAATAAAGTGATAGGGAAAAACTATGGAAGAAACTGTGGAAGAAGCTGACCATTCCAAAATTCCCTTTCCTATGATAAAAGATTATTACGCCAGCTCTTGTTAGTGCAGGCTAAGGCAAAACATTTCTAGTAAACACTGATTAATTTCTCGGTTGTGAAAGCCTTGAAAACATAGCGTTAGACTTTAAACTTTTTACTCAGTCTAAAATTTCTTTTCGTTCATTGAATTTGTGGTTTTAAATATAGCATACCTCCGGGACGAAAAAGTTTCGTATTACATCTTACCGTCTCGGCATAGACACAGAAGTCTCCCTCAGTCTTGGGACGGCCTGTCCAGTACTGTTGTTGCTTTTCCAAACCTAGCCAAATTTCAGCGCGCAGTTTTGCGGGAATCTCTGGGTGTTCTTTAACGTCTTGGCCTTTCTTACCAGGATACTAATAAACAGTGAAAACAAAGGCAAGTTAGATTTAGATCAAAGATGATACTTTGAAAAATGATTCAAATTTATTTGGGTAATACCATAAGCTATAAAATCAGTGCTCGTAGCCCTGTAAAATTATGAGTGGCAAAAAAGCGCACACAAAGTTGGTTAATATATTACCTTAAGTTGAAGTTCGATAGTTTTTCCACAAAATTTTCCACACGCAACTTCAGTCTCAGAGAAAAGGACATCATGTGCAGGCATTCTGTAATAAGCGATTCGCTTTTCACCACTGATCATCCATATAATCACATCTGGCATGCTCACTTGAGGCTTAAGAAAAGTAAGTAATTAATAACAATGATGTTGATATTGGTGGTGGTGCTGATGACGATGATAAGGATGATGACAATAATAAAGCAAATGTTAACAGGCCATTGTTTTTTGCTTGTTTGTTTTGTGAACAAGAACATCACTACTTTATCTGAGGTACATGAGAGGAGACTCTAAACCTAAGGAAGATTTTTAATGACTTGACAACTGAGAGTAGGGAGTAATTATTGTTTATGGGGATAACTGATTTGATTAAGTAACTTAGCTAACAGACAAACGAGAAAAAAAACAAAACCTGACGATTAGAGCCAAGAAGATTTTGTGGAACCACGCTAAAGGAACTTTGACACCGGGCAACTACGAGGGAAATCCTTCGTAAAATACGTATCCGCTACATCTAAATAACCGCGATTCAGTGAAAATGAACGGATCAAGGAGAAACCAAAAAAAACTCGTGTAATTTTTCAAGTTTACCTCGATGGCCAAGTCCTCAATTCGCTGCGCGAAACTTGCAATCTCCGACAGCATTTCTTTCATGTCCACCTCGTCTTTCTCTTCCCCTTCTAATGGGGGTTGCAGTTTCCATTGCAGGGCGCCAACATCTTCTAATAAGAAGTTCTGTAGCGAAAGAAATACCACATTATTTCCAGCTGGATCAATTTAGCCTTAAGGAACTCTTCTCAAGTACTCACTTTGATAAATGTTGTACCCGTTTTACATGCAAAAACCAATAAAAATAAAGAACTTACAAATTCGTCTATTCTCATTTGGTGTAGCTTTGTGTCCAAACGATTTCTTTTGCCGGGAAGCTTGGAGATTTCTTGTTGAAAACGATTCAGTTCTTTTCTATAAAATGCAAAAAAAAAAGACATTTATTATTAGGCCATCGTTATAGAACTGTATGACGGCGTTGTACCACATTCAAGCAATATTTTTTTTAAAAGCAGTTTTAGTAAGTAGTGAGAAGGTGGTTAATTATCCTCAGCGTCTGATGCTATAGATTGCTATATATTAGTAGTAGAAGAGGAAGAACAAGAACAAGAAGAAAACGAAAAAGAACATTCAAGAAGAAGAACAAGAAAAAGAAGCTTTTACATAAGAAAAGAGTTCAACTCCCGCGGGACTTATGGCCGCCGTTTCACTGTTTTAGTACACCAACAAAACTGTAGTTTTATTGTTTTGGGACACCAATATGGCCGCCGTTCTGTCATGTGAGAAAGATCTAAAATTTTACGTCATTGGATAAAAAAGATTTAAATCTACTAGGGAGCAAGTGACGGTTTATTTACAATTAGTACTGTATCGTGCTTATGAGTCCGAATGACTGATTGGTTAAGAAAAAGGGACGACTTTTTCTAATCAGTCACGATACGGAAAATACTCTTAATGCTAGTGAAGTAACATTTAGAGGTGCGTACGAAAAGTTGATTCAAAATGATTATTTTGTGAATACGACACTATACGTATTATATTTTAGAAAATATTTTATCCTGATACCACTTGCTTTTGTTATGAAAGTCATATTTGATTTTCCTTACACAGTTTTTAATAAGCATCAACAAGACAACACCTGCAATCTCTGACGAGGTTGTCGAACAATGACGACAGCATGTCCTTTAGTTTCGGGTCATCGCTAACTTCCGATAGTTCAACAGCTTGATTGAGTCGATTCAGGGCTTCACGCTACAGAAAAAAATATAAAAGTGGTCAAAAAAGACAATTTGGTAATGGCTTCCCTCGGTGGTAGGAAAATTCCAAACGTTTTCAAGAAGCAAACCATACGAATACTATATTATAGTGTTTTGAAGGATACGAAAGATAGGTCACCGCAAAGAGAAGATTTGAGCCCCGGCCTTATTCAGCAACCAGTTTTCTAGACTAGTACTATAGACAGCCGGAAAGGAAATCATAATCTTATCAGTCTTCTTATGAGTTCCAATTCAGTAGTGAAAAACAACTGTATTGTTTACAAATTGGCGTCCTGTTTGTTTGGTCTAGTTTCATTTAATTAAGGTTTTAGGCAATTATTTCTGGAATGTTTCATGGTAACATAACAAAAGAGTTAAAGAAAGGATAGAGGGCGTTAGTGACCATCTCTTTCAAACTGAGATCGAACATATATATAATCCTTAAAAGAAAACATCCATCCCTTACCAAGTTCTCGGCCATTCTGTTTATGATGTTCATAGGCTCTAGTCTGAAAGCGATGTCTTCCCATGAGCACTCCACACATACACACGGCTTGTCTTGACCCCAGGGGAGGTAGTAATAATAACAGCCATCATAAACAGCATTACAAGGAGGTGTGTTACATGGTGCCACAGACTCGTCAAACTTATTTCCACAGTTTCCTAAGAAAAAGAACGTGACAAAATCAATATTGAAGTTAGAATCGCGAATTTCTTACTCTAAACATCTGTTTGGTTTCTCCATAGTTATTAGAGGAGACTGGTTATGAAAAGCGGCAAACATCAATGATAAAAACAACAGTGCTGCAGTTTATGTTGGAAGCACCCTGAAAGTGCACAATCCTTTGTTTTCTGTTGGCAAATTGTTACGGAATAAATTAATGCAACGTTTTTATTGGTCAATACAATCAAAATGATAGGAATTCTTTTGAACGTTGTGCACTTTCAGGTCCACAAAAAACATATAACAAAGGAGTCTGACGGGTTTCATAACCATTCCACTCAATTAACTATGGTTTCTCATGTTTTTTGTTTGCTAGTAAAACTTGTGGACCTTTAACTTATCCCGAGACCACAGTTGAGATCAACTTTAATCGATCCTCTCATTTACGAGGGTCTCGATTGCTGTTTTGTTTCCCAAGAAGACATCACTATAACTCTAACCTAAGCTGTAGACACCATAAAATTCCAAAAATGAGCCCCTCCATGCATAAGCCCCTACAAATGTAAGCCCCACAAACTCGTAACGCAAAAACCCTCCATTAAATCACCCCTCCAAGCACAAGCTCCCTGTGGCTTGTACTTGGAAATTGCCCTCAAATTCAAAATAAAACAAAGCAAAAACTGTACAGTAACACATAAATCTTTGCATTTGCCAAAGAACTATTACGTGTGCCAAATGATTGCAGTAAAAAGTATCTCAACATATTGCTGTTAGCGTAGTTCACTCTTAACTCTTGGCTAGGATTTCCTCGTTCCATATAGACAAAGTACTTACATTTTTGAGTTTTAGTAAGATCGACGTCCTCAAGGCGAGTTTCAGTAAAAACGTCCTGCAAATTACTCAAATAAAGTTCCTTCCAACTATACGCTAGCCCAATCGATTTTGAGACGTAAATTTCACTTCCAGTATAAGCCTGGCCGACTTTGATTCGCAGATTTCCCTCCGTATATAGCCCCGGAGCTTATTTTGAGAAATTCACGGTATGCTCTTTGGGTGGAGGAGGGGAGTAGCGAGGCTCCCCCACACACTTTACTCCAAGTGCAAGCTCAAAGGCTACTACATGCATTATAAATATTTGATGAGTTTTGACCTGTTTCAAAACCTACCGACGCTAACTTCGAACTCAACAGGGGCGTCAGTTTCCGACACCATGAGTGCTTCATAGAAACATACAAAAAGCTTGTATTTTTCACGTCTCAGGAAAGGCTGAAAGAAAATGTTGACATAAATATATAAAACCTAGTGTACAAATAGGGAAACTTAAGGATTTTTTTTTAATACAGTAGGACCGTTTAAACAAAGCACAAACAAGCACACACTGTCTTCGTTAGCAATGACAAACCTGTGCCGCAATAATATCTTCAGGGGACACTTGTCCTGTTGCTTGTTTGATGTTCTCATTGAGAGTTGTTTGTAACTCGACCAGAACACGTCCACGATACGCGCAACCTTCGCCCTAGAAATGAATTAATAAAACGATCGAAGATAAACAGGGTTGGCGCTATTAAAATGATTGTGAAAACAGGTAACCACACTTACAATTCCCATGTTGAGATCGTCGTGTTCATCTGGCAGATTTGTAAATTCTCTGGTTGAGCCGTAGAAGTTTACAAAACAGGGACCAAACGTTGGCAGGAATCCTGCAAACAAGACGAGAATGGTCTACATGTAATGCTTTGAAAAGTGTCACACATTTAAATCTGATGATTAAGATTCTTTGTTATAATAAATAGACGACACTGGAGGGTTACTTTATAAGCAGGCAAACAAAACTACATGTGATTGATTACAGAAAGATCTGTACACGGTAAGTAGACGCTGTACGACAGCATGTTAAACTGCTTATGTAGATGGGTGCAAGATAAAGAATAAGATAAAACTCGAGGCTGCACAAACCTTCATCTGATTCTCCCCGTCCTGCGATAGAGGACAGGTTGATGAAAGCGGTGCCAATACAGTCGTCTGACGATCCTCGGTCCCTTAAAAAGGTAGACAAGGTATACGTCAGCAATAAATTACCTGCACTATTTTACATGCTACTAAAACGCAAAAGAGCAAATACCACACTTCAGACAGGAGTCAGTGTATTAACCCCCGTGTGCATGGCAGATCAGTGTTCAGTCCATCTTTGGCGAAGGTCGTAAATCAATAAATAACTTCAATTGATAGTTGCGTTAATCATTATATTAAGGCTAATAGTGTAATAGATGATCTCTTCAGATACGTTTTTTTATTATTGTATATTATTATCATTATCATTATCATTACCATTTTATCAACTAATGCATTTGTCATTATTTTGTGAAAGTCACGTGGTCAGAAATCAACTTACCAGTCAAACATCTGAAGCCTGAGGCGTTCACACATTGAAGGGAACTGCAAGATTAAGTGTAAAGTTCCTTCAATCGAACCGGTAAAAAAGAATATAACCGGTATAAAAGAATTTGCACGGTTACGTGAAAGCGGGTTGCAGAGCCGTAAAAAATTCGTCTGTTCGCGCTATAAGACACTCAAGAACAGGACAAAATGTACTTGGCATATCACCTCTCCAATGAATTATGCATGTTTACGTTACAGGGGCGGATCTAGGGGGAGGGTGAAGGGGTGCGGTATTCTGCAAAATATGTAGATATGTATGATATGTATTCTCAGCAGTTCACATATGTTATTGCCTAGTCTAAAACCTTCTTCTTGTTTACGTCAGTTACGCCATTCCTAAGTGGTACACCCCCTCCCTGCGTTAGACGAGCTCAAGTGTTTTTAATCGAGGGGTTATTGTGGTTAAGGCTACTTTGAAATTTTGTGAGCTTAGGTTCTCCGTTCATACGGAACCACCTTAAAAGTACAAAAATTTAGAAGCCACGTAAACTTAGGCAAAATTTGTTCGTCTCATTTTAACAACGAAAAGCACCATTTACGAAGAATAAGGTAAAGATCAGTAAACCTAAAAAAGGTAGCCAGTAGCTGATCTTACCATCAGTGGAATCTTGAGAAAAGTTTTAAACTCAGGATTGCTTTCGTGGTAAATGATGGCTGTCTTTTGCTGCGGAAAAGAACCAAGAATAAAAAAGGACTCTGTTACACTACATTGCATGACGTTATCTGTAGCATTTAACAGTAGCATTTACAAAACTATGCAGCCGCAGTACATGTATAAAAAGCCTGCCATGGCAGAAAGAACAATAGAACTTTATCCTTTCTTGTAGGAAAAGAAGAAGCCACAGTGGCCGGAAGTGGTGTGGAAAAGAAGTTGTAGTTGCTGTCCGGTTGCTCGAGCTCACGAGTAGTAGGGGTGGGCATTGGTGGTTATGAGGATTGTAGTAGTGATGTAGAGCAGGTGTTGGTGGTGAGTACCGTTGTGGAAGTGTTAGTGTTAGTAATGGGTACTAGGAGTCAGTCACCTTCTTTCCACAAAAACTGAATTCCATATATGGATCAACGAGGCCTTTCTTTCCTTTGTCTTCCTCTTTCTGCAAAAAGAAAATACGTAACTTGCTTAATAAACATATGGACCGACGATAAGTGGTCAATAAAATAAACAGTTGAATGTGTAACACGGAAGATAGACTACATGACTATCTTGAAATATGACTGTGACAAACCTCGTCGTCGCTAGAAAAGAAACTAAAAAACTTTTTAAAGCTTCGCCCAATTCCAGTGTCCACTGAAACACAATTCAAAAAGAGGAGAAATGAATAAGCAAATGAAAGTAGAGGAACTTTAAACAAAACTTTATGGATTTAATTTCTGAAAGGAAAAAGAAAAAAAAACTGAAAAACGTGTTTTTTTTTCTGCCTGCTTCCTTCATTTGTTTTTGGTCTAGAAAATACTTATCTATAAATATGCACAATACATTTTAAAGGGTTCTGTTTTTGCTTTTATTGCCTTTTTTTTGTTTGTTTCCTGTTTGTTGTTGTCGTTTTTATCGTTGCTTTTGTTAAACTGGTCATCAAGAGAACGCCAATCCAAAATTCAACCCACAGGTAACCAGAAACAAATTTCGTCTCCGCCAAGTCCGGCCCAAATAGGTGCTTTCATTCACGTTTCGTAAAAGACGACGACATGAATGATGACGATATAGAGAACGACGGAAGAGGCGCATGCCTTAACGATTACCTTTCTTGGTCTTGTTCATATATTTAGCCTATTTGTTCGATTAACCGCCCTGGGAGGACCTTGAGAGTGGGCGCCTATTCGAGGTGGGCGCTTATAAAAGTTTCACTATTTTCAGCAAGTGTAGTATTTTAACATTTTGCAACAAAGCAATAAATGTTAATGATATATGAAATAAATTATATATGAACGCGGACATGAAATGAAGGTGAAGAAATGATCGTCGCAGTGAACGCAATTTATGCAAATGCGTAAAGAAGCCTGAAAAAAATTCAGGACTTCAACGGGGTTCAGGACTTCAATTCAGGACTTCAACGGGGTTTGAATCCATTGTGGGTTCATATGTTCAATTGACCTGCTCCCAACGTCAGTGGCTTCATAGCTCAGTTGGTAGAGCATCGCACCGGTATCGCGAGGTCACGGGTTCAAACCCAGTTGAAGTCCTGAATTTTTTTCAGGCTTCTTTACGCAATTGCTTTCACTGCGACGATCATTTCTTCATCTTCAAAACAATAAATGGTAATAACAAAACGCGAAGATGTAACAAAGCAAGGTTTCTGTAAAATATTCTGAAGAAAACCGACAAATAAAACTCCGAAAGTCTCTCATTAGTACTTATTCATTTTCAATTTCATTGTCACTCAAGTCAATGAGTGAATTCTCTGGTGTTGCCTCCTCGATGTCCGACATTAGGGAGTTTGCGCATTGACGACGGCGACGGCTACGAAAACGTCACTTAAAAAGTGAATTCGCGCTGCCTCAAACTTTATTGCGCTTATCACATCTCGTTTAATTCGTCAAATGTTGGCAAATTTTTTGGGAGTTGAATTCTAAATGACTGCATCAAAGTTCAGGAAAAGAAAAAGGAAGTTGTTGTCTTTTGTTCCCGTCCTCAACAAATCGTGAAATTAGGCAGTTCAGTTCACGTTGTAGTCGTGCAACGACGGCAGAGAAATGTACAAAAAAGCGTGATGAACGAGCAAAGTTGTTGTTTTGCCAATATATTAAAGCCTATTGGCTTTTTGTTGTTCTCGTTGCTGTCGTCGTCGTCGTTGCGTTAACTCCCTATTGTAACGTAGGGTGGAAGGGGGGAGAGGAGGGAGTGGGGTGGAAGCTTATTTGAGTTTGAGTAGGAGGGGGAAGGGGGTGGGGTGAAGTGGGCGCTTATTCGACGCCGGGCGCTTATTACCTTTTCTACCTTTAGGATGGGCGCTTATGTGAGGTGGGCGCTGATTCGAAGTTGGGCGCTTATTCGAATAAATACGGTAGTCTAATCCTTACACTCAAATTCACTGAGAGGTGTAAATAATTCAAGACGATTCTTACTTTGAGGAAGGTCTTCGGCTTGGTAGACGTTTAGGGTGAACACTGCAGATTGTCGCGTTACACCAACAGGCATCAGCAAGTTACTAATAAACAGAAGCAAATTTAAGAATGGTGACAAGAGATTTGCATCAATTTATCAATTAGCGACAGAACTCGTTCAGTACCGAGAATCTAACGGTGGGTTGCGATCAGAAAATTTCAGAAAAGAAAACAAGAGAACGCCCAAAAGGTAATACTTACGACTCGATATCATCTTCTGTATCTTTAGGTTCTGCACTCGCCGCAGGCTAAAAGAGAACGAAAAAAAAATGTCAACACTCATGTTCGAATAAATTCAAGCAGTGTTAAGCTGAAACGAACAAAGCATTTCATTACTTCTAAAGATAAGAACAGAGTAGGGTTTTCATCAACGGTGGACGGGTGCAGAAAAGTATCAAGCGAAGAAAGTGGAGCCGATTGAGTAAATTTGAAGGGGAGGAGCAGAGATTCCGAGAATATTAACTGCTACATGGGATTGTACATAAGGTCGTAGATCTTATTGTAAGATCTAAGACTGAAGGTCCAACGTGATACTTATCAACAGTGAACAGACTACACCTCCGCATTTCATGATGCAAATGAAATACATATAAAACCGCCTAGTTACACAAGAATAATCGAACACCTTCTAGCCTCGGCTATACTAGATCGCTCACCGACAAAGAGGTATAGTGTTTTTGGCCCCTTTGTTGTTTTTGTTTGGTGGTTTGTTTGTTTGTTTTTGTTATGATGCTTTAATTGTACAATTCACTTTGACAGACAATGGAAGATACTTCAAATACATAAGGAATAATCATTTTTCCTTACTGGTGGTTCATCTCCTGGACCAAGAACCATCGTGGTGATTTTTAAGTAGCCCTAAAAATACAATGGCACCATAAATTATTATGCTTATTGGTCTACGTTAAGGCAGTTACAGCAAAGTAAATACTACCTAGTAAACGCCTTTAATGTCAAAAATAGGAGATTAAATCCCGAATAATGTTGCCAATCATGAATTAAGGTCCTAAAACAGCTTCCAGCACCGGTAGCCTAAATTTCCGTCCTCTCTTTGAGGCGCAAATTCCACAAGAGACGGCTTAAATTGAGTCTACAGGGCTGGGATAGTTTGTGAAAGCATTTCTATCAACAAACAATTGAGTCAGAAAGGACGACCTGTCTGCAATCTTATTAGTTGTTAGTGTTGAGGTCGATAAGCAAAACTACTTTGCCACCAAGTATTTAAAGGAGTATCCATGATGAAACTAAAAAAGTGCTACTTTAATGTCTTAACCTTCGTCTCATATAGACACTCAGTAGTGGAATTTTGTTGAACCAGAAAAAAGAAATGCAACCAGGCAAGCTCTTGATATATGCTTCACTAACAGTTCCGCCTAAAAGAGCTGTCTGAACTAAGTGTTCAGGCAAATTTATCTTTGCCGTAATTCAACCAAGTACGAAGGAAAAGACCTAGGGGAAAATAAGTAAGAATTTTGTTTTTGCTTACTGCAGGAGTGTCGCCTCCGCGTGACCTCTTAGACTTTCCTTCCTCCTTTAATGAAAACACAGAATATTTATTACAGAAGCTGTTAATATTTGCAAGAGAAATTGAAATCAAGCTCTCCGCTTTTGTCACTGAGAAAACAGATATCAAACCTCATCCTCATCTTTATCTGCTGGCGCTGAAAGTAAAACCCACTTGCGAACGAAGGCGTGGCCTAAAAGGATAAAACATGTGTTTAAATTATTATGCACATGTTCAACTAGTAAACTAACGTCCCGGAAGCAAACATAGGGCGAGAAATTGGGAATGACTTAAAAAAATACGACGAGTAATTATGTCATCTTTATTAAGAGGCCGAAAATTTGACTTTTGAGGGGCGTGTAACGTCATTGGTCACTGTAGAAAGAGAATTTGGTAAAAAAGATCATGTTTGTTGTGATTCATTGCGTCTGATCGGATATTTCGCATGTATCACGCTATACCACGTGTAACCAAAACTGAAGCCATAAGAAAGGAATTAGCGAACGAGCGAACGAACGAACGAAAAGTAAGTTAATAAACCAAGAAACGAACGAATGGGTAAATGAATCAATGAAAAAATAAATCAATTTAATAAATAAAAACATGGAAAAATGTATACCTTTCATTTCGAAAATGCCGCCGATGTCGCACTGTGAATTGAAACCATGCGCGTTAGTACATGTGCTAAAGTTTTGGGCTAGAAGAGTTTCTAGTGGAAATACATTTTCAAGGAAGTCGTGAGAAAATCAGGTTGCTCTCACCTCAAATGAACCCAAAAGCGAATCTGAGCGAAGTTTTCGGGAGTTAAAGACCTGAAAAGGGAAATAAAAAAAAATAAACAATTGATTGGTGATTTTAGATGTTCCTTGATTAGAATATAGGGAAAAATACCCGGGAGGTACCCCCTATTTAGTCATATAGGTATAAGCCGCCCTAAGGGGGTAGGTTTTTAAGTCCTTTTGGTCTCAAAACGGGTATAGAATTTGGCCATCTCGGGCATTTTTTTCGAGGGAACTACGGGAATGTATGAGATATTTATCGTTTCAACTCTAAACGAGTAAGAAAGAAAGATAAATATGCAAATTCAACGTGGATTTTAAGAAACCTTTTCTCCTGCTGTTCAAGTCGAAGTGGTGACGACATAATTTCTTAGAGGCGAGGTCTGAAAACGGGTATGAATTTTAGAGGCCAGGTCTAAAAACGAGTGTGAAAGATGACATTTTTTTGGTCTGAAATAGGTTTGGGATGAGGAGAACCGGGGACACACCCTTACGAGGAATTCCCAGGAGTACCCCCGGGGTAAAATATTGCATGCTGCATAAATGGCAAGATAAAATACCTCAAGGGTAAGAAGCTCATCAAACAATTCGGCTTCAGAAAGATGGAAGTTGTAGAAGAATGTCTGTAAAGCAATAAATAGACAACATCGTTTCATTATTCAAATTAATAAAACCATCTTTACGTCAAGGGATCATAAAGAAGAGCGACAATGAACCGATATTTTCTTTTTTTTTTTTTAACAACGACTGACTACGACTTGAAATGAGGGTAGGCCATGGATTGAGGAAAAGTGTACAGGAAGAGAAACAATAAGGAAGAGGCCTGATGGGAAGTCAGTTTGCACACCCAACTTTGTCATTGTCACCAACTGGCTTTGCAAGACTCAATTCACGCTTTTGAAATGAAGCGTCGGACAGCGAACGAGGGGAATAAACTCTCCTTTCATTTCAAAAAATGGGGTAAGCTCCTAAAAACATCATCATATGTCATCATCATATAAATTATAATTACTAGTATTTTTTATGGAACCATAACCATGTACCTTTTATAAAAAAAAAAAGGGGGGGAAAAGATAGCACCATGTGAGGCGACCTCAAATTTTTATATGTATTTGTATACTTGTTGTAACTCTATGGGAATTTGTAACTGAAAAATATGTGTGGGTGCCAGAAGTGGGCGTGTAAATGTGAGTATTCTTGTTAAATAAGCACTTGTGCTCACTGTTATCTACATAGTGGCCTGAAAAGTTGCCTGTAAATTAATAGACAAATAAATAAATAAATAAATAAACGACTCGTATCAACCGCGCTTGTTACTCCGTTGAAAACTACAAGGATGTGAGGAAAGCAAACTAACCTGATTGTATACTGGTTTGTTTGTGGACTTTTTCACTGTTGTTTCTCTTTGCTGACCATTTACAGTAACTCGAACCACGGGATGGATGTTGCTGCCTAGTAACTGACGACCCTCAATGACTCTAACGCGAATCTAAAAGGAAACGGAACGCTATGCAGCTTTACATAAACCTGTTATCTAAAACAACACCTTTAAGATGTTGACATTGCTGTTTGACACGGACTAATGTATGGCCGTAGCTAACCCCTGGCCGCTTTAGTTAAATTTGTTTCTGGTGATGACATATTTTTTTCGGAGTGGAGGGGTAGGGAAGACACAGCCACAAACTAAATAAACGAAAAAAGAAAAATAATAAAGGGGAGAAACATCATTGCTTCACAAAAGAAGTAAACAAACATGGATAGAATACTCCTTACTTGAAAGTCTTGGACTTTGGTTGACCATTTTCTACCACCCCGTCGAGATCTTTTCCTGCAACAAGAGTGAGGAGATTATGGCCAGTAAATTTGTACGATGAAAATTATCTTAAGAAATCTAAGGATGTATATTGAAGAAATAAATAAAATAACACACCTCCCCCTACGACAAAGGTGACTTTTCTGTAAACGTCAGGAAACAACTACCGAGGTGAGTAAAACACACAAGTGTATGCATTTATAAGCTTCAACGGGCTCGTGTGGACCAAAACAAGACGAAAAAAAATAAGGAATAAGAAACAGGTAATTATTTTGAATGAATAATTGTCTTATTCCATGAAGTGAAAAAGCAATCAGAGAATTTGCCGTGCCAAAAATCATCGCCTCCAACCTTCTTTTTCGCTTTTTTTTAGGCTGCCCAGGTAGTCCGGGTGCTCCTCCTTCCTCTCCACCTTCTTCCTCTTCTTCGTCCTCATCGCCTTCTTCACCTCCAGCTTCCTCTTCCCCACCCCCTTCTTCGCCACCTCCACTCGGCTCACTCCCAGGTGGAGCCTGGTACTGAAGTTTCAGCATAAGTTTGCCCTGCGGTCAAATCAGATCAAACAACATACTTAGAAAACAACCCGAAAAAAATCCTACGGCTCTCTTATGAGCCTTCTAGTCGCCAAAAAAAAACAAACAAACAAACACAAATGAAAATAAATAAGAGGAAAAAAGAGGAAAAAGGGCTCTACTTATGTTATCAATGTTGCTGTTTAATAAAGTCGCTCCATGTAAGGGAGTCCGGATTCCAGAATCCGGGAAATTTTTCTTCTGGAATCCAGACACTGGGAAATTTATCCTTTTACCCTGAATTCTGGGTTTGGAATCCGGGATACAGCTCAAGGAATCAGAAATCTCACCAACGATTAATGGAATACGCAATCTAGGTTCCACTGACAAAGTAAGACCAGAATCAAGAACCTGGAATCTGAGATCCACGGCGAGGAATCCAGAATCCAAAACTGTCTTAGATTCCTTTACATGCGGCGAACGTTTTCATGTCAGGACCGCAATGTGGCTAACACTTTTTATTTATTTGTTCATTCATTTATTTAATTTGTTCAAGTTCAACAAACAATTATTTTCTAACACAGTAACTTTCCTTACCAAGGTAGGATTGTTTTTGCCATCAACAAGGTCGTATGTTCTCTCAATCTCTTTATTTGAAAGAAGCTCTCCTAAAGGCACTTCCACTTTTCCCAGAACTCTAAGGAACGAAGCGGGAAAATGTTGCGTTTTATAAAAACAACACAATTTTAAATCTATTGTGCGATTTATCAAAGAGCCATCTCCGAGTTCCAAAACTCTCACTTTCAAGGAGGCTAAGTGCAAACATCAATGGCTTCACAATTAGCCTCGCTTTTAAACAGAGGTTTGAAGCAACTCGGAAATGGCCTATTTCCCTTTCTGCTTTTTGTGATTCATAATACACGCTAATTTCTACCAAAAGTAAAACGGCCCTGGTAAAACCGTGCATTATAATATTTAACTTAAAAATCTTAGCAGCTTTTTGTATGATTGACAAGCCCGTCATTTTTTTTTTTTTTTTTTTTTAATTATCTTTTGAGCCTCTCTGTTGCCGACGAAATCGAAGTCACGACGATCGCCATTGACGAAAAAAGCCACGATTGCATTGCTATCCTTGCAATTAAGTTTGACAACGATAGTCGTACGATGATGGTAAAAGGACCTGCCAAAAGTGTTCTATTCGTTCAAACTGTTGTTAATGTTGTTGTTTGACTTCTTGTTTCCATCTTCCTCGTCGTTTTTTGCCCAGCTCCCTAGTAGTGTTAACTACGCAAAAAGTTCTTGATATGCGACGATCTTGCTGAAAAGCCGATCGAGGACTTGGTTTAAACGTGCGACAAAAAAGACGTCCGCAGATAACCATAAGGTGGATTTCCACTTTCGCGTAATTTTTACGTGCGTAGGCACGCAAATTTCACGTGCGCAAATAAAATGGAGCCGATGTATGAGAGGGCGCGCCTAAACGTAAAAGTTGAACCTCGCTCAACTTTTCACGCGCGGCCCTTCATAGACTGAAAATTAACAAGATCTGTTTCAGCCCTAAATTGTCAATTCAGCCCTGCAGGCCAAAGTCTGATTCAGCCCTTCCTGGAGCCATTTGAGCACAATTTAGGCCAAGAAAGCTCAATCAAAAGGCTATTCCAGCCCACGCTAGGGCCCATTTCAGCCTTGGGACTAAATCAGCCCTAGCTAATTGGACTGTATTAGCCCTGATTTAAGAGAGCCAAATTAGACTCAAAAATACGACTGTAGTTTACTCACCGAAACGGCCCTATTTTTAGGGCTAAAACAGATCCTTCTGATTTATAGTGTACACTGCTTTTATTTTACTTACGTAGGTAAAAATTACGCGAGAGTGGAAATCCGCCTATAGAGAGAATCACCTTTCAACTGAAACTCTGAAAATAGGGGAAAAGGCTTAACTACTTACTTTCTCATTATCTTGACCTTTTCATAGTCCTTGACCTGAACTGAAAGCATATCGTCGGGGGACAAGGGTTTCCCCGCCAGATCCCATTGTAAGTCCTGTAATTGAGATAAAGTATGCCTTTAGTGTTTACGTCACAACACAGGGGTCAATTACATTAACGCAACGCGCATTTTTCGACGATAAAGTCGATAAAGGCCAATATCCTGCCGAGATTCAGAAATCTCGGCGGCAAAAAAAATATAGATAACAAAGTACGCTTTACTGTGCTTTTCAATAAACTCAACGGTTTTCTTCAGAGTATTTTACAGAAACCTTGTTTTTAGCTTTATTGTTTTGATCAAAATAAACAGGCACCTTACGAAAATGGTGAAAATTTAATAAGCGCGACGACGACTGCGACGCGAAAGTATTAAACAAAATATCATACATCACGCTTTTTCACAACATTTTTGCGACGCGAAAGTATTAAACAAAATATCATACATCACGCTTTTTTGTACATTTTTGTACAACTAAGACGTGAAACCAAATAGTTTTGAAAGAAAAAAAAAATCAAAACATTAGCAAACCTGATTCCAGACTGGATCCAATGTGTTATCCTGAACCTCAGTTTTCTGTTCATTTCCTACAAATAGAAAGAAAGAAGCGTCAGAAAATGTTAGCCAAGTCAACACACTACGGCTTACAAGGAGTACACGCCCTCTTCCCCTAATTAATGGACTTTTGTCTTGTCAGATTCACAAAGCGGATTATATTGATACCTACGAATATCATAAGAAAGCTCAATATACAGCTTAATATTTCATTCCAACTTGTCACATTCCTTCGTTTTATTATCATTATTATTATTATTATTATGTAAAATTTAGCACAGGGATTTTCCCTGGGGAGAAATATCCAGTCAAGTCTCATCCCGAGACCTCAGACTTCTAGCACCTTTGTGAGGATATGTGCCGATCCTAGGAGTGCCGACTTTTGCATCGTTCTTGTTCGGTTTTTAATTCCTAGTTGCTCCAAGTAGCCTGCATTATTATTATTATTATTATTATTATTATTATTATTATTATTATTATTATTATTATTATTATTATTAAGTTTAGTTTAAGTTTAATACTTCTTTTCACCAATGTACAAAATAAAAATATATATACATATATAAAAGTACAATAGGTAAAGGAAAGCAATAGGGGGAAACTGAATTCCCATATAAAAACTGCCCTCCAAAACGAAAAGATAAAACAATTAAGAATAGAAAACTAATACATAAAAACAATTAAGAATAGAAAACTAATACATAATTATACTATAAACTACTTAGATATTAAATAAAAAAGAAAATCCAAATTCAGTAGGAAATGGGAGACATATGACTATTTACAAAGATAATTAATTAATAAAGTTTTAAAAGAGTTCAAACTGGAAGCAGACATAACGGAGTTTGGTAAAGAGTTATTGTTGTTGTTGTTGTTGTTATCATTATTTTATTTTTTATTGCATTTGCTTAAAAATAAGTAAGTAAATAAATAATAAAAATCGGTTAAAATAATGAAAAATATATTTATGTATATATATTAACATATAATAATAATAATAATAATAATAATAATAATAATAACAATAATCAAAAATCAGTCTCCCCGCAATGGGCGTGACGACTGTCTTGATTTTTTTTTTCCTCTAAAGAATACGATAGTGTAATATTGCTTTGTTGTTAGTTGAATGTCATTGGATTTTATTACATTACATCTCATCGTCTTTCCCTGTTCTATAACACTAGCAAAAAACCGGAAAAGAAAACTAGAGAAGAAATAGAGGAGCAACAAAGCACTGAAACAGAGAATTTAAATAAAGGTCGGTTAACTGTTCGGTTTGTTTTGTTACGATTGCAGTTAAAGAGTCAATATTCATTAGTGTATAAGCGAGGAGACTCTATTAAACAAGGAACTAAGATTTTTTAGGTAGTCTGTTTATGAATGGCCCGGGGGGGTTACTTTACGAATTTCTGGGTAGAGATGTGCCGCTGGGACCCTGGAGCCCTTAACCTATACCAACCAACTGATCAGTTTCCTGAAAAATGATACCCTATTCTAGACCCAAACGCTCTGATTTATATACCCTATCCTAGAGTAAACTGCTTGAAAACCATACCCTTCGCAGCGGCATACACCTATATAGCCCATATATGGCACAGTACCCCCCGGGAGGAATAGCCATTTCTTGGGCTGCTTAGGTAGAGAATTGATAAAATGTACCGTTAAAACTGTGGATTGGCCTTACATTTATGCTAAAACCTGGTGACAAATGTGCATGAACCATTTGTCCTGTTTGCATTTTTTTATATACAGGTACATTCAGCTTTTAAAATTTGTTCGACTTGCGCAAAAAATAATAACGGTTCTGCGAAGCTTTATACATTAATTTATTAATCGTTATGCATACATATCCGCCGATTTATGCTCTGTTAACCTCTCGTTTAATTAATGTTTTCACGAGAATACGTCCATGCACAACTTAGTATACGTATATTACGTGCGAGGTAATGCGAAAATACTATTTACCGTTGATAGTGTAATGTAACTTTTCTTCCTGAATTGCAATGGAGATAACATACAATTTATTGAGATGAAAAAAGCAAAAATCCTCTTTGCGAACAAGCAATTTACTTCCTTATACTGCGATGAAGTTTCGACAGTATTTGGCCGTTTTCAGGATGAATTTAAACGACATATCTGCCGTTTTGAAATCCTCAAAGCCTTCAAAAAACTTTCATAACAACGTTCTTAACAAGTCCAAAATTTATCTTGACAGTGAGGAGAGTATTTTTCCCGGTTTCAGCATATAGGATCAACAGCCGATAGAAATTAAATTAAAGAATTTGGAGTTAGAGAGCTGACGCTTTCAATGGGTGGAATAAATGCACGCTAATTGGGAAATGATGCGAAACCAGAAGTATCTAGACAAGAATTAACCTCTTTATCAAATATATTAAAATACTTTAACGGCTCTTGCCATATAAGTTTTCAACTACTTCGCGAAGACTTTGCTTGGGAAAGATAGCATATGTCAGTACAACGTTTGCTCTGTAAATTAAAATACTTCAAGTCAGTTGACAATGAGGGTTTGGGTTTTAAACCCAAAATGCCTACGGTTAAACTCGGCCTTAAATGAATATCAGACGAATATTGCTCTCTTTTGTGTAGGAAAGGAAATGCACATTCAGAAAAACACTATAAGGCCATTCATAAATATGTAAACGTTGCTGTACTTGTAGCAAACCTCGAAGTTAATAGAACCTAGATTAAAGAGCTGAAAACTCTTTTTTGTGTTCTATCAAGAGAATCATTATCAATGCATAGTCTGTAATGCTTCGTTGATTTTGTAAATTCAATACAAGCTGTAAACAGCTTCATAGGTCTACGGAGAACGACAAACTGCTTTTCAAAAACACAATGTTGATGATTCTATTCTTTAAGCTCTTTTCACTATTTAGACTAACGAAAAGTAAGCAAACCAGTTTGTGCGGTTTCATAGTTCTAAGGTAATTTAAAATTCGGCATACTGCAACGAAAAATACTTGAACACTTTGCATATTAATTAGTCTCATTAGGCACCGTTCTAATAAAATATAGCAATCGGGTGAGTTAAACACCAATAGAAGTTTTGAGACTAACGCAACCTATTACACCTTGCACAGCCCGCTAATTTGAGTCACCCTTATCAGTCAAGGTAAAAGAGTAAATTAACCGCGCCCCTTGAAAGTTGTACAACTACATGAAGTTCCGTACATGAACTGAAGCGAGTTCAACGGACTCGGCCCTACCTTGAAAGCTGATTTTGACGTATGGATCACTTTTGCCAAAAGTGTCCACGTCAGGTAGATCCGAAGCTCTTTGGACAGTGACTTTCAACATTTTTGCAACTGGTTACAGAAGCACAGCGCGTTTAGAATGACATCCTTCAGAATCCTATACTGACCAAGCACGAGTCCAGAAAGCTCTGTCACGGATGAGTCCACTCTACCTCACACCCATTCACGATCTTTCTGCATATCAATGAGCGTTGCGCTACGAAGTTTAAACAAATACAAAAACACAATAAGCTTTTCGGCGTGGGTAAGGTCGTGATATTGAATAGCTAACATTTTTTCATGCCCAATTATAGATTGTAGTTCTGCATTCAAAATAACGGCCAGGCAGGTAAAGATCACTCGCAAATTAAATTGTTAAAAAAAATGTAGTTACTCTTACCTGTATTTCAAAAGAACGAAAACAAAAAAATAAAAATAAAAACTGATGAAAGGTGAAGAAAAGAGACACATCAAAAAGGGGAGGGTGGGGAAGAGAAGTGTACTGACAATATGCCTTGCGGTCTTTAACAATCACGATCATGCTAGGGACCTTATTCATTTGAAAAGCCCAACGTGTCATGTTTTGGAGAATTTAAGTTATAGCCTTTGCATTTTTCAGGTGCAGTTTTCTATAGTCTTTTTTAAGCTTAAAAACAATAAATAACTAAAGAAATAAAAAAAGAAAGAAATAACTCCACTGTCCAAGGAAATTCGAGGGCGATACGCAAAATGGAAATCCATAAAAAAGTAGTGTTTAGGGAGGGACCATTAAAAAAGTTATGGGGGGGAGGGGGTGGGGAACTTTTGAGCCACATGAATTTTTTTTCGTTAACAAATTCCTTGTATGAATTTTTTTAGGCCGTAGCATGAATATTTTTTGGGGTTAATTCTCATTTAATTTCCCCTTGCGCGAATATCAATCTCGAGGCTCGACCCAATCAACTAAAATTAAAATGCTGGGGTATTTTCGATTGAAAACTATGGATGGGTTCGGTCGAAATGCAAACGTTTCAAGGAAAAGTGCCCCTTTGAGATAATATCTGCATATAACGATTTTTCATCTGGTTCCATTTGACCATTTCTTTTTCTCAGAGCCAAACTTCCGGTCATTCCTGTCTTAAATCGGTTGGGCTTAAATGACCCAGCATTTACCGAGGGTCTCAATAGGGTGGTGGCTTTTACGGTTATCGGCTAAAATTTTGGCTCTTTTGCGGCTATCGGTTAATTTTTTTCAGTTACGGTTAACAAAAAAGTTAAAAATTAATTTCTTTTGTTTCAAAGAGATAAATAATAATAAACCTGGATTTTTTGGTATCTTTAAAGCAAAATAAATGTCTTAAAATCATCTCGGGATGAAATAAGTTATTCTTTTGAAAATTTCTTAATATTTGGTAGATCATGCTTTTAAAGTATTCCACTTCCAATATCATTTTAAACATAGAAATGGTCAGAAATGTTAACTATGAAAAAGAGAAGATCAAGCTGTTTGTCGTTGGCGCGATTTCCTTTTCTTTAGGGGCTACTGATTTTTTCTTCTAGTCGCTTTGTTTTTGCTACCCTCTTCTCTTTAATTTTTACTACCGCGATAGGGTCTTTACTCCCTTGCAGAACAGATTGTACAACATGAACAGATTGAGAACTCGAACATTTCTGTGACTCTCACATTTACAAGTGTCGGACCCAAGCAGAGAGTACGGCTTTGAAGATCTTTACAGCCTCTTAAAATCACATGAATTCTTTTTTGAAAAAAAATTTTAAGCTATTACCAATCAACTAAAATTTTTTGTGTGCCATGAAAAGGATCATTCGTAATAAAAGACAACAGCTCATTTGAAAAGAATCTTCGTGAAGAGCAAAACTAGCGGAAACGCGAACGTACGGGGTCAAAGTAGCCGCGAAACAAGAAACACAACCGGTCCTAAGAGAGTTTAGTGCCTTCTCAAAATTATCAAATCTAAGGAGCAAAACTTTTACGTTTAACTCTTTTTTTACTCTAATTACGGCTAACGGTTAAAATATTTCAATTTTTACGGCTATTGACTAACTTTTGCGCCGTTTTACGCCTATCGGTTAACCCCATTGAGACCCTCTTCACCATTTCGCGTTCATTAGCGCCTATGCATTCAAACATAAAATTTCGACCGGAATTTTTTTGTTAATTTTTGGTTGAATGCATCGAGCCCTCGAGCCTCATTTGTTGAGTGACAGCCCAGAACCGAGAAATCGGTCTAGACTAACGGTGCAATCTATTTATTTATTTGTCAATTATCTATTTCATTTATTCTTTACTACTAATACGCATTTCTACTTCTTTTAAGGGGTCTTTCAAACCATGATGTTCTGTCTTGTCAGTTTTGCAAACGTTCGGTTAAAAGTAAGCTGATAGGCGTTATGTACTACTTAAAAACGAGCAGGAGTAAATTATATATTACACCTGACAATACACGACTGCGAGTTTTTTTGAAAGGTTTCAAAATCTCTGATATAGATCAACTTTTTCTTGCGCTAATGTTATTTTGGGGTTATTTTGCATGGTCTAAGAAATTGCGCGCAAAGTTCAGCTGTGTCAGACACTCAATATACATAAAATAGCTTTTGTTCTGAAGGAAAATGCAAAAGTTAAGCTCTTATTGCTGAATGTATGACTAACGTCTATGGTGAACGAATAAAAAAAATATATAATATTGCTTTGTTGACTTTTATTTTATTTTTGAATAAAATGAATAACAAATGAATTTTAAATAAATAAGTGAAGTGAGTGACAGCATCACAACAAATATTCACTCAAGCGCTGCGCTGCACATATCGTTTATTTCAGGGTCATATACAGACGTCTTGCAGAACTGTGTGAATGTAGGCAGACGAAAACCGGAGTAAGAACCTGCGTTTTTATTTATTTTTTTATTTGTTCTGGAAAAAAAAATGTTCAAGTATTTTGGAATTGTTCAGTATTGACAATTAAGGCTAAAAGTAGGTTCTTCTTTTTGCTCGCTACCATTTCTAAAAGTTGAATATCACGCGCTTGTCAAGAAGACAGTCTTGTGACACTTTTACAGTAGTAGACTATCACGTGCTAATTAAAACCCCTTTCCCTTTGTGAGTCAGTACAAGTGGTCACAAGGCTGTTCATTTTTGAGACTGTTTTGTTAAAAAGGGGTTCCCACGGACATGCAAAGAGGTTTGTAGGCAAGAAGTGTAATCATTAACCCTAAGGTATTAAAAATACGACTTCCCCTTCACTGGAAGAAAATTCATTAACAATTCCAAATAATTATAAATAAAGATCTGCCCATCCAACGACGTTTTCTTCCTAAATACATTGAAAACACTTTTAAGGCTATCCAAAGGACTTTTAGAGCTCTAGAAAAGCATTCTAGGCGGCGCTGTAAAATTTGTATCTGTTCGGTCACCCAAGGGGAGCTTCAGTCTTTTGGAAATTACAAGGGCTTGATTATAATTTTCCCGAACATTTTAGATGGAATTTGCCGTATAACGGAAGTGAGACATTTTCTAATTCCTCTCTCCATCAAATTTTTGAATCCGAAAATTTTAGGTTCCTCTTTTCTACGAAAAATAGCGTAACTTGGGAAGTAAAGTGCAAAAATTAAAGTTAAGAAAATCGTACGTAATTTATTTGATAAGCTTCGAAAAAAGTACATGAATGGAACGATCATCTAGAAATTTTTATCAGTCCTCAAGTAATATAATATTCTAGGCGATATTTGCTTCTCCGAACAGATATTTCATAAAAAACAGTCATTGGGTGTCCCTGTTTACTATAAAATAACAATCGGCTACAAACACAGATTGGCTGTGCCGCGTTTGAATCTCATTTTTTTTTTTCAAAGCTGCACTAGCGTGATTAGCACCTGCAAATCAAATGATCGAAACTTCACAACTGCGTTTGCATCACAGAAGCAAACACAAATCTAAACCAAACAGAGCGTGTGAAATGACGACTTCTGCTTCTCTAGGATTTAGTTCGATCCATCCCCCAGTCTCCACGTCTTGGAAATTAATTAATTATATAACGTATTCCATCAATAAGAGGGAAAGTTCTGCATAATCAGTTAATCATTTATATGTTTATTTACTTCTTTATTTATTGATCTATTTATCATTCATTCATTCTTTGCTTTTTATTCTTATTTTTTATGAATCTTCTTTTGACCATATAAATTATATTTGCTTTGCAATTTTAGTTGCAAAGTTAAAGGAGCTGTGTCACTGCAGTCCAGTTCATTTTGTTTAATTTTGCCAAGTACTTAGCCTGCGTAGCAGGCGTCGAAAGGGATAGGGGGTAGGGGATAGGGAGGAAGGGAAAAAGGGGAGGGGGATTGGGGAGAGGGGGAAGGGACGCCTGCTCTAAGAACCCCCTTTTGTTCATATCTGCGGACGCTGGCGTCCGCAAATTCCTGATTGGCTGAGCCGTAATGAGTAACATGAAATTGAAATGCGCGTTTCACAAATCAACAAACAGTCGAGATGGCTGCGGTAGACGTGGATGTCGTAGAGAGTGCTTTGAGAGATGTGAATTTATCTAGTGGTAGAGAAACTGTTTTAAAACCAGAGCAAGAATCAGGAGTAAGGGCTCTTTTAGCCGACAGAGATGTTCTGGCGGTTTTGCGGGCCGGATACGGCAAGAGGTTAATTTACCAAATGTTTGTACGCGCGAAGAACTACTAGCTAAATGGTAATGCGGCGATTCTCGTCATTTCGCCACTGAAAAGTATTATGGAAGACCAGTTGCAGGAGATGGAATTGTTGGACTACCCAGCGAAAGATTTAGCCAATTTATCGAACGATGACATTCGCCGATGTAACTTAGCAATAAAAGAGGGTGGTTTTACCTCATGCCAAAATGCTGCTTATTCCTATAAAGTTGTTTTTATCTGCTGGGTAGATTATGCTCTGGAAGGTTCTGCATTTATACTGAGCAAATGTTATTTTAGCCGCATGTTTCACACTGAGAGGTCATGACGTACATATCGATTGACTGTAGTTATTGTTTTCTGGTCGGCAGGATTTGCCCTCTGATGCAAGCGCAATTTCTTTGACCTCTTTTGAAGCGTAAAGCTTTTTTTATTACGGCTGAGTAAGGGTTCCAATTTTCTCCGAAGTGCCTTCTGGATCTGAACAACTAAGCGAATTTCTTTAGTCCGTGAGTGTAATGTTTTTCTGCAATGGCGAGTGTAGCGACACTTGATTGACAATAAGCGTAATCGGATTACTAGAAAATTGGTAGGCGTTATGCAAAAACATAGGCTCTTAGAGCAGGCGCTCCCTTCCCTTTTCCCTTTCTCCCTCCCCCCTCCCCCTCCCCTTTTTGCGCCTGCCACGCAGGCTACCAATTACTCAGCCTCAACCGCTATGGAACTTAAAGTGAGTAAAGAAATTACACGTAAATGACAAAATCAGAGATTCAAGACAAACAAATATGTCTCCTCCTAGGCATTATTTTTGAAGTTGCAAACAGCAGAAATCAACTTTGAAAAACTGTTAGCCTGAACAGTTTTCAAAAACCCTAATTTCAATCCGTCTCAATCTTCTTCAGTTCTGCCAATCCGTGGTATCTGCTGTATCTGTTGTGTTATTTCAACCTTCCTTTAATGTTTTAAGCGGTTATTTTTGTTTCTCTTAATTTAACGGACATTTTGTAATTACCTAATTTGTCTGAATTTCGTGACACAACTTAAAGCACTAAAAGCCATCTTTGGTGTGACCGTATCAAAGCCCTTTTTGTTCTGTTCAGATGTTAAAGATTCGAATTCTTATATACGGGATTCAGGAAGGGTAAGGATCAGGTTTATTATTAAAGGTAAACCCAAAAAAAATTTTTCAAAAAATAAAATAAAGTTAAATTCTTTCTTCACGCCGGCATCATTGACCGTCACTTGATCACTTAGAACGCTGCATTCCATAAATTTAGTGATCCTTTATCGCTCAGGGCCTGGTTCCTCAAAGGCCGATTCGCAATGATCCAGGAACGCAAATTTTGTGTTTGCCTTCCAATGTATCGTTTAGAATACCATTTTGTGTTATCCCCGTAACTGTATTCCAGAATAAAGCTCAACAATTTTTGTTCTATAAACTCGAGTTATTTGTTTTAAGGCAACGAAATTGTTCTTAAAATTGGACTTGAACCTGGGCTTATCTTGACCTTCGCGATCGGGGAATCGGGCCCAGATCGATAGACGTAGTCATATGGAGACCATGCTTGAGTCTGTGACCATGCATGCACCTAACGTGCATTCAACGAACCTGATAAATAATACTGTGCATTTCTGGCATCTAAAATCTAAAAAGTTCCTTTAAATAAAAATTAGCATTTGCACTTAAAGCTGCAATCGCTAGGGCAAGGCACATAATCTGCCAAGCCCTGTTACTTGAGAGTTAACACAACACTAACATAAAGTACGGGGAAAATGAAGTGTACGTTCGATCCTTAAATTAACCCTCGCGGTGATTCAAACTAGCTTGATTTCTTCATTTTTGGCAAATTTTGCTAAAGTTCATGACTTGCTGCTAGAGATCAGATCCAATTCAGTTTAAAAAGATAAATTTCGTCCTCATTAGTTTACGGCCTCAATAAAACACCATTAGCCGAAACAAAATTTCACGTCCGCAATTCCGCAGATGAAAGCAACACTCAGTTAACTTTGTTTAGAGCCATCTGCTCGTTGCCTTTCGTTTTGGTTGTTTTTACGTCGTCGATACCGCCGTAGTTTTGGTTGGGCTAACTCTCTAGAAACAGAGGCATATTTGAACTGACGAGGGTGATAGCTTATTCATGTGAAAATACTAGCCATAACATTTCTCCAACAGTATTTCGCCACCAGCTTAAAAACCAAGAGACTATTCTAACATCACATCGCCGCTACTGGGAATGAAAACACCCCCCACTAGTTATGATAAGTACCTTTCTTTTTAATAGTGGCCACGCTATATCCCCAATTCAATAAGCTGATCGAGGTCTTTGCTTGAAACGTCTAAACGATCTGTCTGAACAGTCAAGCCTATCTTAATATACTTGACTATCACGCGCCAACAAAGTCCGTTTTCGAGCTAGTAAAAATGGAATCAGTGTCATTTGTTTTGGAGGCTGCTTTGTTCACGCCGACATTTTATTCTTATGTATCTTAGTTTATTATTACTATAATATTGTTATCATTATTATTACTATTTTTGTTTTTGTTTTAAAGAAATAAATTGCCTTCCATGGCTAACTTAATCATTTATTCAGACAGACCATTGTTATTATTATCATTATTATTATAATCATTATCATTATTATTATTATTATTATTATTATTATTATTTTATCATTATTACTCAGCTTTTGCTTTTGCTTTTTTACCAAATAGACAACATATGTAATTCACTGCATTTAAGGAAGGGTAAAGGCCATTCTAAATAGACGATATTCGTATTCCCCGACGGCCCTGGGACGAGAGACTTCACAGCATGATTGTGAGGCTAAAGCGGGGAACTTTAAGTAAAAACACATACAAACATTGGTTAGTCGCGGCTGAATCGCTGCAAAACGATAGAAATAAGCAAAAAACTGCAAGATTTAAAAGCCGAAACCTTACGGGTAAGCTACATAAAAGGGATATCTGTTTCAAAAAACAAAACTGTGGGAAGAGCTAGTCGTACTAACAGCACAAGTTAAAAAGCCAAGAAGCCAAAAGAAGAAACAAGAAGTAATCAAGAAAATGGTATATTGTGTCACAATGTCAATACTCGAATCCTTTTTATAAAATTTTCTTCTCATTATTATTCTTTTTCTCTTGTGTGTATCTGTGGTGTGGAGTTTAAACTGCTCAGTATTATCGTCTGTACGAAACTGTGTGTCCAACTGCGTGCACTCTGTACTCTCGCACAGTTGTTATCGAAGATAATGTAAACTTTACCTGGTCATCTTTGTTCAAACCGGTTTAACTTCCTTAAAATGCACATGGACTGTGTGCAGAACGCTAAGCCCCGTCCTGATAGGTAATTATCCATGGAATGAGTCGTTTGCTTTACTTCAAATACACTTTCAAGATTTTGCATCCGCTCTGTTAGAAAATTTCAAATGCAAAGTAGGTGTGATAACATCACCGTTCACTTTATCGCAGGCTTTGGACAATTACGTCCATTTCAATAAAAGATATTCTTCAAAAAGTTTAAAGGACACTGAAAATTACAATTAAAATGGCTTCGGGGATTTTAAAAACATCTCTGTTTATATTAAATTATAAATTCGCTCACCAAGCACTCTTCTCATCAATATAATTATGGTTAGGATCGCTGTTTTTCTTTGAAATAATAACCTCTCAAGTATGTAAGCCCTTCGAAACTCTACAATGTTAAAAATTTTCCTTAAATTCGGCAAACTCAGCCGCAGTTTTTTTATATTTGTTTGTCCTCTTGGCGAGAAGGTCCCCGCATGAGCCTCGCATTCATGATCAAGGCCCACTCGTCCCAGGACTGTCGGAGAATACCAATTCTGTCTATTCTTGCGATCACCTCTAGACTGATCCAGTGACTCAGTCTGTTAGGACACTGGAACGTGCAGAACGTGCAGAGGTCGTGAGTTCAATCGCTCCGGGTCAAAAATATCCTTTGGATTTCTGTAATATTCAAGTTTCTTTCTAGGAATTCAAAATTGGAAGGTCTTGACAGAGTTTCTATCTTTTAACCTTTAAGTACATAAAACACATCTCACAAATCAGAGAAGAAATGATGCATCATAATTAAATTTAAAAAAAGAAGGAATTTGTTTAAGAATAACCAAAGTATTAGATGACAAACGCTTTGCCTTCTAAATTCAAAACTGTTGTCAGTCTTAACAGCTCTTCTTCCATTGTGGTCTAACGACCACTCGCTCAAATTTACTTGTTTAATTTTTAAAGTTTATTCTGGTAATGTATATGTAACCTCTTGGTTTGCGTATTACAAAAATGTGAGCACGTGTCATTCATGGTTGTCCTTTATCCTGACATTTCAAATTTCCTTCAAAGCAATCTTCGTATTCTTGATTTACAACTTGCATTCGTGGTTTATTTGGAGGGAACTTTGACCCTTTGCGCCTGTTTTTAGCAGCACTACTTCGTAGACTACCTCCTCCATTCTGCATGTACCACTTGGCTCACAGAAATAAACTATGGCCTCCGCCTACCATAACAAAAATATGATAATAAATTCAATTATATAATGAATGAATAAATAGATAACTAAACAAAAAGCCATTCGAACAAACGATAATTAAGTACGTTAAGTTTAAGATAAACATGCGTGAGTATGAATATTGAAACTACAAATTACTAACCCTTGCGGTTGTTTGTGGCTCCCAGCCTCCTTCTGGTATCCGAATGAAGCAAATACCACGCAGGGAGTCCTTGGTCAAGACGCCCGATGGAGGTTCCAGCTTAAACTGTCCTTGAATGGCTTCCTTATCTAGAATATGTAGCAAGAAACATTTAAGCAAAGTGCAGAACTAATCGTATTAAGCATTAACGATGACTTATCTTCTGAGAATGATACATTTTCTACAAAGTAGCAATAGAGACCTTTAGATTTGAGGTAACGGACGACTACGAGATTTGTTTGTTGCTGGAAAGCTTCATTTTATTTATTTATTTATTTGTTATTATTATTATTATTATTTTCATCATTATTATTATTATTATTATTATTATTATTATTATTATTATTATTAATCATGTTTTATATTTGATTTACTTTTTTATATCTTTAGTTTTTGACCAGAAAAGGTAAACGGTAATTGACAAATAATAAACCTTCTAACATTTTTTTTTTTTCCGTCACTAAGACATTTTCCCTAATATCCATGGTAGAATGACGACGGCTGTTTTGAAGTCTAAGGGAATCGCGGACATATTTACGTACGATATTTTCGTTTCACGGAACTTGAAGGGCGGGTGCAATCAATTAGCAAGAACAGTGAGAGACGTTTTTAGCAAAGTGAATGTATTAAATTCAACCCAAAATCGCCTAACGCACCTTTGGAAACAAAACAGGTTTATTAAGAGGACACATTGTCAACCTAGAGATCAATGAGTAAAATAACCTCATTTACCTTCTTGTGGCCTGAAGACCATGAACTGCCAATTACTCGTCACGCCTTCTGTTAAGTAACAGCCCGCGGGGAGTCTGATTTCGAACGTAACATCTAAGGAAGCGTTGCTGCATACATGAATTGGCTCTTTGGAATTGACGGGGGTTCGTTTCGAAGTTAACCGTTTTACCACGACCTTTTCTTTGCTCGCTTGTCTGTCCACATGGTCTTTTGGAGTTTGAGGGTGCTCGATGATATCCAACTACGAAGAAGAACGCTTGCTTGAAAACAGCTGTTTAATTAGATTTATTGGTTCACACAGACACTGAATGAACGATCGATTGACTGAATCGCCAACTGACTGACTGACTGACTGATGACTGACTGAAGGACTGACTGTATGACTGAAGGACGACAGACGGACGGTCTGACGGTCCGACGGACACCGATCGATCGAATCCTTGAATGATCGACTGACGGACTGACTGATTGATTGCTCAGTTACTTGCTCAATTATACCGTCCACAGTGAGTCGACTGGATTACATGTATCTAAATTTCTCACCAAGAATGTTTGCTTATTACCAATCAACACAATAACGATTATGACCAAGAAAACTTCTAAAAAAAACTCTATTTAGCCCATTAAAACCCCGCGGGTACCGGACTTATTTAATACGGTTGACTTTTTCAGAAATCAGAACGAGCTGGAAAACCCAAAAGAAGGAAAAATATATATTAATATGCCTATTCTACCTATTCTTAACACATAACGGATTTTTCTTAAAAAAAAAAAAAAAAAAAGAAACTCCATAAATTTCTACACTGTGTCTTGTCCAAAAATCGCTTGTGGCAGGAAATACTTGTTACCATTCTATATTTCATAGGACTGGATTACATTTTGAAGCTGAACTCTCACCTGTGACGCTTTTTTAGTTTTTAAGTCAATAACTCGAATGGCATGGTTGTTAGTATCTGCCACATATAGCGTCTCTCCATCAGGACTCACACACAAGCCACCTGGTTCATCAAACTGGATCGCGTTTTCCTCGCCAGAAGAAAGACCTGGTTTACCAGTGCCCAGAAAAGATTCACAAGTTTTTTTCACAGGATCAATAACTTTAATCTGCAATAAATTAATTAAAATCAGTCCGTGAATTAATTAACTAATCAATCGATTAATAAATTTTAATATAACCCATCTAGGATAGGAATCCAATACTGTATAATGGTAAAAGAAAGTTCAGATCAACCCTTCCAATATTTCACTGACAAAGTTTTAAAACTAGAGCATCATCACTAACCAAATAGTAAACGACAGTATTAAGAAATCAAGGACTGTTGGGGTCTGTTTACATGGAGGTTGGGGACCCCAGGTAGGTGAGGTAAGCCGCTAAGGTGAGGTAACCCCCTGGCCATATAATCTCTCATGTTAATTTGATCACGTTTACATGATAGGTGGGGTGAGCCGCCAAATGTCACGTCACCTACCTGGGGTCCCCCACCTCCAGATAAACAGGCCCTTCGTTTAGGAAAGAGAAAATGATGACTGGTATGAACAAATAAATTGTGGCCTAGATTAGGTTTTAGTAAGTAGTAAAGAACCCAATCATAAGCAGCTCTTCTCGAATCTAACATTATTGTACTGATTGTCCTTCACAAATTTAAGTGTACATATGTGTTGCAAGAAATTGAAGGGTTTTTACTGGCCCCTGTAGTTGGTATAGTGAGTTAATCACCATAATGTGATCCAAAAGATGACGTTTCAAGCGTTAGCCATTTGTCAGAGCGAATCGAAAAATACATAATCGGGCCTTGTGTTGTTTACAGCTATTTCGAGAAAGTTGTCGGAAAAAATGAGCACGCGACAATCCCGAAAGGTAATATGGGATAAGAGCAGTACACTGTTCCTGACACTGTAGCTGTCGAACCTATAACTTTTGTTGCTTTCCTTTAGCACTTGCAAACATATGTCCATGGCCTCTCCTGCCATTCTATCAAATTTCTTTGAAGAACAGTTAACTCAAAACCACCCACAATACCTTTCGAGATTGTCGCGTGCACTTTTTCCGACAACCCTTCTCGAAATAGCTGTATATAATCGTATTTAATCGGATAATCCCCAGAAAACAAAGAATTTTCAGAGAAAATTACCCCTTATCTGAGAAGGAAATCAGCAAACAAGTTGTCAGGCGGTTAGGATGAGAGACAATCATTACCTTGTGGTTATACGAATCTGCAACATAGAGTTTCTGTGAATGTGGGTTCCAGGCCACACCTAATGGATGTTGCAACTTAACATCGATACCTTTGCCATCCTGATCACCAAATGCGAACAGATTCTGAAAACGAAAAACAAAAAATCCTAAGTTGTCATTTTGAAAAGCACGAAACATTTAATATAGAATATATATCATAAAAAGCTATCTTTGAATGCCGTCTAGCTCGGTTGGTGGATGTTCGAAAGTGGAGAAAAAGGGAAATTTTGGACGCGTAAAAACCCAAGGAATTAGGCACCCAAATTCTACTTTCTCTTTCGAAAACCTGTAACGCCCTCTACATACTCAGAAATAATTCGTTCACCCAAATAGACCTCACATTACCCGCCATCTTAATTTGCACGTGCTTTTAATAGGACTGATAAGATAAAAATTACAGTGTAACGTCACGTGGTATATCATGGGGCAAACAATGCAAGTGATAAAAATTGCCAATACGAGTTAATCCAGGTCGAGTTTGTTTATTCTCTTAAAATGAGACGACAAGTTACAAAATACAAAAAATATGCGGCGGGAAAATATACTCGCGCAAGCGCACCTTTGGCAAGAAAGTAGGCAAATCGAATATCCGAGTCGAAAGATGGCAAAACAAGTATGAAATATTAAATTAGATTGAAAAGACAAGACTTTTCTTTAAACGATTTGCATATTATGTGCAATCATACTGCATTACAGCCTAATAAAGAAGAGGAACGACCTTTCGGGACACCCTGTAGAGAGATTTAGAATCACGTTTACGACAAATGGCAAACGCGAGATTCAAGTTAAAAATTTCTCAAATTAGAAAGTCAGCAGGTAAAATCTGTCAAAAACGATTCTTATTTTTGGTGGGTAAAATAAACGGCAGATGGCAAGTTAAAGGATAACTTAGTCACGTGGTACAATTTGACGATTGCCGTAACCGTGGTTCTAAATCTCTCTAATAACAGCTTGCTTCATACTTACAGTCGGGTCTCTATCGGCTCCTACCAAAGCTTTTGTGCCACCAGTGGCCACATCAACTGTTCGCACACTACTGCTCTCGCTGTCAGCCACAAACAAACACCTGTACGGTTTTTCCACAGCAAGACTGACACCAGAAGGCTGTGCAAACGCAGCTTTGTGTGGATAACTGTTGTTTCGATTCTCTTCTGCTCCACTCCCAGCAAAACGAAGACAAGTGCCTTGCACTTGGGTCCTAGAAGGTGTGACGTATGGAGCAGATGTGTAAGGCATACTAACTTGTTATATTTCAAGACTTTCGCTCAATTTAATACAGGCTAACATTGGTTGATTCTTGGTCGCGTGAGTTATTCATGCCTCTAACTTTTAAAGCTAAGCAAGAAATTCTTTCAATTGGTGTTGCAACTCAAATGAAACCACTTCAACAATACATATACTTTTAAATGGAACTATTTATTGCGTTCGACGTTAGGAGAACGCTTCGTAATCTTTGGGGATCCTGTGGTCGATGGGATACCTGTGCATGCCAGGCGTAAAGATTCGAGATTTTTGGTTCCTTGGACGGGCGATGTTCAAAATCTGCGCCATTTTGAATAATTATTAAGCGCGCGCACGAATTTTAAGCCCAATAGCCGAACAAAGAAATTGCGGGCTCACCTCGTGGACATGCGCACACAACTATTTTTATGCGCAAGCAACTATACCTCGTGCGAGTGCGCACGCAACTATACCTCGTTTACGTCATAAGCAATTGTCATATGGCAATCACGTGCATCACTGGTTCCATCAAGGTCAACTACATTACACGGGAATATTTGAGTTCGGCAAAAGAATGAACGTTGGAGTTGTTTTCTAAGCGGGTTTTATCACTGAGCTGATGATTCTGCTAATCTTTTCGGTCAATGCCGTTCAAATCGAGCTGGAACTTCGTAGAAACACACAAATAAAGACCAGGTAACATTTGTGCCGTGAGAAGTTTAGCCGTGCGTTTGAGTCTATTTACTTATTTGTAGTTTAACCTCTTTCATGCACGAAAAAGTAAGCTTGAGCGTATCAGTGCAGGTTGTTACAACTGTAATGCTTTATTCACGTCTGATATCTCTACGCGGACAATTTTGCATGATAAGTATCTCGCTCGCTGAAGCAAGCTAAGTTTAAAACATGTTGAACTGACCTACATGAACTTAAAATAATCATGAGATGAAAAGTTTGCACAATGGCAAAAGATTCTGTCCGGTTCTCTGACATCAGTAATCTAGCAGAAACCTAATATGTTTCGTCGCTCCTATGATCATTGTTTTCACTTCAAGTTGTGTCACGCAAGAAGCCAAGACTTATAACTTTCAAGGCTACCATTTTTTCGAAGTTTGTAGTGACATGTTTATCTTTTTAACAACAAAGAACTTTTTACGATCTACTTTACATTTTTATCGACCATGCTTGAGGGAGAGTAAGACATTTTAAGAGTAGAGAGTTAATGAGTGAGATATTTTGAAGCCGTATACGCGAAGAACATTTTTTACGAAAAGAATGTCTACCTTTTAATTCATGATCTCTTCCATGATTTTGAAATCATGCTTGACGACACAAAAGCTAATCTGGAGCTAAGAAAACTCGAACGCACTTATTGATCTATGATTACTACTAGTTTAGTATGTAGTTCTAGCGTTTGAGTCTCTGGATGAAATCCTCTGGTGTTACCATTCAAATGGAAACTCTTTAGCAGTACTTTCACATGGTACTATTTATTTAGTATGTCGTTCTAACTTTTGAGTCTCTGGATGAAAATCCTATGGTGTTACCATTCAAATGGAAACTCTTTGGCAGTACTTTCATATGGTACTACAGTCGAATCCCAGTAACTCCAACCCTCTATAACTCGAACTTCACGCTAACTCGAAGCAATTTACATTTCCCTTCAGCTTGCTTTCTATAGTAATTTTACCCTCGATAACTCGAACTCCCGGTAACTCGAACTACAGTCGAATCCCGCCTGGTAACTCGAACCCTCTATAACTCGAGGCAATTTACATTTCCCTTCAGATCGCTTTCTATATAATTTTACCCTCGATAACTCGAACTCCCGGTAACTCGAACTATTTTCTCTTTCCCTTGAAGGTTCGAATTATCGGGAGTCGACTGTATTTATTTAGACTGTAGTTCTAACTTTTGAGTCTGTGGACGAAATCCTTTGGTGTTACCATTCAAATGAAACCATTTTAGCAGTACTTTCACATGGTACTATTTATTTAGTATGAATTTCAACTTTTGAGTCTGCGGACGAAATCGTTTGTTGTTACCATTCAACTGAAACTTCTTCAGCAGTACTTTCACAAGGTACTACTTATTTAGCACGTAGTTCTAACTTTTGAGTCTGTAGACGAAATCCTTTGGTGTTACCATTCAAATGAAACCTCTTCAGCAGTTCTTTCACATGGAACTATTTATTTAGTATGTAGTTCTAACGTTTGAGTCTCTGGATGAAATCCTATGGTGTTACCATTCAAATGAAACCTCTTTGGCAGCACAAATTTTATCGACATATATTGATTTCTTAAAGTTATTATTGGTCTACTGATAGAAGTGAAAGGATTCATTAAGGTTGATAACTGACCCTCCTTTAAGCCAAGAACTGTCTTTCAAGTAAAAGGACCAGATTTGATGTGTGCCAGCCATGGCAATGTACAAAACATCACTTGAGCTGCCGTCTTGCGTAGGTCCTGCAGGAATAATTATTTGTTATCTTTGATATAATTTGCATGTATCTTTTAAAAGTGTCAGAAATGTCCAAAGATTTAGGACTTTGCTCAGTCGTAATCAGTGGCACAATGTTGGTTTTGTGGCAACTATAAAATCGTGCTACAAATTAAGAACATTGGGAATGGAATGGTAATGTGAGCGAAAAAAAAAGCGTACTGGAAGACACTGTAAAGACCACATTGCTGGCAGATCCCAAGTTCAAAAATGAGGAGCATCTCCATCTGTAAGTTTCTTTTGCTTGTTAATGCCAAAGTGCTTATCGTTAAGCTCCAACCATATTGTCTTTACAAATGAGACACTTTTTTAGTTCTGGCACTGCTGAATCATGAATCTGCAGCAGGCAGTAACCATGGTGCAATGCGGTCTGAGGCTGAGAGTTCTGAAACTTCTCATTCTGTGATTGAATGTCCTGGCTCAGTACAGGCAAGGTTAATGAAAATTTGTCCACAGGGAAAAAATCACCTTCAGCTGTATGTATCAAGCACCTGTAGTGTACCATACCGTAGCTTTAAATAAACAACAACAACAAAACTTCAGACTTGTTACCATTTTTCTGTACTTTCTCTCCACTTTCAAGACCTTTTTGAGGTCTGGAAAATTGCTTTGAAAATTCCAAGACTTAAAAGAATTTCAGAATCTGTACAAACCCTGTATATTGCAATAATAATTATAAATTATTACATAACAATATTATTATATTGTAATAATGATAATTATAATATATAGATTTAGCCAGGGCTAAAAGCGAAGCTCCCGTTAATAAATTCATAATTTAAATCAAACAATAAACTTGCAATTGTAATCCACAGATCAGGGCACATTCATTTGACTTTTGAGGCAAAGGCTGAGTGATTTTAGAGAATAAATCAGAATTTGACCGTCCAAGAGTGCAACAAATTTTACGTCGAGTTATTAAATAGTCTTATTTCTACACCGAAAAATAGCAATCATGTTCGATCACAGTAGATTAGGCCTGGAAAACAAATAGACCTATTCGTGTATTGTATTTGCATTAGCTGTTGCATCATAATGTGGCATTCACTAGTCTCACCAACATTGCTCCGTTAGAGAGACTATGGATAATTGGATAACCTCGAATTATAATTTTAAGAAACACACGCGCCACGATAGTCCTTGGTGGCAGCCAATTTACAAGTTGCATTCCTCTGTCTAAAAAGGAGGCCAAAATAAAAAATCAGGCCGGATTTTTGTGTTCGACAAGTTTAGTTCACTAGTAAATCTTGGCGACGAATCTGGTGGCGTGTAAACCAGCCTTTTAAACATACTTTTTCTCATCACGTCTCAGGTAAACAGTACTATGAGGCCCTTTTTTATCATACAGACCTCGGACAGAATTTGTTCTTTTTTTTCTATTTAAACCTATAATTCTGCAGTTTTTCACAATTTTGCAAGAGAATTTGCACTCATTCAATATCCACGGCGATCAAAGCACGCGCTTCGTTTGCACAACAAATTATAGCATTGAATTGTAAAACGTTTTCATGAAAAGAATTCTATAATGCCGGGACTTTTCAGTTAGAAAAATCTGGTCCTAGATATGCAAGGTAATAATTATGGGCTTTTAATGAAAACGATAAAAAAAAATTCCCAAAATCACTTTTCGGCCAGCCGGACGGTTTCTCACTTTTGACAGGCACCAAATTTGCAGTGCGATTAATAGAGTTACCATTCACGCTTCAACATGATAGAGAAATTGTTATGTTTAGGTTTTACTTCCCTTTATTCATTAAACTGTGCATGATTTTTTTATGTGTAATCTTTAAAAGCGAGTGATATTTACGCGCGGCGTTTTGAGTATTCTTGCATGCGATGTTTATGTTCGACTGGAAATTAAAAAAAAAACCGGTGCAGCGATAAAAATTGCGAGAGGGACTACTAACAATCAATAAAATAAATTTAATTCGGTGAAACATGTACAGAGACAATAATTTTCATTCACGAAGAGAAGTATTGAGAGTAAAGTGTCTCAGAAAATCATGAGTCAGGTAAAGCATAAGCTTATTTATGTTTTAAGCCGGCTTCCCGGTGTTTTCTCTTTTTCAAGATGAACTCGAGGTAAGAAAATCCATCAGAGCTTTCTGTTTACTGTCAAAATCATAACTAAATAATCCTCGGAACCTTTTCTTTGAATTTGCGGGTCAAAAAGTGTCTAAAGGCTTTTTAAACCTGATACTATTGTAGGTTAGATAATTGCTCGTGTATAAACTTAAGCCGCATAAACCATACGCTCGACTTCAGGAAACCGAAAAAAAAACACATCAAAGACAATAATTGCTCAGGCTTACCAGTCGAGATGCTGCTTCTGAAGGTCTTCAAGTGTTCCAGAATCGCTTGAGACTTTTCAACCCTCTTACGCCTCAAGTGAGTAAGCTCATTTTTGAAAACGATGCCATCCGAAATCGGATTTCCAATGACTTTAACAAGCGGTGCATTTGTCAACAAAAAGCGCAATAAGCAAACCAGCCACGAATTACAGAACAATGTTGATAGCAGCTGTATTTCATTTTGTACACCAAGTAGAAAAAGACAGTTTAAAACATCACAAGATGACACAAAACTCTGTCAGCTCCAGCTATCAGTAAGCAAGTTTCCAGACGCTGCATAAATTTTCCCCATAAACTCACCTGTCAAATTTTGACCAATCAGAACATAAAAATTGGACGTAGAGCGTGATGAACACGTGACAGTGAAAAAAGTCAAAAGCGATTGCCTTCCCTGCATTTAAATGTAAAAGCCGGTTGAATTTTCGTGTCTGAGGTCAGTTCGAAATCAACATTTTAAAAGTGCGGCTCATGAACACGACTTATTTCATATGCATTTTTAAAAAATTGAACTTGAGCCTGCGATCATTTGAAAAGTAGCAACTTGTCAGCAGATACCTTCAAAAAATTACTCGAACTCAGAGGGTCTATACCTGACCCCGCGATACGGTCAGGCGATACTGGTCAGCAGAAACATTGGTATGCCTGTGGTGCGGACAGACGGAAGGTCGGGTGGTCGGTGTACGGTCACGTGCTTGCCGAATTTTCTAGGATGGACAGATTTTCTATAAAGTTATGGGGCTTCGAATTGAGCCTGTGATCAAATAAAATATGTGCGCAAAACTTTAAACACTATGTGACCTCAATGGATAGAAAAATGAGCCCGCGATCCACTCAGGTGATGATGGTCAGCGTATACTCTAGTTTGACAGCTGTCAATTAACCTTCATTAGAATGGCGAATATTCGAATTAACAGACTACAAGTGTGAGTAGGACATATCCGTCCAGCATGTAGTGGAAAATGCCAGCTCGTGTACCTGAGCGAACCTGAGCCCACGTTACTAGTTTTCTGATTGTGGTCTCCACATGTCCCATTTTGACAGCTGTCAATTGAACTTAATTTGGCTTGCCAGTGTAACTTTAAACGACTGTCAGTCAACTGACAGCCTTGCCCAGCGTAGTTTCGTTTTTATGTTGAATTGGTAAGTGTGACATATTATGTCAGCTTATATATAGGGGTAAAACGACTGGACTTTTATCTGAGCCCACGAGATGGTCATGTGATAATTGTCAGCGGATGTCTGATTTTGACAGCTGTCAATCTAATCGTACTCATACGGATGGCTTACATAACTAAGAGGCTAGTCAAGTTGTGCAAGATCTATTGTGACATTTGACATCGGCTTACATGAAGTGTGTGTACGGGTGGGCGTACTCTACGTCATAACCAAATTTTCTTGGATGGATAGTTTACCAAATTTTCTTACCCATGGTGCTCCGCTGCGCGCGCGCTTCGCGCGCGCGGGAGCTCCGCTATTATGTTACATTATAATTATTATTATTATTATAATTATTATTATTATTATTAGAACATAATTATTATACAAACCTGAAGGTGGACCAATGGCCACATCCCATGGTGAACTGATGCTCTGTACAGTTCCAATTTTTCCACCTTCCTTGTCACTTCCTTGTGTGCCATTTCCAGCGATGGTAATAACTTGCCCTGTTTCTAGTTTAATCTACAGTGACCAAGAGAAACATAACTTAAATTAATAATTTAGAATTTTACCATAAAATTAAGAACAAAAATTGTTGCTGCCAAATATCTCTGGAGGGTTTTAGAAAAGAGAAGTGTGAGGTCACAAAAATTCAAATTTGTGAAATTATGGAATTGGTAAACAAATTTAGAAAGAACAGGATAAAAAAGCTTCCTTGCCAAAAATAGCCTGTTAGCGCAAATTGGGGGTCAGATATAGACAGATTTATATGGAGTCAATAGTGCTTAACATCGCTATATCCTCTCACTAATTTGCACTAACAGGCTGGTTTTTGACAGATGTGAACATTTTTCATCTTATTCTTTCTTGGTATGCCAACCAATCCTATAATTTCACTAGTTTAGTATTTTGTGACGTCATCACTTTTCTTCTCTATTGTGTTTCCTGCAAAGCTGGCAGTTTTGTTGCCGAGAGTAGCGTAAAGAAGTAGCAAGTCCCCATTCCCATCATGGCTTTGCAGTTAGTGCTCTCCTTCAAGATAGTTCTTGTGTTGCAAGGAAATAGGTGGCAAGCCTTAAGGAAATCAAACTGCTGCCAAGAGCAGCAGTAGTGTAGCCCGTGTAGCAGATTAATCTAACCCTGTTTAGTAACTTCTGCGAAGTAGCGTCAAGATCTTTGTTCACGGTGAATGATAGGCAGGTTGGGGCCCAAGAGCCCAGAGCAATGATTCACAGATGAACTTCCCAGGGGTTCAGTTTTGTCTATGGCACAGGTGACAGTAGATTGTGGTTTTGTGACCAGTAGACAATATTATTAACAATCCTGAAATATTGTCACTGTCTGCATGTTTTAATAATATTAAGAAGTTTGACTGGAAGTTCTTATAAAGGGGTAGGGGATTTCATTAAAAATACAAAGCCACAATGTACTAAATGTTTTAAGACACAAAGGGCTGGGACTACTGCAAACACCCTCACTGGAAAAGATAGTATACTGTACAATGTACCTGTTTTCTAGAACAGTACAAGCATGTAGTCATTTTAAGTTGCCATTATACTGTACCTGTCTGATTGTATGATTTTCTGTATCAGCAACAAAAATGACCTCATTTTCAAATACTACTCCTTGGGGTGAATGGAATCGTGCTTCTGAAAATGTCCCATCAACATTTCCAGCTTCATTTTTCTCTCCTCCACCAATAACTTTCAATACAATTCCTTCTTTATTTATTACTAGTATTCTATGATGTCCTGTATCCGCTACTGCCAGTCTTTTCCCTTCACTGTCCATACATATTTTCCCAGGAAATGAGAGATTTGTCAGAGGAAGGTGTTCTTTTGCCAGAGAAACTCCAATAGAATGATCACTAACTTTCCCTAACAAAATAATAAAACGTGAATAATAATATAATATGACATTTAAACTAAGTGTGTTATATGTTTAAACTAAATTAGCATAAAATTTATCAAGGCATCATGACGGACATTTGTTGGGTGTTATAAAAATATAAAAGAAGAAGATCCAAATTCCAAAAAACCCATTTTGCCCAGTCAAAAGCACTAGAATTGACACTCCTCCCAAACAAGCTCTATCCCATAGCATATCCCATAAGCAACCACAGTTTACTATATTGTAAATCTTGGGCTTTGGGGAATTCATTATCTTACAGACAGTTTGACTGTACAACACAAAAACACAAAGACAAACAGGGTGGAAAAAAAGTCAAACAAGAAAAAATATAGTGCACAGTGTACGTGTATGTAGGTATGTGATTTAATTAGTCTCGTAGTTGAACCACCATGTGTGACCACGTATCATAAGCAACACTACCCATAAGCATTAACCTATCCTTCATTCTAATTGACTACCCAATCAGAACATAAGATCCCAGGATCGCGATCACCCGCACTTTCCTGCTAGACAAGATTTTTCTTTGGCCAAGCTTGTTTGGTTAAGATTACTGGATACTGGCTTCCTACTTCATTTATGTTGCAGTGCACCTCAACTTTGTCTCAGTCCACACAAATGCAACTAAGAACATGGCAAACATCCAGCCATCTTAACCCATGCTCAGTTGATAACGTATATTTGCAAAAGATAGATTAGCAGAACCTCTCTTCTCTGTTGTTTGATTCTTGTGAGTGACCACTTAAGCCTGGTTCCCATGTGTCACTGAAGTAACTGCAAAGTAGCCGCCGGTGCTGCCTGCAATACTACTCCGACATATGAGAACATATCACTGCTGGCTCAAGAAAAGTCGCAGGTCTTTACCACCAGCATGCCTGTGAAGTTGAACTTGTGTCAACTTCGCGGGCATGCCAGCTGTAAAGACTGACATGGCCTCTACTGCCAGCGACTTCTGTTCTCGTATTGGAACAGTACCACAGGCAGTACTGGCACCTATGTCAGAGTCGTGTCGCAGGTAGCTCAGCGGCATATGAGAACCACGCTTTACTCTTCACTTTTTTGGTGGTCGAGCTGATGGGATATTTGACCCCATTAATCAAACATGATTAACAAATCTGGATAGCCAATTCTTACAAACTGATAGTTACCAATGGAAGTTACCTTTTCTAGATGTCTTTCGTAGTAGGCTTTACATCAATAAAAGCATTTAAGCCGGTTATTGCATTCCCACCACCCTCCCTCCTAACTTTTTAGATCAAATGAAAGATTCTCGCCTACCTTTTTGTTTGTAAAAGTTCAAGGCTGAGCCTACAAACTGCAAGAGAGTGTCTCTGTGACCCTCGCCTATTAAGCTAAGTAAGATTTTCCCTTCTGGGCTCACAACAACTAGTGTAGGCCAACACTGAACAGAGAGAGTGTGCCATAACTTTGCTTCTGAGTCATTCACCACTGGATGCCTGATGTCGTATCGTAACACTGCACTCAAAATGTTTGTGGATGATTTTTCATTCTCGAACTTCGCCGAGTGTACTCCCACGATCACAAGACCATCTTTCTCAGAGTAAAGTTGTTCTAGCGCTTCAAGATCCGGCAAAATATGCATGCAGTTTATACAGCAATACGTGAAAAAATCCAAAACACACACTTTTCCTCGAAGTTTTTCGTGGAAGGACAACGGACTGGTACAGTTTAACCATTCCAAATTGGCTTCAAAGTCCGGCACAGTTGCAAATTCCTGCGATTCCATCCACTCAATATGCCTCAAAATGGCTTCGTCTTTCTCTTCATCCGAGGAGGTTTCTTTTAAGTGAGCAATTAGCTCCTCAACGCGTTTAATAAACCAGCTTTCTGCTAGCACCATTTTCAGAAAATAATGGGCCGATTACAATCCGCCCGGGAATAATTCGTCTGTAAAAATATTGCTTTATCATCGAAGGCGTTCTTATCGGAGGTCAGCGGAACCCTATGAGTGCAACGTCGTGTAATTTCAACAGAAAGTAACTTCGAAATAAACCCCAGCCAAAGTCCCACTACGAGGGGGACACGGGGATTTGCGATGTCGCAATGTCGCTAATTTCGGGGGGCGGTATTGCGGTGAATAATAGGGACTTTAAGATCCGAGACGCGACGGCTGTAAGACGCGACAGGAAGTAGATTTTCAAAGAGGAGACATGTTGCGCATGCTCAAGCCGTTGTCCTGGTGTCACCACGTCGCGTCGAGAACGTGGGTTTTGCGAGTTTGACGTTCTGCACAAAACGTGAGTATATTTGTTCCTGTGCTTGAATTAAATGATGGTATATTCCTCTAAACATGTAACATCAACCTTCTAGGATCATTGGACGTAATTTCTGGCGACATTTTAGATCGCAGAGATGGAAGGATTTTGATCATTTTTAAATTTCTTTCAGGTGTACGAAGCTTATAAAATGGCAGCGCCTTCGACTTCGACTTCGAGCGAGGCTTGCAAGTAAGTCACGAGCTAAAACTGGAAATAGTGAATGCTGGAGTCTTCTGCATACTCTTCTCGTCTCTTGTACCGTTGCAATTCTCGATTTATTGCGTTCATCTGCGGCTAAAAGCCAATTTTAAGCCTGTATTATTTAATTTAATTTTATTAAACTGCGTGTGTTTTTATGCTTCTCTTTAGTTCAGTAATGTTTTGGACTCATGATCATGAAGCCATTCTATGCAGAGAAGTCGTCAATGTAAATCCCTACACAACTAAGAAAGGGTCAACACAAAGAAGTAGAATGTGGGAAAAAACAGCAGACAACTTGAACAAATTCACTGTGCCGAAATTCAGGGTTGATAAGCGATCAGTCCGAGACCACGTGGGAATCCTTGTTTACAAGCATAAGAAGAAACTTCTAGAGGAGGAAAAAGCAACTGGGATAACTCCCGATGAGCCAACGGAACTAGAAAACCTCTTGGATATGATCATCGCGTTGGGGAAAGTGGCGAAGGAGAATTACAGGAAACACAGGGAACAGCTAGCAAAAAACGTCAATACGATCGGGCTAAAGTGAAAGATGTTAGACTAAAAGCGATGGAGAAGCTGTCAGAAACGAAGAAAAGGGTTCATCAGAGGATGAAAGCGATGACAAACCGACGTCAACCAAGAAGTGGAGGTGATGCTATCGAAAAAAAAAGCACAAACAAAGCATTTCTTGGACTTTCTTAAATGATGCCATGGCTATTTCTGCGAAAGAATCGCCGAAGAATCAGACTGATAAAGAGCGGTTTGCAGCCGCGTCGTCTTGCATCGCGACAGAGATCTTAACTTTACTTTTCGCGCGCAAACGACGGCGTTCTACAGGTCCAGTCCTTTATCAGCCACCGCGTTCTAGAAGTCGTCGCGTCCCAGATCTTAAAGTCCCTAATATCCCCATCCTGGGTGTTGCGGTGATCTGAAACCGTACGCTGTGCGGTGTTTCTGATTTTAAACCTACGATGCATGGTGATACACCTCCCTTTATAGTTACTTTTCGAACAGAGGTTTCTTTCCAATTTTTGCATGGCAGGTAGCACTTGCAGAGTCTGTCGTGTCACTTGCGTATTTTCCTTGTTTTAACGAAACGACTCCTCAAATGCTAAAAACCTTGCCAGAATACAGAGAATAGAATTGGAAAGAAACCTCTGTACACAGGGCAACAAAAAGTATTAACAATACGTATCATTTGTTTGTAAGGCCACATTTTCCCCTAAGCGCGATATCAAAATGTTAACTAATGACTTCAAGAAGCCAATAACTTTCACGGCTCTAATATTCTTAAAATGATAATTCAAAAATAATAAAAAAAACAATATCATGCAGCATAAAAAGGATGAAAAAAGAAATTTGTTTAAGTGTACTAGCTTCTTTCTTTCTTCCTTTCCGTTTTCTTTTTTTTTTCTTTTTTTTTTTTTTTTAATTATGGAGAATTTGGTGAGCTGTCTGGTTAAACCTTCTCAGTAAAATTTGGGAGAGTAACCTTCGTAACAGGCCTTAATTCAAAGAATTTCTTATTTGCTTTCTGACAGAATTATAATTTTAGTCATGGTACGACGTTTGTTCATAAACAGTAACTACCATTCTTTACCGTGTACAGTATTGACGATTCTTATATATGTACTTCATAGTTTAAGCGTAGTACAGCGTAAAAAATAACCGTGAGATATCGATCGAAGAATCATTGAAGATTATAGCATTAAAGTATTAGAATTTGTTGTTAAGAATTATATTTTTCATGCGATCATGATCACACCCCATTGTATAGATTGATTAATCCAAGCAGAAAAACAAAATTTCATGATAATTACTTAAACGGTTAGCAACAAAGACAGGTGATTGACGGCAAGAACAAAACTATAAAGAGTGATCATGACACCTATGTTGCGTGGTATCAAGGAGGGGCCAAAAAAGGCTTTACGCGGGAGTTCTTCGCTCGCGACCACCCATGACGTCGGATTATCATGGAAAAAGTGAGATCAATTTGCAGCTTACAAATTTTGCTTAGCTTAGAAATATGCTGAAGGTAAAAGTAAAAGGGGCCACTAATCTGCCCGATGTGGATACATTTAGTGGGAAAAGTGATCCTTATGCCACAGTAAGCTTTCAAGGTAAGTTTTGAGTAGGTGTCACGAATGCCAGTTTCGTCGTTGGTTGTTTGCAATGTCCGAAATATCCTCTTATTGTTTCTCTCTGGACCCTTTAATGTTAATCGGTTTGGAGCTCCTTCACTGAATCATTTAATATATTGCTGAATTTGATTTCATTTTTTTCATAGATAGCTAAACTTTAATTCTTTTTAAAATCGACATTTCAGATCGAAGGAAATTTTCATTTTGAATATATCTGATGATCCCGGCTCAAACTTGAATAATTTTTCCAGAAATAATTAGGTACATTATATTTTAGAAATGTATGTAGGTTGCAAAAGGAATTTACAATGTTTTAGCTGCGTCATTTTTTACTCCGACGCGTTACAAATTATAAAAATTTGCCTAGTTGAAAGTCAAAATCCTGCCTGTTTGGTATTGTTGAATACCGCTATATTTGTGCAATGTTACTCTTTTACAAGGTCAAGAACAAAAGACTGAAGTTGTTAAAGATGAGCTGAACCCTGTTTGGAACAAGGTGGGTTTTTATTTTAATTTGACTGAATTCTAAGTCAACCAGTGACTTTTCACTGATTTGAGTCAAAGATATTGAGAAAAGCCTGGGAAATAAATTTGTTGTTTTCGTTAGTGACTATAGACGGTCAGTACAGTCCTCAAGAGATCATTGCCGACTTGCTCACATTTTTTAGAGATACATGTAGTCACCATGCATCTCGTGGTTTCGAGTAAAGGAGAATAGAGGAAGTTCTCATTATAATTACTATACACAATAATAAAATTAGCCTCAAATGACCATAAAATTTTATTATCCCTTCCTTTCCCCTCCTTTTTTTATATTTATATTTCTTGTAAGGTTGGTTACTCCAATGCTGAAACTAGTGTATCGATCGGACTGTAAAATGGTTATACTGAACTATTGGGCATGCTCAGTTGTTAACTCAGCACTGATCGGATCCTTGATTTAAACCAAGCAAAAAGGGCTCATTTGCACTACATGACGCAACTCTCACACCGGTCTTTTTTAATCCCTTCTTTCTTAAGGATTTTGAGTATGACCTTAACGGAAAGGAACTGTCGGCTCAAGAGACTTTGGAAGTTAAAGTTAAAGACTGGGAGAAAATCGGACCTAATCGGTGGGTAAAAAGATATCACCGACTAAGATTATTGCAACCTTGAAGTGTTTACTTATGCTGCTTAAATATATTGATCACGATAAGAAAGCTGAATTAAATACACAGCTGGTCAAACACAACGTTTCGTGACTAGATTGCAAGCTTTTAAACGTCACGATAGCAAATTGTAATTTACCCTCCCAAATTGAATTTTTCAAAGTCAGCATCATTTTTCCCCTTTCTCTACTTTAGATGCCTCCCGATTTACCGTTTTTTATTCATAGAACCCAAGAAAACATTATGTCTGCAAATATAAATAATAATTATGACAATTATTATGAAATGCAAAATTGACGAATATTATTTTAGACCTCAATGACTTGGAAGACGTAATAAGATTTCACAATCCATTGATTTAAATGTCATAGTTTTCGTCCTTACTCTTATTCTTTCGCAGTTTTTCTACATTGGTCGTTTTATTTGAATGATAACATAACAGAACTGCGTCCACAAACGCAAAAAGTTCTACTGGCAAACCACCTCTTTACCATAATCAATGTAAGAGTGAGCCGGTAAACTTTTAATTAGTATTATACTATCTTGATAGGCCCTTTGCAGCTCAGGGTCATATGATCTAATTCTCATGACAAGATTTTGAGGTACAATCTTAAAATAACGGAGAGTTAAAAAGCATAGCACACATTGTCGTTAGGTTTTAAACTGTTAACAGTGATATTTTATGGTGGTTTGAATAACTTGAAAATACCATATGTCTCAGCAGCTTCCCGAAGCTTAGAGACACAACCGCCTTCTGCAATATGAGCAGTGCCAAGGATGGCTGACAACTGTGCAGAAAAATGCCAGGCAGACTGATCCTCCAAATACCAGGCCTTGCATTCTTTGAGATAGTTCCAAGTGCATCAATTACGATGGCTATGACTGTCTTCTTCGTGGTTCTATGGATTCTTTTAACTTCGAGCGCTAGGTCTTGATACCTTTCCACCTTTTCCTCCTCACTACAAAGGATTTTGGTCCGCTGGCAGAACTATGTCGATAAGTGTCCTTTCGTGGGTGTCATGAATACTACAGTAATATCTTCCCGATTGTGCTTAAGCCGCTTTTCTGTAAAGATGGTCATATCCCAAGTTATCCTTACTTCTCTATTTCCTGCAACTTAGTGAGACTTGGTGGTTGTACCACTTGTCGGTTAACACTCTAACCCATACTTTCTGCACAGCTCCTAGTGTACCCCTAGAGCCACACCTCGTCGTGGCGTTTCCTATAGCCTTATTCTCTATGGACAAGCTTCCTGCATTCACTGAAAATATGCCATACTGTTTCTGTGTGGTCACCACATGATCTGCAGTGGTTTCTCAGGTGTGTTATATATGCTGTGCTGGATCGAATTTGTTCTCAAAGCGAGTTCTTGAGCAGCGAGTATCAAGCCTTCTACAAACATTCTGTCCTCTCCACCAACATCTGATCATGAAGCCGTTTGCCAAGCAAACTCTCCATGCAGGGCATTCCTCTCCTTTCTCGTCCTCTGGCAGTCATAATTAAAGGTTATCTTCTTCAACAAGCACTTTCTCCTTCAATATCATTTGCAGCACCCACTCAGGTAACCATGAAATGCCTTTCTCCTCTTATTTCCACATACCTTAATACCAATCAACCCTCTCCCCCTATCCTTCCTCGGCAGAGACAGTCTGGTTACATTACTTCTGGTGTATAGAGAACCATTCATTGGTAATATCGTTCTATTTTTTCTATGTATGCTGGCAAACTCTTCCACTGTCCAAACCACGATACCTACACTGTAGCGCACCACATCTACAATAGGTATTGATGCATTTGATAACACCCCATCATCGTCTACGCTGCTACTTATTTAATAAATCGTCTGATATATTCCTCTACTATCTTGCCTTTCATCTAAGTATAGCTTGAGAAAACAACCGACATTTGGTGACGCTACCACTGGCTTTCCCGCAAAAAACACGTCGGAGAAACGAGCGCAGAAATTACATACTGATGACGCATCACTACCCAGATCTGGGTAGTGCTTCTGATTGGTCGTGCTGCGTAGGAAATTTGAGTCAACCAACCAGAAGCACTACCCAGATCTGGGAAGTGACGCGTCATCGCTGTGAAATTTCTGTGCTCGTTTCTCAGACGTCATTTGGCAGGGAAAACCACTGGTAGCCTCGCCAAATGTCGGCTGTTTTCGCAGGTTAATCTTAGTTTCGAGAGTTTGATCCAATTGTAAAATGCCAGGTACCTTTAGCCCTCTTCCTCAACTTCCACGATGTCCTGGCCATCAGGAAGCTATAATATATTCCACTAATCTCAACTTTCCTTCCTCTTCTCATTTCCAAGACAGCACACATGTGGAGAAATAATGGACAAGCACGCGCCATAGATAGAGGATTAAGATTGCATAATCCCGCTGAATGGCTGTCTATAAGAAGGGACTTTATACGGACGAAAACAAAATAAACTGATCTTACCCACGATTTTGCATCTCTCCCATGTCCAATATTCAGTTAACTTATTCATGCCATAAATAAAAAATATATATAAAGTTAATTTACAATGGCCACGGTTTTGGTCCAGACGGAAAATCGTCCAAAAACTACGAATGGCGCCCATGCTGTCTCTAATTTCACGCAGGGGAGGTTCATTGCAACGCGATTTCCAGAAAAAACAGACGACATATCCAAAATGTTGCATCTGCTTTCCCCTTTCAAACAGATGTTCTTTGAAGCAAAATAAAAGAAAACACGCCAAAATAAATATATCTGCCACCTTGCAATCTACTTTCGCTGAAAACTCCTTAAGCGTGACTTAATAAGGCCGAAATACGGCGAGGAAGGCTTCACTCACGAGAGTCTTTCTCTCTTTTTGTGTAGCCATTTTGTCTTCAAATGAACTTTAATTGTAACCGCTTGTTGTTTGTCACCAGGCATCAAAGCAGTTCTAGATCTTTTTAATCGAGTGAATCTGGGGGAAGCAACTTTCAAAATACAAAAGTAGCGCGTGACGGATATTTCAGGAGACGATTACTGCGGATACTTATTCTTTCGAAAAGAGCTGTAAAGATGTCAGATTCTTCTCTATCTTTGGCGGGCATTGACTCCTGATCGATGGAGAAATCCCGTTAATTACATCGCAGAGCAGGCCCTCTAAGCCGACCGAGTCTCAGTAGAATTTTATTTTGGGGATCCACCGGGGCAATCCGAAACAGACTCCTCATTCACTGGTTGTGTTTTTACGCAGTTTTGCTCTTTTTCCTTTTCAAAAGATGAAACAGAAAAGATTTATCTTTCTTCTCTTCATTTCACTCACAAAATTATCCAGCTCTTTGTAGAAATTCTTAGTGTGAATATATCTCAATTTCCTCGCCCCCAAAATACGTGACATAACAGGAGACGATGGGGCAGAGCAAAAATTTCATGACACTTTGGCAACAGTTAACCAATAGGAAATCGCAGATGAGATATCCATGATTGACAGGTTCATCAACCGTGGAAAATAGGGCCACCCACTCATGTCCCGAATTTCTCCATATGGATATCTGGCCCAAACGGCATCTTGATGTCTTCTGAGAAAACCCTTACTGCTTGGATGAGTGAGTCAAGTTGGTCTTTGTTAGCTTTTTAGTGCTTCAAATCATCTATAAGCTGTTGATGGGCAGCATGCCCTTTGCCAGTCTATATTCAACTTTCATCTCTTGTAGTACTTTAAGTAGCAACATGACTGCTATAAACAGCAAGGGTGACAACAAGCGAGAAGGGTATCCCTGAAAGATTCTTCTCGTGATGTCAACCTGCCTAAGCTCCACTCCATGCTGTTGCTGATTATAGAGATCATTTTTATGGCTGTACCAACCATCTCCAGGCATTTCAGGATCCACGAATGTTGCACCTTATCTGAAGCCTTCCTCTAATCTATCCAAGCCATTGATGAATTTGTTAGCCTCCTTCGGCAGTTCTTCAGGACTGTTTTGTCTTCTAGCAATTGGTCCTTTGTTCCTTGGGTTCTCCAGTCCTTCTGCTCATCTACTAGCAGTCCATTTCTGTCCAGATGTTGGTATAACTTCTCTACCATGATTCATGTCAAAAGCTTCCACATCATAGGTAGGCAGGCCTCAGGGCGATAGTTGTTTGCGTGATTCCCCTTCGCTGGATCTTTCTGTATCAAAACTGTTCTTCCTGTGACTATCCACTCTGGAATATTTCCTTGGCAAACACAATCTTCCTGGTATTCTTACCATCTAATGTTTGTTGGTGTCAGTTTCTTAAACCAGCAGTCCTGAACTAGGTCAGCACCTGCTGCCTTACAATTTGCCATATTTTTCACTCCGTTTATAATGTCCCCCACAGTGATGATTATAACTTCTTGCGTCTCTGTTGTTCTGATCTCCTGCTTAATGTCCTCCAGCCAAGACGCCTTCTCGTGGTGACTAACTTCCTCCCACCAGATTTTACCCCAAAAGGTGGGGGCTTCATTGGGTTCAGAAACTCTGTTTCAAGTCTTTTTTTAGTTTTCATCTAGTGTTCATAAAACAGCTTATGATTAGTTCGAAATAGTTGGTTCTGTTTAAACTTTTGAAACCTCTTGTCATATCTCATGATCTTAATTCCACCTGCTAATTTTCTGTTTCAACACAGCTCAAACACACATCGTACCCCTTTCCCGGAGACGATATTTTCTGCTCAAGTTTGTTTCAATGTCCCTCTTCCTCAATGTTACTAAAATCTTTTTTTCCCAGTTTCAATATTCCTCTTGATCTTTAACTTCCAAAATGGCTCTTTAGTTCTTTTTCTCTTCTTTGTTTAAGCATCTCATTCTGTTGTGAAAATTGCAGCTGCAGCTGCGCATGTTGGTGGTATCACTGAGCTTGCCTATTTCTACAGACCTCGTGATCAAGTGGCCAATTATAATATGTTATAATATATTGCAAACGTCAGTTATTGCCAAGAACGCAACAGGGAACCCTAGCAATATCTCAGTCACTCTTCTATATGTTATCTGATAGCTTAAACAAGTTAGTTACAGGGGTGAAGAGTATTCTGGGAGTTTATCGAGAGGGGTAACAAAATCGTTACCGCCCCCCCCCCCCTGCTTAAGCGCACCCCTCTTTTCTGAGACTTTCATTATTTACCTATTTTCATTTTTGTTTTGTTGTTGTTGTTTTTAATACTCTTCTGGCCTTTACGATGCGTCACCTTGACACGCCTGCTCTTGACACCAGTGGAGCTTCGAATTCGGTAGCGTGATCTGTCAATTACTCGTTAATAAATAACAGGACATCCGAGGAATATTATCCTGGGCATGAAAGGGACTTTCCTCATCTTTTACTTTTGTAGGCGTGTGCCAAACTAAGGTAACTTAGAAAATACCTTTTTTATTCAATGTATATGTCCACAAGATTCAGTGTTTTGTTTTCCCAAATGCGGCATCGCCCCTGTAATGAACTTAGATGCCTCTTATGTCTGTACAATTTCGATAACTCTTAATTGTGCATAACAATCACCGGTCCAAAATAGCGAATTACCCTATTTTGATATTTCACAGATTACTTGGCTCAGCATCAGTTCCTTTGAGCAACCTGGTTCGCTCTAAAAACAAATCCCAGGACAAAGACGTGAACTTAGTAGATGGACAGCAAAATGCTACTTCAGTAAGTTTAATTTTACGGTGGACGTTAAATGTCAGTAAGAGATCATTCTTGTAGAGATGTCGCAGAGGTCATAGTTTTACAGCGCATATCCTTCATGCACTAAAACTTGACACCAGCGTAGCACCGTCAAAAAAGGTTTCAGGAAGACCATGATTATCAGTTTTCTATCATCAGGCCAGGATTACCAGCACATTAATTAACGATTAACAATTAAGTAAATGGAGGAGGGTGTTACTTGTGGAACCATAAGAGTTCTAACGGCTTGCTGCCTAAGGCTTCTAGTTTTAAAGTTTGTTTACTCTTCTACTACACTGGTCAGCACGGAAATTTTTGTTGTTGTTATTGTTCGTCATTTATTCAAAATAATGCAAAATGAAAAAAAAAAAAAAAAAAAAAAAGGCGTAACATCCTGAAGCTAACCTGAAATTTTAGACTACCGGGAGGCTATTTATGATTCTTCACAAATGAGCCAACATAGCTTTTGCTTTTGTTTTTGTTTTCCTGCAACTTTTCTCATTTTGTAATTTGGCTATTTCGTATTGTGTTTGATATATTCTAGGCATTTTCTATGGCTCCAAATATAAACTTTCACTTTGTAGCTGGGAAAATCAGTTTGAAACTTGTAGCGCTTATTTCCCGCAGGGAAGTCTTCAACTGAGCTTGACTTACGAACCACCTCCGTCCGCCAAGGGAGAAGAAGGTGGTGAAGAAGGTGATGAGGAACTGGAGGAAGAGGAAGAAGAAGAAGAAGGAAAACCTGGAGCGAAGACGTATGTATCATCTTTCCTCTAACTAACACCTCCATTAAAAAGATACCTCCCTTAAAAAGGACATTTAGAGCTGATAGACAATTACGACGTAAGCATAGAAACGAGGCCTAAGGGCCATCAGATTTCCCGTAGACTTTAGAATAGTAAATAGGGCGGCGAAACCAGGAACGATTAGTAATTTAGAGATTAAAATTAAAAATTAACCCCCAAAGATATCCCTCGAGCAGTTATAGGTCTTATAGTGAATGAACGCGCTTTGGAAAGCGGATAGTGGAAAAACTAACATTGGGCAAGGATCCTTAGGAAATATATGAAACGTCAAGTCGTTCCTGTTATCGGAACGATTATTATAAAGTGCAGCAGCTCAGTAGTTGTGAGAACTATTTTTTGTCGTGGTTTTAGGGTGCGCGCTTCCGCCACTTTATACAATTTAATTACGATGTGGCCTTTAGACCTCGCGTTCATGCTAACGTCGTAAGTGTATATCCCAGTATGTGTATCCCAGTCATTCTTTATTTTTTGCAGCTATTAAGGGTCTGGTCTCTTTATGGTTTTTTGGGCCGATGTCGAACGGCGAACTTCCCACTTGACGAATCTAAAGCCATAGTTAGTAAAGGAGACCGTTTATGAATGCTGGCAAACATCAAAGATGAAAACAACGGTGCTGCAGTAGTTTATGTTGGAAGCTCCCTGACCGTGCACAATCCTTTGTTTTCTGTTCACAAATTGTGACTGAATGAATTAATTCGATGTTTCTATTGGTCAATAAGTTCAAAATGATAGGAATGCTATTGAACGTTATGCACGGCCAAGTTTAAGAAAGCTGACACAAACATATAACAAAGTTCGGGCTTCGTAACCATTCCACTTTATTAACTTTGTTAAAGTTAATGAGCGAAATCGTTTGTTTTCGATTACGAGCATTAGGTTTATCCAATATGAAATTCGACGTTTTACCCTGGAGTTGTTCTCTTTCATGAGAAGGACATCTCGCGATCGTTGCATGACGACCGCTAGTCCTAACAGTACCCAGGTTAGAGATAACTTACTTGAAAAAGCCCTCTTCTCCAGAACCTCATGATCAAATGCATGGGCCGTGTTGGTATGATTGTTCAAGTGTCCGTGCCTTTAGCTTTTCAGAGAAGGTTCGTGGGTTCGGATCAAGTTTCCTTGTGCCCTCTTTTGATCCTCTGAGTGCTGGTGTATTCGATGGGAAGACACATGACTTTAGACGGGCAGCGCAATAACTAGTAATCAACTACTTCACGCGTGGCAGAGGTCAAGAGTTGAACTCGGGACCTCAAGTCTGAATACTTTTCATTTGTGACTATAACTTTATAACTGTGGTCCACGCTGAATAAGTGAAGACATAGCTTAAAGGTATAAACGTACATTTTTAATTACAGTTCTAAAAGAAAACGCAAAAAGAAGAGAAAGGCACTCTCAAACAAGCCGCAGGATTTCCAGGTAAAATAAGCGAAAGTCGGCAAAAGTATTCATTAAAAGATAGTTAATCAGCAAACACGGCGGAAAAAATAGTTAAAAAAGAAGAAAAAGCCAGGGGAAATCTAGGAAAATTTCAAAATCCAAGAGAAGTTTCCAAAATAGCTGGAATGCTTGATCTGTGAAACGCTCTTCATATCCAATCTCAAACCTCTGAAATATATGGCACTAAATGTTTACGAATTTAAATGTTCCAATGTTTTCATCTGTATTTAATGACCTGCAAAAATCAATAATCGATCCCGCCAAAATTTCTTTCTCAAAAGTTTACTCAGCTGAATTGAAAAAAAAAATGGGGCGAAAATGTATAAGACAGCGGGAAAATGCATCATCGAAGCTATAATTTATCTTTATTCACGGCGGGGCCAAACCACCCCCCAATGGGCTTATTAAGGCTAAATTTACGTATTTTTTACATTTCTTTTCATTTCTCGACCAAACTTGCCAGATAGACTACGATTGCTGACCAAATGATACTAAGTTTTTGTTCGACGCAACATGTTAAATTGTGACGTCACAAATTGTTACGTTTTGATAAGCCATTTTGGGGCTGGTTTGGTCCCTTCGTGATTATTTTTTTCTTTTTTCTTTTATGCCTCGAGTTCTTTTAAAAACCTGATAATACACTCCTGCTCGTTTTCTTAAAAGTAATAAAAACACCTATGTCCACTTCATTTTCAGATCCGAGTGAAAATATTCGAGGCTCGTCAGTTACCCGGGGGGAATATCCACCCTGTCGTGCGAGTCAGCGCGGCTGATCAAGATAAAGATTCAAAAATAAAGAAGTGTACGAACAATCCTAGTTTCAATGAGGTAACGTTTACGTTTCTGAAATTTTATTTTACACACGTGAATACGCATTTTCCTCTTTCCTTTGTAAAGTTTCTCATACACTTGGGAAATGCAAACACGTAAATGAAAGAAGGTTCTCTTTTTTATGAAGATATAAAATCGAATGCTTCGATTTGGACGCGACTGTAGCTATAGCTTGACACACGGAACTTCTCTTTTTTTCAGTTTCATTGTTCGTCTTCCAAACTATGACATCCAAACTTTCGTTGAAGCTGAATATTATGTGTCTTTTTCTTTTCGTGATTGCTACATCTACTGGGGTTATACGTTATTCAGTGGTAAAGTAAAATAAGTGAGTCATTTTGGCACTTTCGTCTTAGCTCGGCGATCCTTCGATATCAGATGCACATGCCCGTTAATATTTTGCGTGAGATGAAATTTTAAGTTTCCTAAGAAACACGTTCATAACAAAGTATTTGGAAAGGGATATTTTTATGATTGAGACAAAATGGCCTTATAAATAAATCAATACCTGATATTGAAACTTCTGTGCGTTTGTTTGTTTGTCGGTTTGGGCAGAGCTTTTCATTCAGTTTCCATGCGGCTCCAGCAGATCTGTTTGAAGAAATGGTTTCATTTGAGGTAAGAATAAATTACAGCCTAGGGACTGTTAGAAATAGATGTATGTCTCTAGCTGCTTTGTTGTTGTCATTTCATTATACTGCTGTTAGTATCATCATCATTTTCGTCATCATCATCATTGCCTCATCGTTATCATTATCATAACTATAATTATTATTATTATCTACAAGTAGTAAAAAAATAACAAAATATAATGAAGACGAGCTGTAATTATTATTTAAAATCTTTTAATTTTTTCGATATATTTAGGTATATGACTCGATAAAGTTTCGTTCAGACGCTTTAATTGGTTACTTCGAGGTGAGTCTGCGCAAGACATTTACATGTACCTGCCATGCATGATTTCTAGAGCATCTAAAACTCTAAACTACTCTTTAAAACAACAAACCCACGGACTTTGAAAAGCCCTAACTTAACTCTTCAATAAAATGGAGAGGGCTTTCTCTTAAATACGTTGGAATGATAAGCGAGTGCAAGGATACTAACTGGGATGCCACTGTTGTAGGGTCGTTGAATTCAAAAGAAGTTCAATCAAATAATGAGTACTGATTAGTTTTTAACTTTGGCATAATATAAAGGCGGCGTGGCAGAGTGGTCAGCGCGACGGACTCGTAATCCGACGATCCCGGGTTCGAGTCCCGCTCTGGCCACTTGGTGGATTTGTTCTCGGCCGTCCCGAGTTCAAATCCTCGGCTAAGCTTGTAAATAGCCAACTGACTGCCTCTGCCAGTTGGAGCTTTAAATCCTGTTATGTTGTATTTGAATTATTCATTTCTAATTATCTGAGTGGAGTGACTGTAAACTAGCTGGATAAACTAAGTGTACTTTCCACTTTCCACAAGTCTTTAAACCTTTAACGTTTAAACGAAGCAAATGCCTGGTCTTGCTTCGCGCTCACTTACATGTAGGCCTCGGGCCCTGGTTTTATCTCTAAATAATTGACATTTTTTTCCATTAGCTTGAAGAAAAGATCCTTTAGATTAAATTGTGCATGGAATTAGATAAACAATCCTGAAAAACGTTGATCTATTATCACCATCATCTCAATTATAATCAGTATTATTATTGTGACTATTTAAGAGTTGATATTTCTCCACGGATACCAAACAGAACTCTGTTTAAGCATGTTGTTTTTTTTTACATTTCCTTGCTCAAAAAGTCTGCTCATCTTATTGCTTTTGCTTCGATTATCCAGGTGATAATGTTCACCTAAAAGACCAGTAACTGATTTCAAAATTCCTACTAAAAAGTCATCTTTAATTTTTCTTAGCTTGACATATATTCAATATACGAGATGCCAGGTAGGTCGAGTATCTATATTTCAGAGATCCCTAAATAGGTCGAGTATCCATATTTCAGAGATCCCTCAATTTTGAACCGACCCTAAAAGATCAGTGACATGGTTGGAAGGCTTAGAAATAAAAGCTGTGCGACTACTTCATTTCCATAGTACTTAGTTGAGTAATTGTATAATGCTTTGGTCTGGCAGTCTCTATACAATGGTATTGTAACAATCAAAAAACAAGTGAACTATCACCAGTAGCCATCCGTGATCCCCGAGCGAAATCACCCTTCAACAAACCTTGCTCATAGCTGCTTCTCCTTGCAGCAGTGTCGTAGCGGTCGAAGTGCGGAAAGTGAGAGACTTATGCTGCTGCCGTGAACACGTGCATCTCAAGTCAGAGTAGAACTAAGCGTTCTTTTTAAACTTCAATCTTTTTTATACACAATATATGTACATTTTTGTAGGTCATTCGTTCGTTCGCAAATGGATGCTACTAACTAACCCTGGTGACAAGGGAGCCGACGAAGAACAAGCGGTCAGTAATCGAGAAAAGGCTCACTGGAAATTAGATATCAATAAAAATACCGTCCGTGTAATTGCTACTTTGAGAGAACAGACAAAATTTGCAAGTTAATGACTATTAAGAATAGATGTAATTCAACATCAACGGCAACGCGCGATGTCAAACCTAAACGTCTCCCGCCCTCCCAACCACACCACGGCTGGTAGCCATGGCTTATTCAGAAGAGGAACTTTCAATATTCAAACTGACGTCTGTTTGTACCTTATATATTACAAAATTGCAGCTTTAAAGGCCGAAAGAAAATAACAATGGCTCCTCTGGCGGCGGTGACAACATGTAAATGAACCATTATAGTTGACTAACACATAACTAAAATTAGGAGTGATTTTTATCATCCTTCGTGCCGGTTCAGCTGTCTCTTAATCAAGCCAAGGAACTACTTTTACATTTTTTATCCGTTTGAATCCAAAGTTTGCAGGATGGTAGACCTTTAATTTGTACTCCAAACAATCGTATGTTTTATGTTTTTTTCGATTTAAACCGTTTTTGGCTAGAAAATGACGTCACATGATTGACAGCAAAATTTAAACTTCAACTAGTGATGTAACGGAAAAGACGTGATAGAAACACTTGTGAATTTTTTTTGAAAAGCTCAATAGCTTTAGGAGATATAGAGTTTTGAAATGTGTTTGTGTTTCTAAAATGGTAACAAAATGGCGGGAAATTAAAAAAATCAAAGTTTAAATAACTTCTTAACCAACTGAGCTTTCATGAAAAAAAAATTTCACACGTGATTTCATATCGTCGTGTTCTTTAAAAGCTGAATTATGACTTTTAGAAGTCTCTAACGATGATTCTCGTTTCTTTTTGAAGGGTAAAGGAAAGACTGCAAAAGGAGTTAGAGGTTCCTCAAGAGGAGGATCTCCGGCCGTAAGCTCATTTTTTAAGCGTGAATAGTTGATAGATTATTGACAGTAACTCTAAGCTGTGAAACGTTCAATTCTTTGTTTTTTGTTTTTAATTTAGGGCTACCTGAAAGCTACAGTTGTTGTGTTGGGACCCGGGGATAAGCCACCGGTAAGATAATATAATATTTCAAATCAAACTTCACTAAAACGTGAGGAACCAAATGGACAGAGCATATATTACCAGGCATACGTCAAGTCGCCTCCCACGCAGACGTTCTTAGGGGTTCGTCACTAGTTCCTGCCCCACGAACGTCTGCTCACAGCAGAATTCCAGATCTGGGAAGTGTACTTTGGATCTTGAGAAATGTTGGGCTTGATAGTTGCAGAAAAGATCAGAAAGGTCTCATGAAAGGTGTAGACCTTAAAGTTTTAGAACAAACTACTCAGTTAACTCACAAGCGTTCGTACTTTATGAGCAAATGACGTCTAATCCAGCCTTTACAGAGAGAAATGTGCAAAAACGCAATGCTTATCTCCTAGATTCTCGTCTGGATCAAAAATCTTTGATCACGTATCACACTCTACAGAGCTTTACGTATGTGTTTGGCTTTTCAACACTTTGACTTCAACAGCGCCGATTGGATCTCCGATAATCTGCATGTGATCTCCAGCTGATACTTGCGAACAATGGGAAAGGAATTTATCTTTCGGTTCAGCAGACGTTCGTGGGGCAGGAACGAGTGACAAACCACTAAGAACGTCTGCGTGGAGGCTATACGTCAAGTCGAGCAAAGTGTGTCTGAATCCACATAACACTGGTACTAGAACAAATGGATCTGTAGAATGTCTTCTCATCACTCAATACACAATACAATTCACATTTCGTTTTTGTAGCTCCTGTCTCTCTCTAAACGCCGTTTATTTTGCCTTTTTTTTAGCCACCGTCCAAGCTCGCAGGGGAAGATGACTCTGATGATATCGACACGTAAGAACATCATTGATAGGTCTGATAACTACTCTCGTTCTGTTATATAATCCAAGGAAGTGCAATCAAATTCACACGCCCATGTTCCAAAGGGAAAGGGCATTTGTACCTCAACCCTCCCTCCTTAGTTTTTGTTAGTTTTAACGTTTTGAAAATATTAACCGCTCAATAGATAGACATATGTGTCATGCTTGAGGCCTAGAATATTTTTAACACATCAAGAAGATTTAACACATAACGGACCGGTCATTATTTCAAGATTTGGGGCTAAACAAGGTGAAATCTATCCGATCCCCCCTTTGAATTATACTTCACTGAAGTGTTCCCCCCCCAAATAACATTTGATGACTTTCACGATCTGTACACGACCCGAAATGATCCCCGACCACAACTAGCTTTAAACTCGCCATATCTTAGGATATAACTTTTATCATGTTTTTATCTTATTTCTAATACTCATTTCTTGCTGTTATATTGTATTGTTAGTTAATCACTAGTCTTAATTTTTATAAATTGTAATTATCACACGGCATGTCTGAAAACCAGCTTGCTGAGCCATTTACCGTGTTTAAATAAAGTTGATTGATTGATTTATTGAATGATTCTCGACCCCAAATGATATCCATATCGACCTAAACACGACCCCAAATGATCCTCGACCCCAAATGATCTCCAAATTTTTTCACACGCGACATGAAATGATCCCCGAGGAATTATCGGAATGGAATGGGCTGACGTTTAATTCCCGAAGATGCTAGAATTACTAGAATAAAGTAAATTAAAGAATTTTGACTCGAATTGTTTAAAGTGTCGATGTATTCATAAATTTTGGACAATTTACTTAATAATTATAACTCGTTTTTAACGAATTTAGCAAGAAACTTTAGAGTTTAAATCGGAGGTTTAGATCGTGCAAAAAGCGTCTCGTCCACGGGCCCGGTTTAAATGTCAAATTTCACTTGTGCCGAGTCTGATACCTATTTGGTTCTACTTAAATGAGTAAATCCGCCATTTTAGACGTCGAATCATGAGAGAGTTCGGAGTTGGGAAAAGTTAAGACTTGTGGGTTATAATAAAACAAACATTTCTCAAAAGAAAGTCTTATTAAGGACTCGAATGTTGAAAACTTACTTCTGCAACCTTTTGCATGCATGAATTCCCATCTGGAGGTTTGTCTTCGTTTCCCGAGATGTAGGCTCGATTACCAGCCGCTGTTCGGGAGGATCAAAGACCGGACCCGGGAGACGGCGGAAATCGAGCCTACCCGAGATGACGCTCGTCAAAAAGCAGAATAAAATCACAGTTGCAAGCCACGCGTTCAGCGACATTGTTGTATTCAACCGATCCTCTGGTAAAAAGTCCAACGAAACAGATTGCGACGAACTGTAAATAACTTTGTGCAGTCGATTAGCCATTTTGAAAAGATTTCGCGTTTATAGCCGAAAAACTTCGCATTTCGTATTAACCGGAAAACGGAATTAAAAAGCTTTAATCTTATCCCCGAGATAGAAATGTTTTCCCATTCCACTCCTATAATTCCTCGGGGATCATTTCAGGTCGCGTGTGAAAAACTTTGGGGATCATTTCGGGTCGTGTTTACGTCGATTTTGGGGATCATTTCGGGTCGTGTACAGATCCCCCCCTCCCCATGTCTGCATTTTCCAAGCAAATTTGAGAGATCCCCCATCTGAATCCTTCCAAAGTTTCCGGTGACCCCCCTTTTGGGTTGTTAGTTACGACTGATCCCCCCTTTTGTTCTCCTAAAAATCAAGTGATCGACATATCGCTCTAAATAATAACCGGTCCCTAAAGAAGGTTACAAAACGGAAAACCCTATATACACCCCCTTAAACGTCCAAATGATAGTACGTTTGTTTAGTTCGAATCATAACATTACAACTTTCATTTAATGTTTGTTATCTGAACATTCCGGCTTATTTTAAGTTAGGTACATTTTTGCACACGGAAATTTTTCTTCTTTATTAATGCCTTACTCTGAATGCACAGCAACCTGCTCAGTCCTGCTGGTGTTGGTCTTCAAGATGCTGTGTTTACGCTAAATGTCTACCGAGCCGAAGACCTTCCTCAAAGTGAGTTCGATCTTCTCCGCCATTTTTGCGATTTTTTTCAATAGGCCAGTTACAGTTTTGTGTACTTTTGTTCTCAGTGCTTTGGCCTTTGAATAGAAATGAGCTGGAAGTCACGTTGGTTCGATACAAACGTTCCTGCTTTTCATGTCCAAATAATGTTATTGTCATTCTAACAAGCCCGTGAACATGATTATTACATGTAAAAAATTTCAAGAAGGTTTGTTAAAAAAAGGTCACCTTCAGCCTCGCTTCTATTCAAAGGCCAGGGCACTGAGCACATAACTATGTGTAAAATGGCCTCTTCCAAGAAAGACAAACAAACAACAAAAAATAGAAACAAACGATCATTAACAAGTAAGAATGAAGTAAACCGAAGACCCAACCCAAGGTACCTTGTTGGACACAGCGCTCAAAGTTCTTTAAAACTCTTACTGACAACGCTGGTGACTTCCGGACAGGGGGGGCTGGCAGCGAGGTCTGGAACCGAGTTTACATGATCGCCCCAGTTAAGAAATTTGGCCGAGTGAGACTGAGTACCATTTTCCTTCAAAACAAATATGACGGAGAATGCAGACATGGAGGGACGATGAGTTTTTGCTCGGTTTTGAGCTTTCCCGCGTCCAAACATCAAGAAAAGGTTTTCAAGAACATTTTTAATGGAATTTTTGGACATCAGGAGGCGTGATATATGAACAGTTCATGGGTGACTACATGTAGTGTGATTCGGCATCTCGGCAAGTTCAGTTTTTTTATAATTTTCGCGCAAACAGCCTAGCTAGTCTCCATCTCTTATGTTTTTCCACCTACAGTGGTATTAAGAACTCTCTTCCTTATCCTAAACATATGCTACGAGCTCACTATATTAGTATGAGTCTTGCAACAGTCATATGGGAATGTTCATTAAACCAATTTTCTACTTCGCTGTTCGTAAGTTTGTTTGTTAACCGAGAGCCACAACAAATATTTATGGGCGAAAATACAGAATACAGGGCCAGTTTAGTGAAAGCCAGGGTAAATCTTCCAGTCACTTTGCTTCACATATACTGGGTCTGTCAGTATGAGCTATTTTTAACATCAGAAGGCTGGGAGGGTTTCACTGAACCTTCAAAACCTTCACTCGGGAATATCATTGGAGTGATAATCAATAAATTTCCAATAACAGTACTGTATTTAGTAGTTTTGTATTAGATAGTGACTTCGGTTTCAAGTATTTCCTTGAAATTGTTTGTACAAAAATTACCCTGTAATTCTGAATTTTGCTTGAAATGATTATAATGGTTTAGTGAGGGGACAAGAGGCTTATATCCAGTTGCTAATAAGAGTGAGTACATCAGAGAGGTGTATGCATTGAGAAAATCCCTTAAAGGACTGAAGTACAAGAAACAGAAAAAAGAAAATTGAATGTTTTGCAAAATTTATAAAGAGAATCAGAAGGAGCTTGCAAAAATGTACAACTTCAGTTGTTTGTTTAAGTTATGAATTTGATTTACAACAAAAACAAACAGGGTAAAATTGATTTTATATCAACCATCAAAAGAAGTTATTGTCCCTTAAGCCTACTACCCTTGGCTTATTTGGCCTAGATGGGTATGTGTTGCTGATTTAGGATGGTGACCATTTCACCCTGTAGAGTTTTGAACAGGGCGTCTGTTTGGGCTGTGAAGGTTGATGAAGAGCAGTCTATAGTTACATTTTTGGTACCACCATTTTTTCCCCAAGTTTTTTCCATGTTTCTAAGTTTAAAAGCTAACTTAATTCTGTATGCTAAATGCAATGAATCAGAATTATAAAATAAGGTCTCTTGGCTTAAAAAGGGTAGGGAAATAAACAATGTGTCCTACTACCCATACTCTCTTTCAGTGCAAGCCCAGGGAGGTGATCTCACATTAAATGTGAGATCACCTCCTTGGGCTTGCACTGAATGTTTATGGTCTCTGAAAAAGGTTTTTTCCTGCCTCAACACAAGTTTCCGACTGTTATTCAGTTAATTACAAATAAATATATTAATAGTATGATTTTACATTTTTTTTCCAAGGCATCCTCTGGTGTTTTTCATATCCAGTTGGGAGGATTTGATTTCATTAACTACATTTATACATAGCACAGACACAAACGGTGTAAAAAATTACGTGCAACTGTATGGCAAAAACTGATCACAGTGGCCAAAGGAAAGGCAAAAATAGAAATGTCACCATTTTCCTGACTTCAGGGGGGGGCTGGCAGCGAGGTCTGGAACCGAGTTTACATGATCGCCCCAGTTAAGAAATTCGGCCGAGTGAGACTGAGAACAAATTTTCCTTGAAAACAAATATGGCGGAGAATGCAGACATGGAAGGACGATGAGTTTTTGCTCAGTTTTAAGTTTTCCCGCGTACAAATATCAAGAAAAGGTTTCTATGGACTTTTCTAATGGACCTTTTGGACATCAGAAGGCGTGATCTATGAACAGTTCATGGGTGACTTCACTTATCGTGATTCGGGATCTCGGCAAGTTCAGTTATTATTAAGCTTCGTGAATTTTCGAGCGACCATCTTGCTCCATCTCTTATATTTTTCCACTTACAGTGGTATTAAGACTCTCCTCCTTATCTTAAACATATATTACGAGCACGATATATCGGTATGAGTCTTGCAACAGTCCTACGTGAATGTTCATTAAACCACTGATTTTCTACTTCACTGTTCGTAAGTTTGTTTGTACACCGTGAGGAACAACAAATATTTATAGGCGTAAATACAGAATACAGGGCCAGTTTAATAAAAACCAGGGTAAATGTTCCAATCACTTTGCTTCACATGTAAGCCATTTTTAATATCAGAAGGTTGGGAGGGGTTTACTGAACCTTCAAAGCCTTCACTGGAATGTCATTGGAGTGATAATCAATAAATTTCCAACAGCAATACTGTATTTAGTAGTTTTGTATTAGATAGTGACTTCGGTTTCAAGTATTTCCTTGAAATTGTTGGTACAAAAATTACCCTTTAGTCATGAATTATACTTGAAATGATTATAGTGGTTTAGTGTAAGAACAATAGGCTAATTCAGTTGCTAATAAGGGTGAGTACATCAGGAAAGAGTATGCGTTGAGAAAATCCCTCAAAGGACTGAAGTAAAAGAAACACCAAAAAAACCTGAATGTTTTGCAAAGTTTATAAAGAGAATCAGAAGAGGCTTGAAAAATATACAACTTAAGTTTATTGTTTGTGTAAGTTATGAATCTGATTTACAACTAAATTATACAAGGTAAAATTTATTTTTTATCAACCATCAAAAGAAGTTATTGTTGGGCTCGAACCCCGTCCTCTCAGCAGTTGTTTCTACGTTTAATACTACCCTTAGCTTATTTGGCCTAGATGGGTTTAGGGTGGTGACCATTTCACCCTTTAGAGTTTTGAACAAAGTGTCTGTTTGGGTTGTGAAGGTTGAAGAAGAAGCGGCCTATAGAGTACAGTCTATTGGTACCACCATTTTCCCCCCCAAGTTTTGCCATGTTTCTAAGTTTAAAAGCTACCTTAATTCTGTATGCTAATTAAAAAGGAAATGAATCAGGATTATAAAATAGGGTCTCTTGGTTTAAAAAGGGTAGGGAAATGCACAATGTGTCCGACCACCCATACTCTCTTTCAGTGTAAGCCCAGGGAGGTGATGTCACATTTTAATTCCCTTTTACCACTTGCTGTAACAGCAAAGTCAGTGAAGGTTTATGGTCTCTGAAAAATATTTTTGCCAGCCTCTCCACAAGTTTCTAACTGTTATTGTTGACTGCAAATAATATTATCTTCATAATCATTTTACATTTTTTTTCCAAACCATCCTATGGTGTTTTCAATATCCACTAGTACAAGGCAATTTTTAAGTTGAGAGGGTTTACTTTGACTTAATTAACAGTAAACTACATTTTTACACAGACACAAACTAACCTGGCAGGTTGATGTCCAAAGGTGTAAAACATTACATGCAACTATATGGCAAAAACTGATCACAGTGGCCAAAGGAAAAGCAAAAATAGAAATGTCATCATTTTTTTAATTTTATAAATTCCCTGCCTTTGAAGCATATTTAGCCAGATGTGGTCCTTGTCAAAACATGCAAACTTGAACATTTATTTTTTGACCTTAGCTAATCTTTTTTAAACCATACTTTTGTTCCAGTGGGTAGTGTAGTTTTTGGAATAAAATATTTATAATTTCTCCCTCTTTGTTTGCAACAAAACAAAACACAATTGAATAAGGACTCAAACTGAAGGCAGTGTAGTAACCGCTGTCATGAAAAGAGAATTCCAAACACACAAAATAATTACCCTTTCATTTACCTATATTCATTTCTTAGAAACTACGGTAAAGTTTAAATTAAATCACACGAAGATAAGAACTTTATAAGCTTATCAAGAGTGAATGATCTCTTAGCAAAATTTATTTAGCTTCTAGTACATAACAAAATACATAAACTACGAGATTTGACCATGCCACTCAATCATCCAACGCAACTCTGCCAGGATAAGTTCTCAATCAAGGATGAAGAATTAAGAATCTCAAACATCATTTCTTAAAGGTGTAATAAAACCGTAAACAACTCTGACAACTCTTTTACTTAACCACGGCCACCGCGCTTTTTTTTAATATCACGAATGATTAATTTTCGGCCTTTCACTTGAAAATATAAACTCTTCTACGTACGCATTGGAGGGTTGGCCCTTGTTCTAGTCTTGTGGGTATTCTACACAGAAACACATCTTGAAAGCCTATAGTGAGCCAAAAGGTCGGGCATCGAGGAAAATGTACAATGACCGTTCACTGGTCTCGTTCTTAGCGTAGTAAACCGCATGTAATGACAAACGCAAGACCAGAAGAAAGGAAAACGTAAGCACATTACTGCCAAAAAATCGGTTACAGCAAGGAAAGCAATGACCAACAGGACCAAAAGCAAATTCACTTCGCACTGTCGAATCGCTGCGAAGACGAACTTCTTGGTGTTGCTATTGTTCCTAACCTGTTTCGCGCATGCTCGCTACAGTTCTCGAATGATTGACAGATTTCTTAACTGGGGCGATCATGGAAAGCCGAAAAGCGGCAAGATCAAAGGCCGTTGCCAGCCCCCCCCTGCTTCCGGACAATGAACTGATTTACCGTCATTTACCAATCATTATTAAATAATTGAAATAATACACCATTTTTTTGCACTATATTCTGTTATTAGGCTCAGTGCAGCATTGTAAGTCTCACAAAGGATGTTACTAAAACGGGGAACGGGGAGCGGGGAGCGGGGAACGGGGAACGGAAGTCTGGGAACGAGTTGTCAGCGGAAACCGCCATAAAAATCCAAAATGGCCGGTAAGGATCAAGAACCGGGTAAGATCGATGATAGAGAAGCGTCGAAACAACACTTAAGGTCGCTATTTTACTAATGAACTATATGCTCATGAGGTTCTTGAAATAATACGGAGGTAATAATGTCATGACATTTTGCACCTTTTTGCGTTTTACTAAACAACAAAATATGCTTCAACAGCAGTTTAAAGAAGCTACAGTCGGGACAAAAACTCTCAAAGTACAGCCATATTTGGAACTCAAGCGAATCTATACTGGGTCTAACTCACAAAGCAATGAAATACTTTTGCTTGACGCTTTTAGTAGGGTTTTGGCTTAAATACATGCTGAAAGATAACGTAGATCGAAGCAGCCAGGTGTATTTCCTCGACAGTAATTGTGTAGCAGTGGAGCTCCTTCCTAACAGTAGCGTTTTTTCAAGCCCAAATTAAAACATGTTGGCGATGAGATAAAACTGTAAGTCTAATAATATTATATTTACAAACCTATGATGAGAAGTAAGTGCAATTGTATTATTTGAAAAGATAAGATGGATCAGGTTATTTAATACATCAATAAAAGGCAACTTTAAACATATTAACGGGCAATGTGCCAGGAACATCAATCATACCTTGGTCTTAAAGATGTCAGTTGTTTCAAAGCAAATGGCTATGCTGTGGTTTTATTTTATTATAACCTAGGTGTAAATTTTGCTTCCCTTTGTTTGGGGGTAGGGTAATATGAATTTTATGATTATGAGTTCAAAACAAAGAGAATAAATTTCAAACTTAGGATAAAAGTGAACCATAACTGAACTGCAATATTAAGTGTTGCAAGTATATGTGGGGGAAGTACTTTAAAGTCTTTGGTTGGAAGGTACTTTGTAAAGGCTAGCTGTTAAAATATGCGTGGTAAGTATACTTCCTCTGTTTAGCCCTCTGGATGCTTTGTTTTTTTTCTAGGGGGACTCCTTTAATGTTTTTGCAGAGGGGAGCTCTGCTTCTCTTTAATGAACATTATTTTTACTGTGGAGAAAAATATTTCAAGCTCAGTGTAAAACTGAATGTATCAGTGACTTAAACCAGTTAATATTGTCAAGCTGCTTTATTAGCTTGATTCAGTAATATTGCAGTGCACCTACCATCAAGCATCACATCATCAATGTTGCAGAGGTTGGCAGCTTATTAGAAGGTGGTTGATAAGCCTTCAAGCAAGCTGTCTGTAGTTTTGGAAATAAAGAGTCTAAGGTCTCACACAAGTGATGGGAGGCAAAAGATTGGAGTACCGATATGTTTTTCAGTAAACACGCGCAACTGTATGTGTATAGTGGCCACATTATGCTTACTCAATGCATGTAAAATAACACAATAGATCTTGCTACCCATTTTCCCTGATTTTATTTCCCCTCCAGGGGACATAATTTCTTTTAACATATCGGGGTTTTCAAAAAAGGGGCAAGAAGCTTTTAAATGAATTTTAATTCATTTAATTTAAGCACAGTATCAAAGAAATTAAAGAGAAGAATCAGACTAGAGTAACAGTAACCCAGAGGGGAGGGTGGGTACTCACCAAAGAGGCTCTGCCCCAGGGACCAACCCTTTACCCTTTGTATGTACCATTTTAGACAGAAAAGGTACCCCTTTTGTATACCCTCTAGTGACAAATGGTACCCCTTTCACATACCTAATTTTGAATGCTGCATCCCTTTTTAACTGCTGTAAATACACCATCTTTACAATATGAATAAATAGCTAAAACAGGTTTTCTTGTCTCTCACATCCATAAAATGCATCTGTGACTGATCTCATTTTGGTCCCTTTCATATACTTCAACTATAAAAACCCCTTCCCTTTCATGTACCTGAAGCCTGAATAAGGCTTCAGGCTCTGTTTAGGCCATTATAGTACCCCCTCCTCCTGCACCGAGAACAGTACTTGATACAGCGATATTGTATGGTATGAATTGCACCAAACGTTTCGTGCCCATGAAGAGGTAGGGGGGTGGGGGGTTAATTGAGGATCTGCAGTGAGTGAGAATGTTGCATTCAATGCAATCCAATGGTTTTGATTCAGGAAAGGGTCATCAGGGGTATTTCGCAGAAAGACAAATGGCCACTGTACGACTTTGAAGCAGTTACTGATTAGGGTGAGGAAAATGAGTGAATTAGGTTTCATTAGGGTCATTATACTGGTCTATACTGGGCAAACTGACCTGAAACAAATTGTTTCACAAAATAATAAACTGATATTATTTTATTTTCATGGATCAGTGAAACACTCCAATATCGTGAATGCTTGCAGTGTAGTAGATCTAATAATATTAAAAGCAGAACCAGATTGTTAAAGTAGTCTCACTAATTATGTGATGACCTGGTCAATAACATTTTTCAAAGCAGTCTACTCTATCAAAGGAAATACAAGAAAACTGCACACAAGCTACTTAACTACTTCGATGTATGTTATCTATCATGGAAAAGTAGTTAATTGCTTTGTGGGCTAGACTCAGTATAGATTCGCTTGAGTTCCAAATATGGCTGTACATGTGCTTTGAGAGTTTTTGTCCCGATTGGCTTTTTTCAACTGCTGTTGGAGCACATTTTGTTTCCTACGGATAATTGTTTAGTAAAACGCAAAAAGGTGAAAAACGTCATGAAGTTATTACCTCCGTATTATTTCAAGCACCTCATGAGCATATAGTTCAAGTAAAGTAACGCCGTTATTGGTTAAGTTTGTTTCGACGGTTCTCTATCATCGATCATCGGCCATATTGGATTTTTATGGAGGTTTCCGCTGACAACTCGTTCCCAGACTTCCGTTCCCCGTTCCCCGCTCCCCGCTCCCCGTTCCCCGTTTTAGTAACATCCGTCTCACAAATGCACTGAGATGCTACAAAATAAACGTTTGGTTGATATTATTATTATTTTTTTTCTTTCAGTGGACACTGCCTTGTTGCAAGGAGTGAAGAAATTTTTCAACATGCAGAAGGTGATATGTACGATAACTTATTTCAGGAATTATTTGAAAAATTCAGTGACACACTGAGACATTCGGCAAAACCATCAAGTACTATAGATCACCATGGATACTGTAAGTTTTTCCAGCCGATAAAATATGCAAAGCTCCAATCTCTATTCTCGGTTTGCACTGTCACGCAATGAAAAATAAAAATGCAAACCATTCAATACAGAACGTCTAGAATCAGAATCAGACGTCAGAACGTCTGGGAAATGAAAGAAGATAAATATACAAAACGTCTTGCCAAAAATCAGGTCTGTTCAATATTTCAAATCCGAGATTCGGAAAAACGATTTAGCCAAGTTGGAGTCCCTTTCAGGGACGGCATAGCCGCCGGATACCAACAGAAACATCTGTTTTCGAGTTTTCCTACTAATGCTTGAATTTTTCGCTTGAGGAACTCATAAAGATTAAAGTAATAATTATTCTGCGACAAGGAATGTTTAGATAGCAAAATCTCCCGAAATCGGAAATGTTTTTAACCCACATAAGAGCTCTCCTGGCAGTCAGCTAAATGCCGCGTCACGCAAAAGCCTAGAACTTCAAGCGTCCTCTCTCGCAAAACGAAGAACCCTTTGGAACCAAAAATTTGTTTATATAAAGGTGTTTATGTGCTGTAATGCTTCGTGAAGGTAGAAACTCAGAAGAATTGATAGTTTCTTCGTTTTATTTTCAGCGACGTCAGGTGGAAACCGAGACACTGCCGAGAATTAACCTGATTAACCACTGTATATCCTTAATATAAATAAGACAAACACACTCTATCAAACCTAAGTTCAATTTCTTTCTCTATCTTAATTACAGGATGATGAAAAACTTGTAGATCCTTACGTTCGCTTTACTTTCTGTGGAAAGGAGGTAAAATACAGTAAAACCTTGTGATGAAGAACTTGGGCCCAGTTGTTCGAAGGCCGATCGCAAACCCGGGGTTAAATTTTAATCCGTTTTTTTTTTCTTTTGTTTAAAAGCATTTTCTCGGATATTTTTTCCCTAGTCGTTTTAGAGCATCCAATTACCAAATTGCAGACCAAAGGAATTAAGCTGAATTTGCTTTTTTAATCTCGAACTAACCCTGGGTTATCTTAATCCCGCTTTCTGGATTTTAAGAACCTGTTAGGTTAAAATTTACCAGCTAAACCCCCTCTATATGAGAACCTATTTCGCCAAAAATTGAAACAGGTTCTTATTTTCTAAAATCTATAAAAAAAAACAGTCTGTACACTTTGGCAATCAAGTTAAGGCAACATTTAGAATCCTCTTTGGAGATATGGGTGCCTCATCACTTCAAACTGCAATGCAATGGTATGCAGATTTTATATGAGAAAAGCTGAACCACCAAATACTCTTAGCTACAATGTATTTTTTTTTTCTCTTCGGAAAATAAGAACCTATTTAAGAACCTAAATAGACTGAACTTGTTTACCTGTTTAGGCTGACTTGGAAAAATCCAGGTTCAGGCAGCAAAACAGGCAGACAAACGTAATACCGGAATTTTTTGTTTCAACGTATGGCATCCAGCAAGATTTAGTGATTAAACAAAAACAAAAACTGCACGGATAAGAGATCAATAACCAGAGTATAATACCATCAACTGATCATGAGGTGCAACTCTCTCCACACAGAATTGTCGAAACACCAGTCACTGTCAACAACAACAGTCCTATTGAGGACTATGTTCACCCTGACGATCAATCTCAACCTATTTTTGAAATAACTCCTTGGTTCAAATCTTTCACTGTTTTCTTATTGTTAAAAGCTGTGCAAATTGACATAGTTGGCTATAATTCTCCCTATAACTTTAACAAATCTTTGCCTATATTTTGCCTATAATTTTGAATTACTGCCAATTATTATTATCTGAAATAACTTGGCCTTAACCTGTTTCTTTCACGTTTAGAACCACACGTCAGTTAAATACAAGACAGATTGCCCTGAGTTTAAGGAGATCATAAGAGTTCCTTTCAAGGTAATACCATCTTCTAATTGCTTGTTACTTCACAACGAAGGTTCTTTTGTATTTAATATGAAAGTGCTTCCATTCTTCTTTTGGTTTCAGTTTACATTTTTACTTAAAGTGAATACAATATAAATTTAAAAAGGTAGAAGCACTGGGCTCAGCAGCAGCATAAATACGGAAAGCACCCCAAGTTAGGAACAGGAACGTCCTTGATGTCCTTACATTAATTTATTAACATCGCGATTTGAGTTTCAGGGTACATTGCTGTCAAGCGTACTGTACGTTAAGACCTACAATCTTGGACAGATTAAAATGGAACGGCAAACCCCCGTACCCCGCCAAATCAAGGAGGATGGAGCCGCGCGAAGGGCAAAAACGCGCCATTTTCCCCTCTTTGATTTTGGGGAGAGGGCGGCAGTGGTTGTAGGTTTTCCATTCATGTTGTCCAAGATTGTAGGTTAAGCCAAGGCTAAAAGCGGAGCTCTTGCTGAATTATGCAAACTGTTTGGGAAACGCTCTTTAAAAATAGCAAAGAAATCAACCAAATATAGCTTTCCCAAATAAATACACTCTCTTGACCACGATCCAATAAAACTTATCACCCAGCTAACAGACAACTTCAAAACATGTGTGACCTCGATAGGTAGTGGAGCTGACACTGCGATACTGATTAGTGATTAGATCAGAGCATGCCCCATTTTCACCGCCACCAACTGAATGTGTCATGAATGGCATACATGTAACCCCGAACCGCAGTGAATTCTCATACATTGCACATTGGTTTACATGTAATGAATGGGCGGTCGTACGTTTACGCCGATTTTTTTCTTCCCCATGCTGCTAAGCGCACGCGCCTTCAAAGCTCTAAAATCCTCAATCCACAAGTTTGAATGAGAATTTATCCACCCACCGTATATGACAATAGGAGTTAGAGATTTCAGAGTTGTGAATTTCAAGAATTGTGGCAGTGCTGGAGGAGAAAAAATGGTGGAGTAAAACAAACATGAACAAAGGTCGTTTTGTTCTTAGAGTTGATAGATTTACCTCGGTCCTCATGATGGATGTTCCTCTTGTCTCACGGATAATCAGTGTCAATAGGTTATGACTTTGTCTAAAAACAATTAACATGAAACTAATAATAGAAATGATTGTTGATCTGAAGTAATAATTCCCATTATTTTAACAGTTTCCATCCATGTGCCGACGGTTGAAGCTGCAATTATTTGATTGGTAAGTAATTATTGCTGTGCTTCGAATTGAATTGAATTGAATTGAAATGAATTAAATTGAGAGGATCAACAATAGTATTGGCCACTCCAGAAAATACCATAACATACCATAATGCTTTTTGATTGTCGCCCCAAAGTTTTGCATAAGCATTGTCTTCAGTTTCTCTTGGGAGTTAAAATGGCCCCAAGAGAAACTGAAAACAATGCCTATGCAAAATTTTGGGGTGACAAACAAAGAACATTATGGTATGTTATGGTATTTCTGGAGTGGTCAATTGTATTCATGAAAGTTACTTAAATACGAATTTTGTGGTATTTTAGGGATAGATTAACTGAGGATGATTGCATTGGCACAGCACATATTTCTCTAGAATCAATCTCTGGACATGGAGAGGGAGGTATTATAAGGAGAAGCGTTATTCTCCAAATCTAAACTTTATGTTACCCAATAGACCATGGGACACGAGCACGATCGGATATACTCGCTCAGTATTTATGAGCTCTTTTCGGACCAAGTTTTCCTAAAAAAAGATTGTAATGGGAAAAAAGATCGTTGTGCCGTGTTCGGATGAAATGATGATCGCCTTTTTCCCGAGAAATATACAGTGGATTTCTCTTTAAATACTGAGCGAGTGCCCCCTGAGTATCCCACAATACTCCTTAAATCTAATGAATTCAATATGGTCTCCGTATCGGTAAAAAGGTCTATTAGTAGAGACCCTAATTTTTTGGAGTAGTAATTTCAGTGAACTGCAATTAATTTCCAACCTCACGAGCCACAGTTTAATTGAATTCTGAAACCATATTGTGGTAACCTGCGCGCAGACGAAATTAAACTCTGGTTAACTCAGAGTTTAGTTATCGTCTGCACGCTTGCTATATCGTGGGGGCACACCGGACGATTGAAAACAAATGGCAATGTATGAATGATGTAGATGATCAGCGCCACAAAATCAATTCTCCTAAGTTTATTTAAAAAGAAACCTCAACAATTCGTTTATATAATGAAAGATCACGTCCTTTGGTTACTTTTGCGTTGAAGAGTCGAGGCTAGAAATACAGAAAAATTCCTTCTCTTAATTTGAAGCAAAACCTTGGGATGAGACACATCCCTACGTATTCCCTGTATTAAAGATCTCCCCGTAAAAGAGAATTCACAATTATACTAATTCACAGAATGCTTGTTGATATGTTGAAAATGGAAAGAAATTAAATTGAGACCCAATGATAGTTTAAAAAAGTAGAATTCACAATCAAAATTTCAAATTTTGTAATAGATATGCTTTCTAAGTTCATTAGCTCCGGGTTTTTTTTTTTAGGTTTTCTGCCCACGTTTGGCCCTTGCTGGATGAATTTCTATGGATCACCCAGAGAGTTTTCTGAGCTTCCAGACGAGTACGATGATCTAAATCTGGGAAAGGTAAGCTCTCATGCAAAACTTGATACCACTGTAACGAAAGAATCACCTTTTTTAAGTTATTAGAAGACTGACGTCAATTTTCCCATAGTTAACACAAGTGATAAAACTAATGACGTAAATTTTCGAAATTAAGTCGTTGGTTGTTCGTTATTAAAAACGTAACCAGAGGATGTAAGGTCTTTGTCCTGAGAGCAGTCGTTTCTCCAGGCAGGACAGTACGCTAAAAAGATAGAGAAACCACTGCGAGCGACCTTTTGCTTCTTTGATCGAGCCACCGTCCACCGCCATGGTGGACAAGCAAAACCAGTTTAAAAAACATGATCAAATTAAAATGAGAGATTATATGGACCGCCGGGTTACCCCACCTGAGCGGGTTACATCACCTACCTAGGGTCCCCCATCTCCACGTAAACAGGTCCTAAAAGTATGTGTCAATTGCACTTCAAGTGCACTTAACCCTCGAACGTTTCGATCTTAAAGCGAACGTAAATGGCACCTCGATGAAGGTGAAATACTACATTGGCTGTTTGACGCATATGCCGTTCACGTTTAAGAAATAAGAGATAGCTTCATGCGTCCTGGCTCTGTTGAACTACTTTTGTATTATCCAAAAATCCAGCTTAGACTACATTCTCTTAGTTCGTGAGATTGGAGTTGGGTAATGGGCCCATTACCGGATTGTTATGGCGTTCCCTAATTACAGAGTTCCAAAATGGGTTGCGAAGTTTATGGTGCAGAGTATCATGGCTCTATTGAAATCTTTCAGTTTAACGTTTTCAAATCTCGATCCTCTTCCATTTAGGCCTGGAAGCACTGCAAATAAATCATAGACTCTGTCGATGTCGACTTTTTAATTTCATTTTTTATACGTCGTTTCACAGGGCGAGGGAGTGGCATATAGAGGAAGGTTATTAGTACAGTTGGAAAGCAAGCTGGGAGAAGAAATTGAGAAGGAACTGGAAGTGATGAAACCAGATGAACTTATCCGTGTGCAGGTAGAAAAAATCTCTTTGTTTCAAACTGCTGAAAGAAATTGTACCTTTTTTTAATATATAAACGCACATGAAACACTAGGTGAGCTTTGCGCGAAAACATGATATCTTCACACGGGGAAAGATCACCATTGCCTTGGCTACATAGTACATCGGGCCTTTCGCAGCAGCAGCAAAAAAAAAAAAAATTAAAGAGAAATGGTTTGGTGTTTCCTTGGTGTTTATATAATGAATAGCACATTACATGGCCTCTGGGAGAAACGTAATTCCTCTATTTGTTTCTAAGCACTCGAAGAGAAAGGTCTTCCTCCGCGCGGCCATGTAATATCGCCTACGGATATTGTAAATGACAGGGCAACGTTTTTTTTTTGGTATTAAATGTAATAAACTTGAGTGCTTCTCGAACAACCTCTTTTGCTCAACCATGTATTTCAGCTGTCAAAACATGTTTTAGTTATGTAGTAGTGGCTGTGACGATCGATATACTACTAATGGGCCGTTGGAAGTTGGAAAAAGAACTACAATAAGATGCAAAGCCAAGCATTTGCTATTCAACAGAAAAAGCTGAATGTTGATTATGTTTCTTTATGCTGCGAAAAGCAGACATGTATGGAGTTAAGACGTTCTTATGGATCTAAACGCCTTCTCACAACCTCAGTGGCCTGAAAAATTCAATGCATCCCATTTTTTTTTTGTTTACTAGTTGTTGTTGTTTATTTCTTTTAATTCAGCATTCAAAATTGTAAATAACTAGAAAGTGAATCAGCCTTAAGTTGCACTTCAAGAAACTCTGCTAGTTAAAGTTGTGGTTAAGGCTAAGGGACGATTGATTGAAAGTCTATCAGGCATTGGGCTCTAACTAATTGACTTCATCAAAGCTTGTAATAATACCTTTTTTCCGTGGTTCTTTCTTTGTGGCAGCCATATCTTAGTCGCAGCAAGTATAAACTGTTCGCTTGCTTCTATGAGGCTACGATGGTGTTTGACGTAGACGGACCTGTTGAGTTTGAAGTCAGCATTGGTAGGTAGAACTTAACGTTTTACCACAAATAACTACATTCATCCCTTTTGTGGATCCTTATATTTCTGACGCAACTTCCGTGCCATACGACGTAATCACGTCGCCAACTAATCCTAATATCTCCTCCAGTTTCATCGTTAAAGCTTAGATACTTAATTAATCGACGCAAGTGCATAAAATAAGATTTGTGCCACTAATTTTTGCATTTCCAACTCTTCAGTGCTAATCTATTTTAATTTTAAAGTGAAAATAAAATGTTTAACTTCTTCGTCTACAAAACTGAAGTAAATTCATGATTGGTAGCCATCTTAGGACCTATGCAGCATCATATGGTACCAAGCTTTATTGCTTACTACCTTATTAAATATAAAAGCTCTTGCCTAATCATAATTAATGGGAAAAAGCAATAAGTCATGAGGTTCAAGTTCGCTTCTACATCCAAGAGAGCCTTTAATAAGGTGATAAGTAATGCGTATCTTCCTCTAGGTAACTATGGCAACATGATGGACGAGTCTACTGCCCCGTCAAATACACCTCCATGCAATGCAGTGTACGATGGATGTAACTACTATTACCTCCCTTGGAGTGGAGACAAACCGTGCGTGTGTGTTGAGAGTTACTGGGAAAAAATCGCCTTCAGACTAGAACCTTTAAATGCTTTGATTAGAATTATTGAGCGATTAGTAAGTATATCGTTCCACACTCTCTTTCTTCTCTCTTAAAGCATTATTTTTATTATTGTTACTCTATTATCATTAGTTATTACCATCATCATTTTCATCATCATCGTTATCATCAACATCATCAATCCTTTTTTTTTTTTTGCAGAAAAGCAAGATCGCGGAAGTAGCATACATGATAGCCACCAAACAACCAGAAGTGGACCGTGCCTCAGCTTTGTTTGCTCTGCTGGATCAGCTTATTGCAGACTGTAGGTGCGATGAATGCTCCTTCAAACCTTCTCTCTCTTTCTCGACTTTCTGTATCCATTCTTGAACTATAGGCTACGGGGCGAATTGTTAAGCTGTTTCGACATGGTTCAGAGACAGACTGGGGTTAAGACAAACTTAAAGCAAGGGGCACACATACACCAACCCAACAGCCTGGCCAGTACCTCAAATCCATGGCTGCCACTGCCTGAGTGATTTAATGTGCGCATGCGTGAGGTACTGGCCAGGCCGCGGCTTGGTGTATGTGTGCCCTTACTTTAAGCTTGTCAGACTGGGGTTAACAAGATTTCAACAAAGGGAAAAGGGAAAGGGGATAGAGTTTTTCTGTGGAAAGCCGATGATGCCGACCGCTGTTACATTTTATCATTCAAATTATTATTATTGTGTTTTGTTGTTGTTGTTGCTGAGTATTGTTTGGCCTATAAAGCACAATAAAGTCGCCTTGCTAACAAAAAAATATACTTACGGACAATGGAATGCTCAGTGCATGCGCAGTAGAGAAAAAAAGTTGTTTTCTGCAGACAATGGTCTGCTCGGGTGCATTACAGTTCCTGCTGTCGTCGTCCAACGGATAACAGAGAGCTTTAGATTTGAGGATGAGGACGTCTACGAGTACGATATTTGACTTAATGTTTTTTCACTTATTCTCGAAGAATATTCAACTCAGAAGGCTTCTTTGTACTATTATTGGTGCGGTTATTTTTATTGGAGAAGGTTAGGCCTTTCCCGGTCGCAATATGATTAAACTTCTAAATTTGATAACTTTTTCCCTCCACTACTACGTTCTCGCTAAAACTCGTTGTAGGATGACGACGACTATCACGTTTTCCCGCCAAAATGACGCTGGTTGACGCGCGAGTACTACTTAGTCATGAGAAAATCATCGTCCTTGTCTTAGAATCTAAAGCTCTCTGGAAACTGTTATAACTTCACCAGTAATGTCTCTCGAAAGTCTCATTGAACGTTAATGTATTTATCAGGTAGCATGGCTTTATCTTTATTTTTATTATTATTTTTTTAGCTGATACCATTCAGTTTATTTTAGCCTGAGATCATGCCCTCTCCCTATTATCCCTTTAAGTAAAAAAAAAAAACGCGTGATCTCAGGTTAAGTTTATTTAAGCACTATTTCTAACTGAACTACGTCTGTGACCGAATAAGCTAGCCTGTTACATAATTTTACAAAGGCTGTCAATCAAACATTTCTAAACAAAACAAGCATGCAGGTTGAATTGAACTTAGTTCACAAAATATTGTCAAACCGTGTCGCAGATCAAAAGACTATATTGTTCCGCTAAAAGTATCACAACTTTGCTGAGCATTTGAAAATCTCCTTTTGAAAAATTGCAACCTTCTGTTAACACGCAACCCCACTTTATGTAGTCAAGTAACCACTTTTAATGGTTTACACAGCGATGGTCTGCCTAATATCAAAGGAAAGGTGAACAGGTTAGATGAAAAGCTTCGTGAAGAGAGGAAGGGAGAACTTGTAAGTATACCTGTACTTTGCAGTGGTAAGGCAATCATTACAAACAATAGAAGGTTCTACCTGCAGCTGAAACTTAAAAAAAGAAAAGATAAACAAAAATAAATCAAAACAAAAATTTAAAGGAATGAGGAAAAACCACTATACAAGACGCGAGACACCACAACGTGTCGTAATTAAAGCAGAGAAGTAACTTCAAAACCGCTCATGCTAGGGCCATCACTGAATTACTACTCATCATTTTCAAGTTCTAAGGGTCACACATGCAAATTAAAAATGTTGCTGCAAACTAAAAATCTTACCTGCAAATTGAAAATGTTGCTGAAAATTAAAAATAGGACATGCAAACTAAAAATGTTACAAACTGACAGTGATGCCAACTCTCCCACTTTTGGCGGGAGACTTACGCTTTTTTTCCTTGTCTCCCGCTCATGTGCTTTGGTACATAAATCTCCCGCTTTTTACGTCCACTATAAATATTGAATACTTAGTGAAAAATAAAACAGACTTAGTTTGAGATTTAGCGCATTTTTAGCTCAAAATTTGAATTTTTCTTATTCGCAGTACGATTTCTGGGGCATCTTTGCACTTATTTAGTCATTGACAAAGATTATTTCAAGCATCAAAACGATGATTTCGAATTTTGAAGTGCGTACATCATGTTAGACGTCATATAATGTCCTAAGTCATTACCATAAAGGCCCGGTCAATTTTACGGGGGGGGGGGGGGGGGGGGGGGGTCGTTGAAATTCGGGGGTCTCCAGAGGTTGGCATCTCTGCAAACATAAGACATGAATGGGCCGACGGACACTTTCCATGAACAGAAAAATTCTTTTTCTGCCACTAGAAGACACTTTCAGGGCAATAGCGAAGCTCGTCATACTGAAATAATTGAAAAATGAGGGATAGGTTTTCAGGATAACAAAAACTTAAACTCGTTACTCATTTTCGACAGCAATATTTAACATGTGGTATAACTCTAGATTCTCTTCATGCTATTTAAATCACACATTTAGACATTCATTTAAAGCATACCTGGGAATTGGCTTGGGTTATGAAAGGAAATCTGTGTGAGACACCATCGAAGTTCAGGAATTTTCATTGTAGGCAGGCGGTAATTGTGTAAACACTTCCAATTTCGAAACGCACAAAAGTAGATATTTAGAGCCTAAAGGCTCGTTTTTCGTACTTGTTGTGGGTTTTCTCATTGCAAAGTTGGTTTTTTCAACCAAAGAGTGGGGTGAAAAGGTGAAACTGGGTCAATTTTAGCCACTTTGAAACACTGAACTCTACCAGCCGGCGACTCTGCGTGACAATCTTTTCCTTGACTGCACGTGACATAACATACATTTGAAGAGACGGAGCCGTCAAAATGACAGTCACGGAATCAAGGTAGTAACGCAACGGAAGGAATTCTTGAACGAGTAAAAGCTGCCAGTCAGTTTTGAAGTAGAAAAAATCAAACGCGCTAGTATTCTGGTACTCACTTTTTATCGAAAAATAAGGACTTTAACAATGGTAATTCGCAAAGGATGAGGAAACAGGAAGATATTTCTTCTTGTTACTTTACGATCAAGGAAACTTGGTCACCGTTAAATAAGTCATTTTGGTCACTCTTCACTATATTTACCGGACTTCGATGCTTTCGTTTGGAGGCTGCCTTCAGGAACCCAAGCTAATTCTCAGGTATGTTTTAGATGAATGTCTAAATATGTGAATAATCGAAGACTGGGAAAATCTGGAGCTATACCACAGGAAAAATAATGCCCCTGAAAACAACTACTAAATTAAAGTTTTTGTCACCG